TTATTCAATACGAAAACCGTTTTAAATATTAAGACGGGTGTCTAATGATTTTTTCAAAAAAAAAAAATAATAATAATAATAATAAAAACGTATAGGTATTTATTAACATTATTAACAAAACTTTAATAAAAAGTAAGTTGATGAAAACATGTTCTTTGAATAATACAATATACTCGTATTTTTCTTCTTCTCCTCTGCTTTCATCCCGCCTATTTAGGGTCGGCCACCCTCGTTGTGAGGGGAAAAAATATATATAGGATATCGTGCTTACGTAATTATTTCTGTATCCTACTATAATATAATTCTGATAATAATATTATCTAAATTAAGACCTTCGGTGCAATAACGTGCTGAGCCGCATAAGTTATTCATAAAATTCACAAACGGACTCGGCCGTTTTTACTTAATATTCACTAAATGACAGCACCTACCGCACCGTTATTGCAAAGTTATCGGTATTTTTTGTAACGAAAAAATGACTATTTCTCGCGTGTTTCGTTATCAATGTTTGGAGGCGAGTCCGGATGGCTCCGAAAGCAAGGTCGGATGAAGATATTTAGAGGCCCCGGGATCAAAATTTTCAACGAGGCTCTCGTTGAAAGACTAATAATTTCGTTGTTTTTTTTTTTTTAAATGTTCACTAACCGGCCAATATGATTTAACGAAATAAAAATGATAAATAGTATAGACATCATATAGATCATCTCAATTCAATAGCCACAAGACGCGTTATTTAGATAAATAAATATATTATTTTGAATAAAGTTACTAGTAATTTCTACTGTACGCAATACGAGTAATACGAACCATAACACGAAATCATCATTAGGCAACGAAAGAATATTAAAATACTAAAGTACAACAAAGTCAATGGTTAAATGCATATGTATGAAGACCACGCTGTGGTAAAAACCTAGGCCCCGGGAGTTTGGCGGCCCGGGGGCCACGGCGTTCCCTGAACCCTCCTTAATCCGGGCTTGACTGAAAGAGCTTATTTCGATATTTCAATGTGTATAAGAATTTACATGTGCTTTTTGGACGTTTGCAAACGTTTCTATTGCGGCGGATTCAAAATGTCGCGAGACCTGTTCGGGCAAGCGAACATTTTTCGAAAATCAAAAGAATATCATGCGCGTTAAAACGAATAGCGAGGCGTTCTGCGCGCAGGTACGTGTGTTATTATTATTGTTGTATTAATAAGAGGAGCGCGACCGTCGCGCGTCGTCGTGACTGTAATCGGTTTTGGACGAATTTTCGTGTATTTTTAGGCTTATATTTTTGGATCTAGTAGCGTATAAAACATATACGCGCGCACGATTATCGCACATACGCCGAGCCACTGGATTCCAAACACGTGACAACTGTTTTCTATACGGTACAGTATGATATTATAATAAAATATGGTACTGCCACTGGGAACAACGCACTGCCGCCGCCCCGACATCTGGTCGAAAACAAAATACACTTATACACTTATACATATATAATATTATGATTTTAATAATATCATATTTTATTTATTTTTTTCTTTTCGTACCGGATCCCAATGTAATAATATTGTACGCTTGATCTCGGCGCGGTGGATGAAAAACATTTGATACAGTATTCCACGCGAACACGAAAGGGAATTATTCGTGAATGGAAACCAGTTTTTTTTTTTTTTTGTCGTTCTCGCAAAAATACTACGTCGAAAATATTATAATATTATTATAGGTCGTATTATTTTTCGTACACAATGTCCACGGCGGTTTATACAGTACCGCGAAAAACGGAATAACGCATACACAGGGTAGAGTAATGGTTTTAGTAGTAGTCCGCCCCTCTTACCTCTCCCAGAAATTAAAAAAAAAAAAAAAAAAAAACAATTCCTCCAGCGCATCGTATTGTATACTAGGTGCATATAATAGTGAATATCCAGTATTGAAGCACGTCACGTAGAGTGCAAAATATCACGATCGGCGAGTTAAACTTCGAAACTGCAAAATACTGGTACAATATCTTGGGTCTCTCCTTAATAATAGCAATAACGTATCGGAATAAATAAATCAAAAAACATGATTATGGCTGGGCAACCGTGCATACTTTGCCATCTGCCAATCTTACAATGTTCAAACCAAAGTTGTTGTCGGGAGCTACTAAAATACACACAAAACGTTCGTTAGACCAACAGTTTGTTATGGGTTTTGGACATTATCAAAAGCAGATAGCTATACAGATTAAAGACATTTGAAAGTAAAGTGATAAGGAAAATATACAGATCAATAAACGTAGAAAGAAGATGGAGTGATAAAGAATAATAGCGAAGCATGTTGAGATTTAAAAACGTGAAAATATTGCGAAGTAAATATTAGTCATGTAGGATCAGATTTTCGGGTCATATCAATAGAACGGACATGGAATGAATTAAATGAACAGAATAGAAGGTAAGAACGGCCAAGCAATACACGGCTGGATGAAGTAAAGAAAGATCTACAACAAATGGGTATACGGAACTGGAGAAACGTAGCTAATGAACGGAATGTGCGGAGAAGAGTTTTTGTAAGTTAAGGGCCACCACGACCTGCAGTAGCGCTCAGTAGTAAGTGTACAGTTAAATAAAAATGTTAAATTTTTTTCACCTATAAACTCCCGAAACGTGTTCTGTTTGCGTGCTTGACTTACGCGCATAGGCACAACTAAGAGAAATGCTAGAGGGTCTTTAGTATCCCCAAGTTTAAAATTAACACCTCCAAAACTACCCAATAAGTTGTTTTATAGTATAATTAATAAGCAGAGCAAAATACGAATTTCCTACACACCCAATGAATGCGTGTACGAAAAATAATGTTAAAAAAGTTCTGATACATTTGTATACAAAAAATTGTAAGCAAAATATGCAGTTGCTTATTATAAGTTTCGTGTAAAGTGGATTGTACGGGGTATTGCCTCTATGGGGTCTGTGATGTGTTTAAAATTTTAGCAACCTCAAGGTTGCTGGTCTGGTTGCGCCTATGATTACGCGCGTATTAGAGTAAAGATTTTATTGCATTAGCCCGCGGTCAAATTGTCTCGAAAACAAAGTCACGCGTAGATATGTTCGTAAAACGAAATGTAAAACACGACGTCCACGTAAATGCAAACAAAACTGCAATGATTTACTTCATTGTCTACGAATTAGAATTTTGAGCGGAACGAATATTAGTTTCACAACTAATGCGTTCACAAGATGCGTGTCGTTTTTTTCTCGGCAAACTCATTTTCGGTTAAACAAAACTGTTCGGACGTTTTCATATTTAATGTCGTACCTTGCGGAGTTTTCGATCGACCGTACTTTATTGGAAAGAGTAGTTTGAAAACAATCTTTTGATTAGGAAAACGTTCCGATTTGTTCACACAGTACTTCAAAAGATACGGCATTTCTACCGAGTGGTACCTTAATGTTGAAAAACGGTTGAAAATAATCTTAGAGACCTGCGATTTGTACGTAAGACAAATATTGGCCTTTTCAAGAAGTGGTCAAATTATTAGCTATTTATAAGTAATTGCAATTTTTTAGTTTTTGCAGTTTTCATTTGGTTTTGTTGGTTAAGTGTTTGTTTTGGGCGATTCGAAATGTTTGAAAATTTAACACGAAATGGTTCGCCATAAGTCGGAGTTAATAAAAACAAGAAAAAAGTCGAATGCAATGTACCCGTGCTAGTTATTTATTTATTTTTATACATAGGCATTTTAAGTTTATATTTGGACGAAAATCGTAAAAATTATATGGCTCTTTTAACAGAACTTCGCTCAGAACTGTATTCCGTCAGCAACGATTAATCAAAAGACCTATCTCCCCAACTTCCCGCCTACAACAGCGGTAAATCCGTCAGCAGTTTTAGTATGTTTTAATTTTTTTTTTTTAATTTGAATGATAATTTTCGATTCATTCAATAAATATGCTGTCGAAACATCGTTTACAACTGTTCGCAGACACTGGCATTGAATGAAGCAGAGAAACGGTTCAACGTTCAATCGTTTATCGTTCAGTTTTATCGAACGAGCGTTAAATATTATGGTCTCAATTGTATGATAATATTTACTGTTTAGGAGGTACCTACAGTATCCGAAATTGACTCTTACAAAATATATTCGTTTTTATTACAACACGATGTATCAAACCGCAAATCGGAATGTCGCAAAAACGTTCATAAATATTTAGGATTTTTTTTTTTTTTATTATTATTTTCGTATTGCAGTTTTTACAAAATTAATGTCGACCCGTATACGGTTTCGGGGACAAACGTCACGCACGGCGGTTCCCGGCGAGCGGACGCGGTTCTCGTCGTCGTCGTCGTCGTCGTCGCGCGGTCCATAAATGAGTTTTTATATTTGGAAGATCATGTGGGGACCAAATGTTTTTGTGAATAATCGTAGGCGTGGAGGAGGAAGCGCTCGGGGTGGCCTCTGCACAGCGCTCTCGTTGTCACGTTATAGACGGGTTAGACGACACAGGGTGGACGTAAACTACCGCAGCTGCCGGAATACACGGGTTCGGAACACGTGTTTTTTTCTTATACGATCATTGCAGTAGACTTTGGGCGGCGAGGCGGGGACGGAGGCCGTGGCCCGAGAACGCGTGCACGCTCAATGCGCGCGTTAGATTTTCGTTCCTGGCTGCAGTGTCGAACGCTACGAAATGTATTTTATCTGGGATCCGGAAAACGGAAACGCGCACGAACACAACAGTCGCTCTAATCGAAAACGGACGAAGTATAATAATGCGTTACAGCGGCGATAAGCGCCGCCGTGCGGATAAAAAAATAGATAAAAAAGAATAAAATAAACCGACCGTTGATGTAAAAAAACTTATATTTTATTATAATACGTAAATTATCACGGCGGAAAGACGAACATTTTGAGGACCACTGGCCTGCGGCGGCGATCATGCCGCGACATGTGTTTCCGACGGTCGGGCGCGAGGGATTAGCGCGCGTCGTTATAACATTATTGTTATTATCATCACCGGTACAGTCGGTGCAGCATCACCGGCGCATACCATGTCCCACGGCCGTCCGTCCACGTCGTCGTCGTATACCGCAGTGCGTAGTGCGTAGCGTAGTTTTCATCCCCGTCCCGTGCCATCCCGTGCCGTCCCGTGTCGCCGTCGTCGCCGTCTACAGCCCGCGTAGACTTCTGCACGTCCGCGATGCTGCCCGCGCTCCTGCTGGCGTTGCTGGCGGTGGCCTGCAATCTGGTACGGCCGGAAGTGCTCACGCCGCCGTATTTTAACCTGGCCGAGGGCCGCCGGATTACGGCCACGGCCACCTGCGGCCAGGGCCTGCAGGGCCCCGAGCTTTACTGCAAGTTGGTCGGCGCCAACTCCGAGCGCAACGTCGACTACGAGGGTAACCTCGTCATACAGGGACAGGTGAGCGAGCGCTTATGGTGTATGCTGCTGGGGGAGGGGGGCGAGCGATCGGGTCACACCTCTCGTATGATCCCGTTTCCCGTGTACTGCGGGGACCAATCCAGTGCCATCGACGGGAACGCCCGATGACGAAACGCGACGGGAAAATCCCGAAAAAATATCCACGGGGAAACGCGTTTAAATTTGTGTTCGTATCGGATGAAAATCGGCGAACCGATCGGGCAAAGTGGCTCTCTATCATTGCCGGCAGAGTCGGATTTCCGTGAGCCGTAATTTCGGACACGGACGTTAAACAAACTCGAAAACACCGTTGAACTTTTGACTTTTTCTACAAAAATCGTTTCTCTTTAAACGTAGCAGGCGTCCTCTAAGTTTTTCGAAACTCTCCCCCCCCTCTTCCTCGATTTATACGTTTGAGGGCCGACTCGTGTTAATATCCTCTTAGGCCCCCTCCGTAATCCGCTTCCGGGTCCGTGACACGGCGCGGGCCATGCACAGCGAAGACAGAGACGCGGCTAGAAATATTTTTCCGCGCGGGCCAGACAAAATAACGTGCACATGTTTGAACAGAAAACGCTACCGACACAAATTTTCGATTTTAGAACTGTGTTGGTTTTCGGAGAAAAGCGGGTTGGACCCTGGCCCTAAGGCCGTCTTCGAGGAGCGGGACATCGTCCGTTTGCCGCTATACGGCCGGTGTCCGTTTTTTACAGAAGTTTAAATACGTATGTGAAATTACATTTTAGGACCATACGAATATTTCCCGTTTTACACAGTGCGTCCGTTTTATCGCGGGTCACGGGGTCTGGCGGACGGTAATTATTGTTGCCATCCGTAAACCGAAAGTTCGTGCGTCTGGCGGATACCTCGTCGGTAATCGTTGTTATTATGCCACGTTTTACTCGTGGCGTGATGTGTTTTAAACAAATTGTTTTTACCACGGCGTGTGTTTTTTGTTCCGTCTGCGAACAGCCTTTCTACCGAAAATCGTGGTCCGGTGTACCACGTTAGTGTAACACCTTTTCCGAATGGGAAATTTTTTTCTAAATGGGCAGGCCGTTTTTCGAATTTCCTAAGGGGTTTTCGTAATAGTTGAGAAAACAAATTATCCGAAAAACGGTAAATATTTACGGCGCGACGTGACGTTACCGCGCGCCTTCATTGTTTGATATTTTTGCAAACTATGTTTTCTACCAGAATTATTGCTCCATTAGAAAACCGACGAAAACTGAAAAAACGAACGAGAAAATTAGCAATAATAAAGCTTTTATTTTCAATTTTGTTTTTTTGGTTCTAATTCAGTTAAATGTATTCATAGAGACTTGAAATTTTAACACAAAACTAAAATCAAACAACGACTTTCTTAACCACAAACTAGACAAAATATTCTTTTAGAAAATATGATATCCTTGAAATTCGACAAAGATTTCTAATATAAAAATATAATCTTACACATTTTTAACAATGAAATCGTACCGTAATATGAAAAAAATCGTATTTTTTCGTATTTTTGATTTTTTCCCACTATTTTATAAGTACTACTTTAGGTATCAAAAAATGATTTTCTCTGTCAGTGGCAAAATCGATCTTATATCATTTTCAGTTTGAGTAATATTTCTGGTAGAAAACATAGTTCGCAAAAACTAAAAACAATAAATTCGTAACACATATATGGGCGTGCCGTAAATATTTGCCGTTTTACCTATAGTTTTCTTTCAGTTTTTTTTTTCAATTATTTTGAAAACCCTTTGGAAAATAAAAAAAAAAAATGTTTAATGCGCCAATTAGACAAAATCACCATTCAGAAAAGGCACTAAAAGTATAAATCGGAGCAAGATTTCTTGTTTAAAAGACGCTTACAGATAAAAAAAAAATAAAAGATGTACACTTTATAGTTAAACAATTAGATTCCTCGGTACGCTCCGAATTTAAAACATTTAAGCCATTTTTGAGCTATTTATAAACATTTAAATTTTGTGAGTTTTTTATGTAACTTTTATTTGGAATAGGTACTCTGTGAATAAGAATCGTTAGACTAAACAGAAATGCTTGACAATTTAATAGCAAGTTCAACATAAGTCGTACTTAATAGACAAAAAAAAAAAAAAATTAAAATAATGTAATATTTTTTTTATTATTTTTATAACAGTTTTACTATCAAGTCTTCCCAAAAATCTTCAAAATTTCAAACACGTTTAACTGAATTTCCGAATCGTTTTTCGTTAGCAATACCTTCGCTTACAGACATAAATTAAATAACTTTCCCAACTTTCCCAATCTAACCTTCCCATCTTCCCACCTAAAACGGCGGCACACCCGTCCTCAGCATCAACTATTTGTATTTATTCTTTTGGTCACGCTTCGTGCAGACCCATATCTAAGAGAGTGCGTTATTTTATATAAGATCGCCGAGTCCGAATAAAAATATTTCTCCGTCGATTCCGTTCAATTTGACGGAGATCCGCGGTACACGGGTCTGGCGCACAACCAACCGGCGGACTTGTAGATTTTCTGTACATGGCCGGTGCCCGTTGATATTATTTTTCTATGGACCCGTGCCAGAGGAACCGTTCGAATCCGCGTTCCCGGGAAATCAAACCGATTGTTTCCTACTCAAACGCGGTGAAATAATAACGTTACGTTATACAATTTATGGTCATACCACTAAAACTAATGTCGAAACAAACTAACACAGAAATAATATAATTTTCTCCTTCGCCTTCATTTCAACTATTTAGGGTTGGCCGCCCTGTACTTCCACTTGACCCGATCCCTCGCATAGTTCTCAATCGCATCCGATTACCTATTTTCCGATTTTCCTTTGCTCCCCTTTCTTTCTACGTTTATTTCAATCACAATTTTCCGTGCAAAAATCATTACTCTCCTTAGCACGACGACGCGGGGCCTTCGTTGGCTTATATACCGCACCGTGACTTAACCGAGTTTAGCTTATTAATCGACGGGACTCTTATGGAATGACCGTACGTGAATGATTTTCGCCATTTTTCTCAGCCAACATAATACCGTTTCAACATCTATCCATATCACGTTTGATATTGTTTGAATTCGTGAATCGCATACATCATACATGTTATACAGTACGTAAAACGTCGCCGTGTGTCAAAAAAATAACTTTCCCAACGTATGAAAGCTCCTAGAATGTTTATGATTGCAGCAATCTCTGGTCGACAATTCGTTCACAAGCAGAAAAAAAAACCCATTTTAGGTTAAAATCTATAGTATTTCAGTTTATCGACCGAAATACAATAAATTCCGTGGTGATTTTTTTTTTTTATGCCCCGTCGTGAAATTTCCCTATGTCCCAATCCACAAGTACTGGGACTAGAGTGCCCAACCTACATCTAGTGGGATAAGAAAACGGACTCTAAACTTGAGACCATCAAGTAGTTTGCAACGGTTTAATAACGATAACACAATAAAACCGACATGGCGGTTAGTTGATATATTAGTGTTAAATGAATAGTTTGCAAGTTTCGCGTCTTTGAACAAATATTTATATAGCCCCATATCCCCACCCCATAAAAAAAAATAAACGACCCAGCTGAGTAAAGTATATATATATACATATATACGTATCCAAGATCGTACTTGAGAAGGAGTTTCGGGGGTTTAAACACTATCCCGACATTTTTTCGTGATTCATTATAGTTGAAAATTATCTATTTAATATTACAATAAAATTCCACACATTTTTTGATAACAACCTCTCCGAAATTATTTTCCAGTTACGGCCGTGTGCGAATCCATAGTAAAATTTGTGAATTTTCCTCAATTACGTATTTCGAAAACGATTATCTATTCAAAAGAAGAGTTCTCGCGGAGTACGTATATAAACCACCTCGAAGAACCCCATTATTTCTATACTTAACAACTTTGTTGAACATTGTCTGCTTGAGACTCGAGAGTCACTTCTCTGTTAGGTAATCAAATTAATGATTAATTCTCGAATTGTCGAGTTTTCCCTATTGTAAGCCTTTTTTTTTTTTTTTTAATTTGGCATTTTTCAACTTGTTTAATGTTTACGCGACTACTTTGCAATACGTCACGTAATTTTTTTAACCGGATTACATTAATTTCGTCAACACTTTGCGAATATTTTCTCTTTTTATGGAACCGACGTTAGAAATACAGGATCGTATTTTAACCCTCCCCGAAAAAGTTTTTTTCAAAACGTTATTATTATTATTTTTTTAATACACTGAATTTTTAAGTGTTTGGACAAATTATTATTATTTTTGTATTTTGAAAACTACAGAAACAAACCAATTCACCCCTCCCCCCCCCAGTCGATAAAGGCGATAAAATCATCCAATTAAGTGTCACGAATGATTGGATTTTACCGTTATGACTATAATATTATTATAATTATTGTTAGTGATTATAATATTTATGTATTATTAATAATTACAAATGTACACGATCACATTTCCATGCACTACCCCTTAAGATTATTACTACTCGTGTTAGAGGTGTAGTTCTTAATAATAAATTGTCAAATGTACATCGTTCAATATTACAGACACACAATAAAAGAATCGTGGTAATTAGATTGTTTTTAGTACGCCAGATGTTTTCGGATTTATACGCGTCTCGGTATTATAAAATGTTAAGTATACTGTACGTAATAATAATATTAGAGTACACTACGGATTTCGAAGCGTTAAAATAAATTTTAGAAAAAACGTTTGAAATAAAAATCCGCTCTAAAAACGCTTTGAAAAACAAACCATAGATCATTGGTTTTTAAACATTTTATGAAAACGGGCCCGATAGAAGGTAAAAAAAAAAAAAAAAATAAAAACGTATTTTATTCCACGTTGCATAAATCGTATTAAATTTATCATTGATAAATACTTTACTTTTGAACTATAGAGGGAAAAAAACCGATAAATTCGTGTTCAAATTACGGAACGAGTCCGATTTTTTTCTTTCGATTATATAGGCGCTTCTCGATATATTATATATCTTTTAGATATGTCAGGGAATGATTAGAAATTGGTGACGTTTAGAGGGGAGCGTGGATAGTGAATTATACTGTAAAGATGTCATAAAGGTTATTCTGGATCGGTTCAACGAAAACGATACGATGGTAAATTGTATTACGTTGTTGGCCCCTTACTCAGGCGAAGAACCCGCAAAGTAACCGTTTGATTATACTGGAGGCGAAAATCGCCATTTGAGCGATATAATAATAATAATCGAAAGGGTATTTAATGATTAGCTCTTTTTGTTTTTTTTTTTTTTTTTTTTTAGGGGAAGCTAATACGAATCGCAATTTAATTTTTAATCATCGATAAAAGTGTATATTATTATTATTATTTTTTATCCACTGATAGCGTGACCGAAGAACAAAAAAAAAACAAAAACAAAACTACCTATACGGTAATAATTTAGTAACAACATATAGGACGTAGGTATATAATTTAATTATAGCTATTAATTATTATTACGAAACGTAATTTTATGGTCAACCTAATTTCGAGACGTGAACATAATAATACAATAGGTACCTACCCTTTTTGGTTAAACACATGCTTACCCTCGACGGATACCGACGCCGCAACCCTGTGCTTATAGAATCGATATTCACGGGGGGAAAACAAAATATTCAAATGGATTATATACCTATTGAAAAAGACAAACACCACAATCTTTAAGGTCCTGCGTGCCGTTTTTTTTATCACAAATTGTGTACATTTTAATACTAATAAATCTTCATAGATATCAACAAATAGTTCAAAATGTTTAGGTTATTACGTCTGCGTATTGGTTTTTTTTTTTTTGTTTTACTTGAAATATCCTTTACAGAAAAAACTCCCCCATCTCGCGACTTGATCCTATTACGATCGATTTTTTTTTCAGTTAGAAAAACTTCCTAGTGGTCTTTCAATATTTTTTAATCAAAAACTACTGACAATCGTGAAAATCGGTCAGATTAAACTCTTAATAACAACATTTAAAATGGAACGTTCAAAAAGAACAAATCCAATTAGTGACGACTTAGATGTTTTCTTTTTTCCATTAATCAAAAAAAAATTTTTTTACCTACTGAAATCGGATCTCTCTACGCGTTATTCCGGTATTTACGGTTTTCCTGTAAATCATGTTCATGAAAAAAACAGACATGTTGCATACAACAGACCTTTAGAACGAAATTTCAGTCTTTTACAATTCTAGCTCGTATGTTGCGGTTGTCGGTTTACCAAAAAACAGTGGTAATTAAATATCGAGATGAAATAATTGTCACCGTATAATTACGAAGTAAAACAATCAAAGAAAAATATGAAATTGTACACACGTTTTTCGTACCTATAATCTACTGATATAATATTATATTGTAGGACCTATGGTAGGACAATAATTTTACCTAATGAAGTTTTGTGTATAAACTTCGTTCGTATGTGCGTTACGTTCCTTTGTCGGAAACTTCTACTTTCATCTCGTCAAATTATTAACCGCGTGAAAGTTAAACATTTCAGGTGGCGTGGGCGAAGTACCTACACAATTATGGAGGAGAGGAGAAGTAAACAATATTCCAGTGCGCATTGTAGTACGAATTAATGTTGTATAGTTCTATGTAAATACTTACTATTTCACATAATTGATCCAATTAAAAAGGCCTTTCTGCAATATAGTTTATCAAGCTCTCTATAATGATACGATGTACCTAGAAGAAGAGCCCGTGCAGCAAAACCCGGCTTTTCGAAATTGAATTAATTCGCAATCGAATAATGAAATATTCCAAAGGCAATGAAGGATATTATATTATAATATTTTAGTTCTTGATAGCATTGATTCTTGAATGTCCCAATTGCCGCCTCCTGGATCCTGCAGAAAAATGTTGAGATGGTACGGGTGTGTTTGGAAAAGAAAAAACGAGGACGGTGAGATAGTCATTAGGATTGGCGAGTTGTAAGATGGAAACGGAAGCCGGAATATAGGTTTATTATAAGAGAGAGAGACGAAAAAAAAACCTAACACGACTTATAATAATAATTACTGTGCTTAAAATCGTTATTTTTCACCAATCATTGATAAAGAAAGACAATTATCGTTGCTTATCGTTGCGAACGAGTGCATACATAAATTAAATATTATTACTCTATACATCCTCCTTTCCGACTTCTCTGCTAAAACGGTGAAACAAGTATCAGCCACACGGTATCGGTCTTATTATTATTCGTTTATTTATCGACCCGTTGCTACATACTCGTATATTTTACTAGACTAATTTACTAATACATCTGGCGTATCAAATTAATTATTTATTTATCGATTTGTAGCTATAGGTACCGTTATTGCATTTTGTGTATATCGGCAAAGCACTATTTTTTTATTTTCATAACGCACTATAGTTATATTTTATAAGTGATATTTATTAAAATGCTACTTTTAATACTTGAATTAATTACATTTTTTATTATTATTATTATTATTATTGAACGGAAACCTATATATTATTTCCAAGAATCGGGCTTTAGAAAACTTCGTCAATTTGTAAAAAATCTGTTTTTGATGAAATATTTTCCCTTGTTTCTCTTGCCTCTCAATAATAAATTATTAATTATATATGTTCGCCTTCGTACAAACATTTTTTAGTTTGCGTTTTTTTTATCAAATTTCCAATAACTGTCAAATTTTATACGAATTACTTATTTTATAGTATAAAATTATAATCATATTATATTCTAAAACGTTAAATCATCTTTATATTTTAGGGGATGAATCGGCTATCCATTGACGAGACATTCTATTTTTAAGCTCAAGTAAGGGAAGAGTTATAGTGGTGTATCATTTGTGTGGCAGCACAGCGCGCGGCGTTTGAATAGTGCTTCGCTACTCCTCCCCTACATTAACTTTAAAGTGGAATATCTCATCAACGGGTTGATTAAAATCAAATATGACAACACCAAAATGTATTTAAACCAATACTCCGTTTATTTGTGGAGTGTTTAATATAGGTTTCTATTTAAAAATCAAAAATAAATAAACGTTTCAACCTCAAAAATAAGCGTGACAAATATAAGCAACAATACATGTTCCAACATTTTAGAATACATAATTTCAAAAAGTTTTTATGTCATTGGAAAAAAATAAGCATTTCATCGAAAATGTGACTGTAACGTGAAATTTCGACGACCATGTACAATATTTATATTTAATTTTAAAATATTATATCACGAAGGTCGTATTGTCGTTGTATTATATATTTTATAGCTGTATCTACCGAAAAAAAAAAATAATAATAATAAGACGAAATGTGCAGTGTACATACATGAATATTTTATCCGCGAAATAATTCCACGTGTCTGCATTTTATAAAAGGGTTAAAAATCATCAACTTCGGAATAGAGATTTAACGAAACACATTTTCTGGAATTAAATATTTAAACGCGCTATACAACTATATTGAGTATACGTTGCATTTAAAGTGACTCGTCGTCGTGTCAAGCGAAATGAATGCGCCGCATAAATAATACACGAACATTTTAATTTCCAATTGTGGTGTTTGAATCTTCGAGTTTCTAAATTATTAAATGTATTTGAAAAAAAAAAAAATTAGTAAGTATACTTTTTAACGTTTCCTGCAGCAATGAAGGGTTTGTCAGTTAATAAGTAAAATATAACTCGTCGTTTTTACTGCAATATAATGCGTATGCTTATTTGTTTTTGTGTAGCTTTCAGAATGATCAAAAAACATTCAAGAAAAATGACACTTATCTATATTGTATTGACATTTGTTATTGTTTTAGATATGGTTACTAATCTCATTATGATAGCACAAGGTTTTGATATAAGTGATGTTATTATTTTATCGTGATTTACAGTATTACCTAACCAAACGAATTATTGAACAAAACATTACCGGAAACAATATTTTTTAATTAACATCGATATAGTGATCACATTTTATCAGAGCAAATGGTGAATTATTTCTTTATGGATATAAAAGTATTTTTTTTCGAGTGAGTGCCTATATAGTCTCCATTCAATATGTTGTTTATGAAAAATGCAGTTTGTAAACCATATAAAACCTAACGGTGGAGAGTTGCCAGTAGACGTGATTTCGAGAATGAACGAGAAAAAACAGTTTGTTTGTTTCTCGTTTTTTGTAGAGTAGATCAAGACTTGTTTGGTCCCTTAAATAATTACTTTACCATTACTCGACAATAGGTTCTTTACAACACAGACCCTTTCAGAGAACTGCAAACTATTGTAGTATACCCAATTAATACCTAACAGGAATTATCCGTTTTTATTCCTAATATTAATGTTTGAACATTTTGGCAAATAACAAGTTGGCTTTCCTGTTGTCGGTCCGAACTCGGACTTAAGGAAGTGTATAAACTATACTTTAGTACTTTCCCGAATAGTCAAACATCAAAATAGAAACTTCTTGTGACGGATTACTAGTCTGAACATCATGTGAACAAATTATGAATTTAACATCATATACCTAGTAATTTAACAGAGGAACCATTAGTTTTTGAAGTAAAACACTGTAGTCCGGTGAAATGTTGAGAATTCAACTTTCATTAGTTTCGTCTTTGCTATTATTTGATGGATATTTTGCGTGATTTGCACATTTTTTAAATCGTTAGTTTTTAGTTATCGCTAAAAATTTCCGTGGGTTGGTGAAATATTATAAATATTGAATTCGTAATTTGTTCACAAAACCAGGCCGGTGAAATGGTACTCTATTATTTCCGGCGTCCGCCAGAATGGTTCTTAAAAGGCATTCCGACGACCTTCCCTGAAATTATACCCTACAGTGTTGTGAGGGTTAACACGAAACGTACACAAAATTAATTTTCGATTATTCTTAACTAGTATATGCATCGTTATCCTGTTTGCATTATGTTGCTTCGAGTTTAAAAATGAATATCAAAAAAATTGAATTTATATGTTATAGGTGTGCGATCATTGTGACGAAAGCCGTCCGGACAAGGCTCATCCACCCGAATATGCGGTCGACGGACAGGAAACTTGGTGGCAGAGTCCGCCTTTATCTAGAGGAATGAAGTACAACGAGATCAATTTGACGATCGACTTAGGACAGGTAACGAACTAGTTTTTCGGACTTTTAGATTAGTAATTTATTTTTAGAACGCGTAATTCCACGAAACATATATACTTGAAATCGATTAAATAAGTGTGGGAAAAAGGTTAACTGATTAATCATAGGGAGTAAAAAAATAAAACAAAACGGATGCGAAACCTAACCGAAAATAATGATTCTCGAATAGTGGAACTATTAGCCACGCGCCGGAGTAAATCCGGAGTATCCGAAAACCACGAAACATAATTCGTCGTTTTTTCTTTCTTCTAATAAAAATACGTTTAAAGAGTTTTTTTTTTATTGTGATATATTATAAAGGCAAATTACCAACCGGGATATAAGTTTTTGGTCCGAATTATTATATTATAGTATAACATTCGATTGGTCAAAGACAATATGTCAGCGGTCCGGATTCTCGAACTTTGACCGGATTGTTCCCGTCGCTATACTAGAATATTATGCAACTCAATCACGATATTTTCGGTTGTTTTTTTACCGAAACGAGTTGTTCAGGTTTACACAATATTTATTAAATTCGTAGATTATTAAACGACGTTGTAGTATTATTGTACCGTGACCAATCAATCGTAATTCGACGTCCGTCGAATCTTGTAATTATATCAAGTACATAGGTGGCCGTCATGAACAAATTGGCACGCGGTTTTCTGAAATTTCATACGCTGTGATACTGTTGTAGGTGCGGCGTATCGGTCGCGATAGACCGTAATATTATATTGGCCGATTTCTCGGGAAACGCGAGCAGATAAGGTAAAACATATTTCATGCGTGGCGTGCGGGTAGAGAATTTATTCGTTAAAAGGTCGTGAAGGTTTTCTGTAGAACGTTCGCCCGAGATCCGTAATAGTTATGAAATGCATAGTAACGTGTGGATGTAAAACCGTCCGAATGTCCAGGTGTATCAGCGAGCGTATATTATTATTATTATTATTATTACATTACAAAAGGTTACCGGCGCGGTTATCACAAACACGCGGTTCAATATCCCGCAGGAACTATAGATAAGATAAAGAGCGTAAAAAAAAAAAAACGAACGCGGCCTACGCACGGCCGACAAATCGATATTATTATAAAAAATATATGATATCCTTAATTTTTTTTTTTTACATACCGGCTATAACCGTTCGTATTATAATGTACTATATACAGTAATTCGGGGAGAGGGAGGGAAAGGGGTCCGCCGATTATTACGAAAATCGAAAATAATATTTAAAACGCGAAACGAGATAAAATCTCCCAAACAAATTTTAATACGTACACAAGTATTATACAATTCTTTTCGGTAAAATACGATCAATGTACAATATTAAGAGCAGACGGATTTAGCTTTTTGCCGCCATCGGATTATTTTTTTTTTTTTTTTTTACAGAACGATCGCCGAAAAAAAACCTAATATTTTAAATACTATTTTATACCTACTAACAAAATTGTATATTTTGATGACAGATTATGAAAAAAAAAAAAAAAATCATCGAAAACAAATTTGCCATTACTCGCAAAATTTCCGCCATATAGGTTTTTCGGTCCGACGTTAAATTTACCACTGTATGCATATTACTACAGACGAGCAATAATACAGAATTTAGCGCAAGGCTTGAAAAACGTGATTAAAAAAAAAAAAATTCATGTATTAATAATAATATGTTACCGTACGAATTTTCGTTTCGTGATATCTCGCACTAGTGATATAATAATAATATAAAATTTAATAATAATATAACCGTATTCATTTTTTTATCAGAAGTACTTCCGCCGGACGATCAATTAACTGCAGACGAACAGATAATGATTTTTTTTTTTTTTTTATGAATGTTAGCTATTTTTTAAGCTCTCTCATTGAACAACAAAACTATAAAAGAAAAATATATCGTTATAACATTAATATAATACAGTGACACACTTGCCACGAACGGCCGGTGAATTTGATTTCTGTCTTTTGAATCACTTATATAATATTATTGTGTATTATTATAATACGAAATCGTTTAATCTTTATTTTAACGTTATTTTCCCTACTCTCTGTGGATTAAATGAGTAAAAATACACTGTGACGATTATTATTCAAATAAAAAACACTCCCGTATTAAACACAGATTCGAATAGAGTAAATTTTTCTAAAAAAATTCGATATGCATAACAACATTTTAGGTATATATCGTAGTTGCTTTCATTTGAATGTTATAACAGTTTAAAATTTAAACCGGAGGCGTAGGGAAGAGTAATTCACGTCCGTTTTTGTATAGTTGTAAACAATTGAAAAAATAAATAAAACCATAAATCAGTCATAAAGTCGCTTAAAATCCTCCAAAGAAAATCTCGGTTCAATAAATCACCGTGTATACCAACCAAATAACCCAATGGATCTTATTCGATTTCAGACGTTATAACTCGTAATAGTAAATCGAAATCGAATTATTCGAATTCACGGGCCAACGACCGTATTTAAATTTTTTTAAAGTATTCCGAAATTATTTGAGACACTAATGAAACTGTATTTTACACGCGCCTACCTATATTTCAATAAATAAATAAACAGATATAATCGAACAAAGTTGAAAGACGGGTAAAATCGGAGGTCAGGTTTAGATGTGTATTATGTAACTATAAAAATGTAAAACAATATAATAATAACTGACCGATTAGTTCAATGTAAATACAAATAGTTGTCAAATGTTTCGTTTAGTTACATAATACATAATGAATTGTAGGCACATTACATATTATTATTATAATATTATAGGTATTTGAAATTGTTTTCGATTCAAACTAAAAATATACAATTTAAAAATACTATTGCATTCGTATTTAAAACTTCAAATAGGTATATGTACTTGAGATTTTTTTTTTTTTTTATAAATAATTCATACAACGTCACGATGTTTTAAACATAATCAGGTAAACTACAAAATAAATCAAAAAAACGGCCTCCCCGATACACCAGCTAGACGAAATTTTCTACCGGAAACCATTCCTGACGTTGATAACAAGAAACAAGAAATAAGATTTAAAAGTTGTTCATACACTAAAAAACAAAACACATGCATATAAATAAAACCTATACATATTTACTATACGCACCGAATTTCAAACATAATTTTTATACAAAACTTATGTTCGCAAACTTTGTAGACGGCAATTTTTATTTTTATTTTATATCAGACGTGACCTGTTATCAATGTGTTTTTTTTTTTTTTTTTAGGAATTTCATGTTGCTTATGTCGTCGTTAAAATGGGCAATTCTCCGCGACCGGGTGTTTGGGTACTCGAAAGGTCGGCGGATCACGGACAAACATACCATCCGTGGCAGTATTTCGCTGACACTGTCGCGTAAGTACTTAAAAATAATTAACTGTTTTTAAGAATTTGAACGGGAAATTGGATTTTTTTTCACCGATTTCGTCTGTATGTGTGTTTAGTGACTGTGAATCGTATTTCGGAACGGAAAGCATTAAACCTATTTCCGCGGACGATTCAGTAATTTGCGACACATCGGTTTCAAAAATTGTTCCTTTGGAAAACGGCGAAGTAATAATAATTTGAACACTAATGGAAATAAAATACTATTATTCAGCAATCAATTATATTATTAATGATCGTACATTCAATCGTGTTGTAGATATTCGTGAAACTTTTGGCCAACAGACCATCGGCCAATAATTTTTTCAATTCTTACGCGTTACAAGAATTTACTAGAGCCACTAACGTGCGGTTTAGATTGCTCAGAGTGAAAAATCTTCTCGGTCATCTTATGCCCGTGGCCAGACAAGATCCTACTACCACTAGACGAGTAAATAGTATACCGAATGCATATTGTGTTCGCTCTGCACATTTTTCGTTTTTTTTATTAATACGGTGTTTTTTTATCCCTCTTTAGTACTTTTACTCGATAAAAGACGTGAGTATTGGCGGTAGATGTCGTTGTAATGGTCACGCAGATCTTTGCGATATAACTGATCCCACAGACTCTTACAAACTCATATGCCGTTGTCAACACAACACCTGTGGTCATAATTGCGAAAGATGTTGTCCTGGATTCGAGCAGAAAGCTTGGAGTCAGTCTAAATACGATAAATTATTCGAATGCGAACGTAAGATATTTTAAAATACCTAAATAATAATCTTCTTCTCGTACTTTTTGAAAAATCTCTCTTCGATTACCGACTAGATTTTTATAATCTTCTTCTGCTTTGTCGATGATCCATCTTTTTATTCTATATACCTATCTATCAGTACGATTTACCTACCAAACTATTATAGTCAAATAATATTGTTGTAATTCATTTTCTATTATTTCTGTCAGCGTGCAATTGTTTTGGTCACTCCGAAACTTGTGTTTACGACAGCGCGACGGATGCATCCCATCTGTCGATCGACATTCACGGTAAATACGAAGGAGGAGGCGTGTGCCATAATTGCCGGGATCACACGACGGGCATCAATTGTGACAAATGTGACTTTGGTTTTTATAGGCCGGTTGGAAAACTGTTGAACGAAACGGACGTGTGTCAACGTGAGAAAACATAGAACGTCTCTTGAAAAATTATGGAAACTATTTTGGAAAAATCGTTTGGAATTTTCAGGTTGTAACTGTGACTATTTCTATTCGACGGGAAACTGTTCCGAGGGTTTTGGCAAGTGCGAATGTAAAGAAGCGTACGCTTCGCCGGATTGTGACAAATGTAGCGAGGGCTATTACGGATATCCGGATTGCAAACCCTGCGAATGTTACTTGAACGGGACTAGAGGAAGACAGTGTGAAAACACCGGTGGACAATGTCCTTGCAAACAAAATTTCGGCGGAAAATTCTGTTACCAATGTGCCGACGGCTTCTACAATTTCCCCGAATGCAAACGTAAATACATTTCGGTATTCTGTGTATTCTCGGTAAAATTTAATATTTTTCATCATTTATTTGTACAGCGTGCGAGTGTAACGAAGTCGGTTCTAGAAACGCGATATGCGACCAAAAAACCGGACAGTGTTCGTGCCACAGCAGTTACGGAAACCTTTCGTGCGAACAATGCAACCACGGATATTACGGATTTCCCGCGTGTTCATGTAACAATATTTTAGTAAAACGTTTCCCTGTAAAAAGAACCGGATAATTTAATAGTTACATAATTATCGTTATTGTTCGCAGATTGTAATTGCGATTCGATCGGATCGGTGCCGGAAGTGTGTAACAAATCCAACGGAACGTGTCTGTGCAAAGAAGGATACGCCGGACCCAGGTGTGACAAATGTTTACCTGGTTACAACGGATATCCGGACTGTAAACCGTGCGGTTGTTCGGAACGGGGAAGCGCGTCTTCCATTTGCGACGCGTCTGGGAAATGTCCATGTTTACCAAGTTTCGCCGGAAGAACGTGCGAACAGTGTAGTCCGGGGTACTATCAATATCCCGAGTGCAAATGTAAAAATATACTTAATAATCTGTTTTCGCTTGTATTCGAGTTTACATTCTATTGATTTCAGTCTGCGATTGCAACAGTCAAGGATCCATCGGAGTTTCGTGTGATAACGAGGGAAAATGCAAATGTAAACCGAATTTTATGGGGACCCGGTGTGACAAGTGCAAAGAAGGTTTATACAATTTCCCAATATGTGAAGGTAAATGCGGCGATGCAAATAAAATCGTGTTTTTAAGATGTCGAATCACACGAACTATCCGATTTTGTATATCATATTCATTAATAATATTATATTCTCGACAGAATGCAATTGTAACCCTGCTGGCGTTCTCGCGACGTTTGCTGGTTGTGGATCGTTACCGTTGGGCGAACTGTGTCAGTGTAAACCCAGAGTTCACGGAAGGATATGTGACGAGTGCCGGGAACTTTACTGGAATTTACAACCTTCAAATCCGGAAGGCTGCGAAGGTACACAACAATATCCAATATCATTTTATCATTTAATGTGCAAGTCGATTATTAATGATGGATGTTTTGGTTTTTTTTTTTATATATAACAGACTGCGATTGTTTCATGCCCGGTGTTCTCAGCGGCGTCGGTGTTTGCAATCCGAAATCCGGCCAGTGCATCTGTAAACCGTCGGCCACCTCGAGAAGATGCGACGAATGCGTCGAAGGATTTTACAGTTTAAACGAAAACAGTTTATTCGGGTGTACAGGTAATGAGCTCGCTTTAAAACATATTTTCAATACAATCAATATCAATTATCCGTGTAAATGTAAACGCGCCGAAATATGTCTGACGTGCAGAATGCGATTGTAACGTCGGTGGCTCGATAAACGAGGTGTGTGACAAGACCGTGGGACAATGTTTTTGCCAGCCGAGAATCGTCGGAAGAGCTTGTGACGAACCCATGCAAGCGCATTATTTCCCGACATTACATCAGTTTACGTACGAAGCCGAAGACAGTCGTACGCCGACCTACACTCCTGTCCGATATGGATTCGATGAAAAATTCTTCCCGGAGTATTCTTGGAAAGGTTACGCCGTCTTTTCTCAGCTTCAAGTACATAATGATTTAGACCATTTCGTTTTTTCGGTCAGATTTTATTTTTATGTTTATCGAATGTAGAGTGAAATCGTTTACGAGTTGAACATCGATAAACCGTCGATTTACCGTATAGTGTTGAGATATGTTAATCTGAACAACGAAACGCTGTTGGGATACGTGTCTATTACGCCCGAAACACCGAACAACATCAACATCGAACAAAAGTTTATAGTAAATAAATCTAATGTAAAACTAGGCGCCTGATAACTGTTTGACGTAAAACTTTATTTCGCTTAAAGGTGCAACTAAAACCTACGAAAACTCCGTCATTCGTAACGGTTTCTGGAGCTACAGGAAACATACCATCACCGTTCGTAATGAGCCCCGGACGTTGGGCGGTTACCATAAAGATCGAACAGAATCTGTTTGTGGTTCGTTGGGTTCTATTGTTGACTACAGTTTTTCGTATTTAATTATTTTAATGATACAAAGTTACAAGTGATGTTTGTGGTTTTTTTTAGGATTACTTTGTAATTTTACCCGCCGAGTACTACGAAGGAAATATTCTCGTCGACAAAGTACTAAATCCTTGCGTTATCGATAACATAGAAAGCGGTCTGTGTAGACATTTCGATTATCCGAGTATTTCGAAATTCGATCAAGTCAAGAGCACTTCCGCGTTGACTGTGGACGACAAAGAACCAGTCGATTACTTTGAAGATATAAAAGTAATAATATGAAATTTGATATATTTGCTACGACTATTATAAGTACAAGACTAATATGTTTTTAGTAATGGTTTTTTTTTTTTTTTTTTTTTTTTTAGCAATTGGACGTCCTAGGCGTTCCCAAATTGCCCGTCATCAGTGAAACGCAACCGGAACTAAAATTGGAATTATCGATCGCCAACTCGGGTCCGTACGTGATCTTGATCAACTACATGACACCGTCGTCGATTCAAACGAAGGCCGTAATCAGAATCGAGGTGGACGAAAAAATAAATTCGGGCAAAGCGATACTGTACGCTTGCCATCATACGACCTTGTGCAGACAAGCCGCCGTAGATGCGATGGGAAAAGTGGCCATATTCGACATCAACAAACAAGTGACCAGAGTGATACTGAAAGGCGGCGAAGACCTATCGAGAGTCGGCGTGGAATCGATTGTCGCGTTGCCGTTGGACAAATGGTCTTTGGACTATATCAACCCGAACCCGTCGTGCATAAAGAAAGATGGCAAGTGCATTCAGTCGTTCTATCCCACTCCACCGGATACGAAAAAAGTGGAATTCAAGACCGATAACGAGGATCGTCTCGCCACGGTCGCACCCAAAGATATCTACGACAATTCCACGGCGCTGGTCATTCTCGACCACGCCGACAGCATTGTCGATTTGGCCGGAAAAGTGCCCGGTCCCGGGGCGTATGTTTTCGTCGTTCATTTTTACCAACCCGATTTCCCAGGTATTTACGATAGACCATCGTGTCGAACGATTTTAATCTACTGTCAACTAATGTATACGATACACGCACTATAATTTTCTAGCTTTCGAAATGAACGTGTTAATACACAATGGACAGACGTACGAAGCGGTTTTGCCGGTAAAACATTGTCCGTCGAACTCGGGATGTCGTTCCGTCGTTAAACAGGCCAACGGAAACACGCAGTTTCAACTGATCGAAAACTTTTTACTGACCCTAAAGGTATGTATTTATTTATTATTGTGTAACCGATTGGTTTTTAAAATACAAAACGTAGGTATATGTTAAGCTAAAAGTCCATAAAAAAAAAAAAAAGTTACATAAAATGCGCTTGCGTTGAGATAATCGACCGCGATGTGGCCAATGTCGCAACCGAACGGCTTCTACTGCCCGGTATCCTGTCGCTCCAGAATATTGTTTTCGATTTCCAACCGCTGCATCGTCCGCCATTCTTCCAGCCGTGGCATCTGACCATGTTCAAAGCGGGCCAATACTGCTTTTTTTTTCTACGCTGGAGAAACCGGCATTTCTCTACTAACATCGTATATTCGTAATTCTGCACGACTGGCTGGCCGGTCGGCCCGTCGCCGTCCGGTCGATCCGCCGCCGTTCCGTCAAAATCCAAGTCAGGGACCGGTCGGGATTGTGGTCTCTGATCGCCGTCCCCGCAGTGTTCTCGTCCGTTCTGCATGTCCGCCGAAAATCGCCGTCGAGAAATCCTCTGTTATCCGCTGTCACGGTCATTCGTCCACGTTTGGTTCCAGATACCTTTGTTCAGACGGTTCGCTTTAATATATCTGCACATACAAACAGTTGTTCTTTTATTTATTTGTTTGGTAGATATTGTATTTCGCAATTGTTTAGTCGGCATAGAAATTCGCGTACAAAGAACGCTATAAAAACCAAGAATATTAACTGAATATTCGTATTTTATGTCAATGATATAATCGTGTTTTGTAATAAATTTGAAACGCGATAAAGAAAAAATGTTAGCGATTTGTTATAATTATAAATACGGCCAGGATGAAGACTTGAATCAGCGAATTAAGAAATTAAAAAATAAATTAATAACACGCATACATTTGCCTAACTTTTAAATTAGTAATATTACTGCGTTAATCATTGTTATTAATTAATTAATTGTTATAAATATTGTGTTATGTTACTTAAACTATATATATGTTCCTTATAAAATATATTTTGAATTTCCCACGTATTTTCACGTTAAGGAACCGAATCATAAAAGCGTTTGGTTGGAATACGTTTTGGTTGTTCCGGCTCAAGAGTACAGAGATTCCATAATCGTAGAACAACCTTTCGACTACACCGGCTTATTCATATCGAAATGTGGCAGCAACCATTTCTATATCAACACTTCAACTACAGGTAATTGTTTTTATATTTTAAACTAATTGTCATTTATCATTACGGGGCATGGTGGTCTAGGGCCTAAGCAACCGCTTAACCACTAACCTAACTTTCCACTTTGCTACAGCGTTCTTCCGTTACAATTATTTATTTTCTCTAAACACATTGCCGGATACTATTTCAGTTTATTTGTTCACATAATTGTATACGATTCGCTTTGATTTTAGGTTTTTGCAAAGAAGCCACGTTTTCGCTGACGACCGCATACAATAACGGAGCCGTCTCATGTCTCTGCGACTACGACGGTTCCTTGAGTTTTGTATGCGACCCTTACGGTGGTCAATGTCAATGTAAACCCAACGTGATCGGTCGGCGGTGCGATGCCTGCAAAACCGGTTACTTCGGTTTTCCGGACTGTAAGTCGTGTAATTGTCCGTCGGTCGCCACTTGCGAGATGACCACCGGAGAATGTATTTGTCCGCCACGAGTAACGGGCAAAAACTGCGATCAATGCGAATCAATGACGTACGGATTCGATCCGATAATTGGTTGCGAAGAGTGCAAGTGCAATTATTTCGGCGTAGAAAACGGAAACCTCCAGTGTGACTTGTTCAACGGATCTTGCGAGTAATTTTAGTTTTTTTTTTTTCTTTATTCTTTGTTCTTTAATTTGTTTACTGTAATATATCGTACATTATTAGTGTTGTTATTATTATTATTATTTTTAATTCATTCAACATGATAATGATTAATTCATGTAATATTTATTTAGGTGTAAACAAAATATTGTTGGCCGTTCTTGCGACCATTGCCGCTCTGGACATTGGTCATTCCCTCGCTGCCATGTGTGTGACTGCGATTATCGAGGAACGACATCCGAAATTTGTAACCAAGTTCGTTAGTTTTATTACATATAAAATATACCAAATACCTATATTTTTACAAAAATATTTCTATTTATAATTAATGAGCTCAGTGAGAAATCTATAGATTTGTCAATGATATTTTTTATATATTTATAAAAACATCATATATATATTATACTCGGTGATTCACTAAGCGTGCTCATCCGATTTTTTTGATTAAATTTTGCATATATTCAAATTCAGTGTAGCTATAGCTGATATTTTCAAACATTTGGATTTTTCACAACGAGTATCCTTTGGCGCGATACTAACTTTGGTTTTTCAAATAAGAAATAAGTCGAAAATTCCACAAATAAACGGAGTATTACTCCGTTAGAGAGATTTTTAAAAGGGGTCGTTCTTATTTCAGGAGATGTTGTTTATTTGTAATTTGATATCAACATTATTATAATGTTAGGTAAACATTTTTGTTTTATTCCTAACATTCTTAAAATGTTTTTACTGTATTTATGGAAGGTAAAAAAATTTGTTTGATGCAATTCTTATAAAAATAAAAAAAAAAAAAAATAAATATTAGACATTATCCATTCAAATTAAAATTTTTTGAGAACATCGTATTTAAATATGAAACCCTCGATATTAATATAACACCAACTTCTTATTGTGATTATCTAACTTCATAATTGATATTGTTTTTACTTTTTGAATTTATATAGGAAACTTCTGAATGTTTTTGTAAATCCAACGTTTACGGCCAAGCGTGTGATCTATGTAAAGAAGGTACGTTCAATATACAAGAGAAAAACGACGACGGATGTTCGAAGTGTTTCTGTTTCGGTAAAACTACTCGATGTCAAAGCTCCAATCTTTACAGAACAGAAGTATGTGTTAAACGTGCCTAACTTGTAAATCTCTTGGAAATATTATATACGATCGTTTTTAGATTATCGACATGGAGAATTGGTCTTTGAAAGTCATCAACATGACTACCAAAGGGGCTATGGTTGACGATGTGCAATTGTCAATCGAAAAACACGAAGAAGGCGAACTTGGCGTCGATTTAACAGTTGAAGAACTTCAAAAAAAAGTCGCTTATTTCTTCGCTCCACCGACTTTTTTGGGAAATCAATTGAAATCGTACGGAGGATTCCTAAACTTTACCATCTATTACACTTCAAATCTTTTCGGAAGTGCCGTTAGCGGTCCCGACGTTATTTTATACGGTCACGACCTTTATTTATTCTATTTTTCGTTGGAACAACCGGCGTCAAACACAAAGTTCCCGAACTTTGTTGAAATCGTAGAGCAAAATTTCGTATTATTCAGTGGATTACAAGCCACTAGAGAACAACTAATGCAAGTGTTACAGAACTTAAATGGAATATATATTAGAGCTACTTACTGGGAACCAACCGTAACAACGAGGTGATTATAGTCATTTAAATAGTTATCTTTTTTCAAATATCAATTCAGATTTTTAATCAATAAAATTACTATTCAGGATATCAAATATATTATTAGAAACAGCTCAAGAAGAGTATATTCCGTCGAAAGAAATTGCTCTGCCCGTTGAACAATGTCAGTGCCCTGCTAATTACGTGGGATTATCTTGTGAAGAATGTGCTGACGGTTTCTATAGAGCTCAAACTGGACCTTACGGAGGTTATTGTGTTCCTTGCCAGTGCAATGGACATTCAAGCACTTGTGACAAAATTACTGGAATATGCAATGTAATTATTTTTCTACAGATGTTTATTAATTCATACTCGCACATAGACTAAACTTTAATATATCAATATTGAATATTGTAGGTCCTCGAATTTATGAAAATACTATTTTTTAGAATGATTCATAATTCAAGCAGCCTTGATAAATTAAAAAAACATAATACATTTCATTAAACGAATAACTATTCGAAATTAAACTTTATAGCAATTTTCTAAAAAATCAAGAAAATAGAGAAAAATTGTACGTTTAAAAGTATCACAATAATAATTTAGATGATGTTTTATTTATGTTTGTAGACTTGCAAACATAACACTACTGGCGATCACTGTGAAAAATGTATTGTAGGCTACCATGGGAATGCTACTGTAGGAACGCCGTACGATTGTCTCATATGTGCTTGTCCTCTACCAATAGCTACTAATAAGTAAGATAAAATTATTGATTTGCATAAGTGTTTTCAAACAAAATCTAAAATTTTAAAATAACAAATTATATAATTTTAGTTTTGCGACCGGCTGTGAAGTCAGTCCAGATGGAAATAAAATTAGCTGTGACTGTATCCCTGGATATTTTGGTGCTAGATGCGAATCTTGTAACGCTGGATTTTACGGTAGCCCAGAGACTCCAGGTAAATAATAATAATATATTGGACGTATTTTAAAACATAAAACGTTAATGTTACCAATATTTAAAATTGAATCAATATTCGTATTTTTAGGTGAAGTATGTAAAGAGTGTCAGTGTTCTGGTAACATAAATAAAGAAGATCCCGGATCATGTGATTCAATTACCGGAAGGTGCACGCGTTGTTTAAACAATACGTTCGGGGAAACTTGTCAATTCTGTCGACCAGGATTTTTCGGTGATGCTGTGAACTTGAAAGATTGTCAAGCGTGCGACTGTGATAAATGTGGAATGGACAAGTGCGATAACTATAACGGTCAATGTGTCTGTCAAAAGAACGTAGAAGGTGAAAAATGTGATAGATGTGCTGTAAACCATTACGGTTTTGGAACTTGCAAGGTAAAAACATTCATTAAATTATAATCAAATATTCAAATCGATAAATAATTTTATATGAATTAACCGTTTATAATAATTATTATAAAACAAACATAATTTAGAGTGCTTTATTTCATATTTTGTAGGGTTGCAAACCATGTGATTGCGCTTTGGCCAGTGAGAGTTCTCAATGTGACGAGAATACGGGAATGTGTAGATGTAAGCCCGGCGTTGCCGGTAGGACCTGCGATCGCTGTAAGCCCGGATATTGGAATTATACCGAAGAAGGATGCATACGTAATTAAATGCATATTAAAAATAAAAAACTAAGACAATAATTATTCATTGAATGGTTACGTTTACAGCATGCAGTTGTAACTCGGAGTACAGTGTGGGTGTTAGCTGTAATCCTCAAACCGGCAAATGTGAATGTTTACCAGGAGTTATTGGAGATAAATGTGATCATTGTCCCCATCGCTGGGTTTTAATACAGCCACAAAATACTATTGATCAAAACGGAGCCGGTTGTTTCAAGTGTGACACGTGTACTCATTCCCTTTTGGACGTGATGGATAGTTTGTTCGCTAAATTATATCCCATATCTAAAGACTTTGAAGTATAATAAAATTGAATGCAATTTCAAACTATTATACTAATGATTTGATGTTATTTTTTTTTTTTAGACCGTTGCACTTGGGTACTTTACGACTCAACGTTTGTTATACATAAACGAAACCGTATCCAAGTTAAAACCAAATTTAACTGAACTTATATCGAGCAGCACCGATATACTTCCAATGAACATAAATTTAACGAATTTCCAGAAAGACATATCAAATCTTAATAGAAAGGTAATTATTTGTATACATTAGTACATAAAAATATTTGCAAAAAATTATAATTATTAATAAACGAAAAAAAAAATTGGTTTTTAGTCAAAATCAGCTTTATCGGATGCATTAGTTTTAGCATCTAAAGGCGAAATAACAATTAATAAAGCAATTGAAGTGGGTTTTGCGATGGATCAAGCAGTATCTCAAACTAATAAAGCCGTCGCTGAAGTAACAAATTTAGCGCAGAGTCTACAAGAAGGTGCAGGGCCACAAATTGATTCAGCGTTAAATGAAGCACAAAAATTATTAGAAGATATCAAAAATTCACTTCCAAATATGACCAACAAAATTGAAGAATCAAATATTATACTTAATAAGTCTACTGAATTACATAAAAAAATGTCAGAAATTGTAATACCTTTGAAAACCCCGTCTCAATTGTTAAAATCAACAAAAAATAAAATGAAAACTTTCCAAGACAATATATCGGATATTACAAACTACGCTGATAATGCCAATAAAAAAGCAGCCCAAACTGCATTTATAAATGATGGAAACAGGTTAATAATTAATAAATATTTTTGATAGAAAACATTACTATAATTAAAATATTGATTTATTATTTTTAGAGAATCGTTAATAAAACAAAACGAACGAATAAGTACTTTAACAAAACTAAAAGACACGGCAAACGATGCTATGGACAATTTAATGAAAACGGTAAAAGAGGCTGCTGATGATTTACACAAATCTAGTGAAGCGTTCGCTAAACTCGGTTTGGAAAATGAATCAATGAAAGCTATAAAATCTAAGGTTGACAGCGAAATTGAAAGAGAAGTAAGAGTACTCGAAGCATTACAAATCGGTATCACCGAAGCAAAAGAACATTCTGAAAAACTCAAGGAACAGGTATTTATATACATCATATTTAATTGACTATTTTTGTTAGATTTCCAAAATCGATATATAATTCATTATAAAAACATTTTACTGTATGTGAATTTTGGTAAATATTAATTACATTAAATGTCGAAAGGCTGACTTGATGGAATCCTTAGTGAAAAATTCGACCACCGCATCAGAAACGGCAATTGCGGCAGCAAACTCCTATAAAAATATAGAATCGGAAATCGAAAAAGCATTAAACGCTGCTAAAACTGCGAGCACGGCAGCCGAAGATACGATTAATAAGGTATTTATCTCGTACAAATGTTTTCAAAATTAATTTTTCTTATCACTTTAATTATCTACATTGTATAAAAAAAATCTTCATAGTCAAAGGGGCTAGATGAAAGAGTAGCTTCAGCGGAACAAAATTCAATACAATTATTACAAGATGTCAGACAGGCTTTGGAAGATATACAGGGGAATATAGAAAGTGCATTAAATAATGCTAAAAACGAATTGTCTACACTTTCAAACTCAAAAAGCCAAATAAATGAAAAAGAAAGCGATATATCTAAGTAAAAATAATAAGTTACTATATATTAGGTAGTTCTGAAGGTAATATATATTTTAATTTATGATTTTCAACAGATTATTGGATCAGATTTTAGAAGTAACACCGAGTGTCAATTCGGACGAAAACGTGAGAGCAGTATTGGAAAGTGGCGAGAATTCTCATAAATTGGTAAATAGCCTCAATAACATAGTTCAATCACTACCAAATCATCTGATTGCATCCCAACAACTTAATAAAGACAACGAAAACGCAATCAAAGACAACACTCAATCTAAAAATCAACGTAAGATGGATATTTAAATATGTTGATATTTAATACTAATACTCATTTATAATATAATAACATTATTATAATTTAGTGGATATTGCATCATCACTTTTGCCAAATGCTGTTGAATTTGCTGACCGTCTGAAAAATAAACCAGAAACATTACAAAAGAAAGGACAACAAGTGAAATCCAATATGGCGTTACTACAGAAAAAGATTAATATATGCCGAGAAATGGTTAACAGGTATACTTATTAATAATATATTTTATTGATTTTATAATTTTTCAAAAAAATAATAATTATTCTAAATCATTTTAATTTAATTTTTTTTTTCTTAGAATTAAAGTTGGCGTAAGTTTATCGAGAAATTCCACTATAGAGCTCCGTAATCCTGACAATTTAGCACAACAAGGTATCAGCACGCTCGCTTCAATTTACTTTAAAACCGATCAGCCGAATGGTCTCATTATGTATCTCGGAAACGAAGTCGGCACTAGTCGAAGGATGAGAAGAGCTATTACCGTAATGATATATATTATAGCACCCTTATACTGTATAATAGTTAACCCCTAATTTAAAAAATGTAAGGTCTTCCAAATTGTATGTAGCCGTTTTGAAAATAGGAATATGGATAGGTACACCATACCTACTCCAACTTTCAAAACTATAACATATAATCTGGAAGACACTGTATAACTTGGATTAACTGACCGACATAATAATATAGGATGATTTTATGGCATTACAAGTCGAAAATGGTTGTTTGGTATTGTTAATGGATATTGGTTCGGGTATTTCAACGGTGATCAGTGATAAAAAAGTATCGGATAACAAGTGGTATAAAGCTACGGTTGAAAGGTATTTAAACAAAAATATATAATTATACACATATGATAAGTATATATTATTTAACAACAATATGTTAAGATATGTTTGCTGGTTTTTATTCTAGGACTGGCAAAACGGTAAAATTAGTTATACACGAAGATTTAGGAAAAGGATCGAATTCTAAAGAAATAACTTACACAAAAGAAACTATTCTTTCTGGAAATTCCTCAATTTTAAATTTAGACAAAGATCACTCGAAACTATTCATAGGAGGTTTACCCGCTACGTTTAGAGCCCAAGAAAATATTGCAGAACTTTCGTTAGAAGGACAAGTTGAAGATTTAATACTAGGAAACACATTCATTGGACTTTGGAACTTTGTAGACTCTTCGGGCGGAAATCACGGATCAATCGAAAGGTTTAATGGAAATTTGAAAATTTTAGTGCTATTCAAATTAACAATAAATATATTTTATTTTATGTATATAGAGATAGGTTCACAAACACATCCAGTAGTTCTGGATATCGAATGAACGGCGAAGGATTTGTCGTCTTAGAATCTCGTTTTTACGAACTGAAATTTAAATCGTCCATTTTTTTGAGTATAAAAACCACATCGTTGGATGGATTGATATTCCTAGTGTTTAAAGATAACTACTTTATGTCTATTGAATTAGAAGCAGGAAGTATCGTTTTCAGGGTTAGTTTCATTTATATTTTGTGTATTAAAGAAAAAAAAATGACTTTGTATACACAGTACATTTAATATATTTAATAATATTCGAATCAGCTAAATTTGGGCGAAGACACGTTGTCGTTGATTACCCCAACTCAATATAATGACGACAAGTGGCATGCGATCGAAGCATCGAGATTCGGTAAAACCGCAGTACTAAAAGTTGACGGAGAAGATACAAACGGACAGAAAGTAGCTAACGGACTCACGAATGATCTTAAAGTATGCGAAACAATTTTATTTTCATTCAACATTTGCTATTTTTTTCGATATTAATAGGCGTTGCATATAATTTAAGGTTTCTGAACATATGTACATCGGTGGTTTTCCGGGAGATCACGAAATTAAAGGCGTCACCAAGTTTAACTATGACGGATGTTTAGACAGCGTACAAATCGATCAAGTCCAAGTAAATCTGAACAAGAACGTAAACGCGTATGGTATTATTTCCGGATGTCCGCTGAAGGTATAAAATTAATCACAAAACATGTTCTCGCGTGGTTATTTTAAAACTTGTATACGATAATAACGAGTGAACTTTCAGATCGCCAGTCTCGTATCGTTCGAGTACGGAAGCAGAGGTTATGTCCGGTGGCCGAACGCGACCGCGTCCGATAATTTAGTCGATCTAATCCTGAGGTTTAAGACCAGTCATCCGAACGGTTTGCTTGTGTACGGCGTAGACGGTTCGTCCGTGTTTTCGTTGCGCATGGAATCCGGAATGTTGACGTTCAAGAGCGGAGGTATTCAAGTTTCGTCCACGCAATCCACGCGATACGACGACGACCAGTGGCACGTGGTGTTAGTGGCACACACGAACCAACAGCTATTGCTCATCATCGACGATTTCGATAGTTTCCAGTACGTTTGTAAAAAAAAAAAAAAAAATGAATATCTATTGTTATTCGTCAGGCGTGTTGATAAATCGAAACTGATTTTTGCTATAATTCTATGTATATAGATCCGAACAACGGCCGAACCCGGTGAGATTCTTGTTCTCAGACTTTTTCTTCGGCAGCGTACCGTCGGACGTAGACGGGGCCGCTGCAATGCAACCGTCGTTCGCCGGTTGTATCGGTGACGTGACGTTTAACGGAAAAATCATCAATTTCGCGCAGCTCACCGACACTCCAGGAGCGACGATCGGACGATGCACGGGACCGCCGATATCGACCGGAGGTTTTAAACCAGCAAAACAACCTACTCTGGGTAATTTTAAAACATTTTGTAAATAGGCAATAGGTACAATGTAAACGCTTTGCGTTATAATCGAGACTGGCATTAAAGAGTTAAAAATTTAAAAAAGTTAAATTGATTTCAATGTTGCTTTGTATCGTTGATTTTTAAGACTCAGAGCAATAAGAGGAATATATAAGTCTCACTATAATGTGTGCTTACTTTTTGTTTTAAATTTAAATTGTTTGTGTCTGCGAGAAACATTTCGACCAGAAATCTTACTCAAATAAAAAAATTGCAAAAGACGTTTCTTATTGAATTTTGGATCTAGTTGGTACAGTGAGAAGGTCATTTTTTTAATTTTCCAAAGGGCTTACATTACAATTGGGGAAATCGCAGAAAAAAACATAAAAGAAAAATAAATAAGTGTATGACGTTAACGACTTCATTATTTAAAAATGTTTGGATTTTTGTTTTCTACCAGAAATCTTGGTCCAATTCATAAGAGTTGTCTAGTCGGTGAATATATTAAACTAATATTACTAGACCATCATACCACTAGAATATGATGTTATAAACATATACGACCGTAGGAATTGATGCGTATGACGTGGATTTCAATTTTGAAATTTTGAAAACGTATTATGACTCTTTAGATTCATTACTGTTATATGTTAGATTTTTTTTTTTATTTCAATTCTCTAAAGTAAAAGTCAAAATAGGCTTTAAAAATATATTTGTTAAAAATGTTTCAAAAATACAATCAAATTTTTTTACAATTTTTGGCAAAACTATTACATTTCCATTTCCATCGTATTGATATCCGCCGATATTCCAACAGTTTCGTCTGACTTTTAAGCGATTAATTAAATCGATTAAAACATATACACCGATTCCCATAACCGAGTCGATATTATTTTATCCGTGCACTCGCCTCGTCTCGACTAAAAATGTATATACAATAATAATGTTATACAGTAAAACCGAAACCTCCGCTAAAGGAAGACTCGGACGTGACAATGGGGTCTATCACGCAGATTACAACTATTCCACCGACGTTCGACGATGTGACCACAAAACACACTCCAGCGGTCAAACTGTGCGCGCTCCCGGCGACTCCGCAGGAAGACCGCGGTCTGAACAAAGAAAGTGGATTTAGATTCGGTACGTCGTCGATAATATGTTACTTAAAACGGCCGTGCATTTAGGCGGTTTAGTTTTTTTGTCATTTTTTTCTTATCCGCCCGTTCGTTATCTTTCAGGAAACGCTGTGGGAAGTCGGTTCGTATTCGATGTGCCGGACATGAAAGCCAAACACAATAAAAATGAAGCGTTCTCGGTGGACGTGAAGACTACCGACCCGGAGGGCATAATATTTTTCGCATATCAACAGGGTGGTACAGATATAATGGCTGTTTATCTTAAAGACGGACAGGTAATCTATCCAGATTCTATATAGAAAACAATATATGCAATAATATCCTAATGCAATTTAATATTTTTTTTGACAAACATTCTCTTCTTCTCCAAACTCCTATTCAATCAAATTGATTCACCTTCATTATTTGCTGAAATTTCTTTCCGTGTTCCTTTACGCGAAACTCGGTCTTCTGTTCCTTTTCACATTCCTCATTTTACCTCCGATTTCCTTTCAAATGCTCGTATGATCCGTCTTCCTTGACCAGCTGACCTTGGTCCCTCTTTCTCATTAAAAAAACTGTTGTAATGCGTTGTTTATAATACATATGTTATATTTTCATGTTTTATAATAAATTGGACTCAGTCCGTTTTGTTTCAAAATAAATAAATAATTTTTTATACATTACATAGGTTCACTATCAATTAAGTTGTAATTCTGTGCCAACGACGATCATAGCCCAGATACATGCCAATGATGGAGAATGGCATTCGATCATGTGGACCCGGTCTAACTCGAATGCTCAACTGTTCGTCAACAATATGTCTGTCGGATCCAGTGACATGGTTGAATGTAAATTGAACATATCTTCGCCCTTCTATTTCGGAGGCACCAGGCCGTCGGATTACGCGCGAGTAATCGAATCAATAGTAAGCAATAGATATTTCAATTATCTAGCAACCTAAGTATAAATGACTAAAAATAAAAATACCAGAACATTTTAAAAATCTATAACACCTCCTGGAAATAAAAAAAAATTTTGATTTCAACAGAAACCGAGTGTGTTAATAGCCCGTAATCATGTCCCTTTTTCCGAAGAGTCTTTTAGATATTTCCCCATTATCAAAAAAAAAAAAAAAAATTTTTACAAAGGTTATTGAATAATACCCTCATCTATACCCAGTGCGCTAATTATACGAAAATTCGATACTATAAACCACCGCCAATGCTGATGATTGGAACGAATCAAAAACTTATTTACAGATAGAATTTAAATGTCAAACCGATATTATGCTTATAAGACGAGACTATAATATTGTTATTGTTATTGTTTACAGGGAATGAATGCTACGTTTATGGGCTGTCTGCGCAAGTTTATGATTTTTTCCAAAGATAGGCAACCCGATCATAAATACGGCGTGACCAAATGTTCGAACAAAGTGGAAAAAGGAGCGTTCTTCCACGGAAACGGCGGTTACATTAGATTATGTACGTACATATTTTATAAACGAAATTTCCAATACGTTTTCAAATACTTTAACGGAAATGCATTATGCGAAATATATAAACATTTCAGCTGAAGCATTCAGTTTGGGTAAAAACGTGATCATTTCGTTATCCATTAAACCCCGGAGCATAAACGGAATTTTGATGTCGATGCAAACGACTGATAAAGTCAACTTGTTATTGGAAATGAAAAACGGAACGATATCATTCACAGTAGACGTCGGCAAAGGTTCGATGTCCACTTCTTACACGCCACCGTCGCCGTACCTATTATGCGACGGCCAATGGCATTCGATCAGAGGTCAGTATATTTATAGATTTTGATTTATTGTTGAATTTCGCCCGAAAATAGAAACCCTGTATTGCGCTATGTAGGAAGTCTGATATAATATTGATCTATCTTTCTTCCGCTACACCTCTAGCGGATCACTCCGAAAAAAATGAGCCCAAACTCGGAAATTAGATTTATTATGTAGGAGGGATTGAAGTGATAAAAGTTAGGTTTAATTTCAATATTAACTCCAGAATTTGAGGAAGTTTCTTCAGTTTTTAATGGCCCTACAGACCTCCAGATAAATGTAGAGGTTGCAGTTTTACATAATATATGTTATTTTAGTGTCGAGGACTTGAGATTTTGGTGGTTTAAACATTCAACTCTGCCGTTTTAAGCTGAAATTAAAAATGTCTTTTATTTTGAAAGCAATGCTTATATGGTTGTAGTAAATTCGTGGGCATTTATTATTTCACAAAGAATATTTGATATAATACAATCAACTCACACGCTCCAAACAAATCGGAAAATTAATTGATTTCACCGTTTGATAGGATTTTAGAAGACAAATCTGAATTTGTAGTCAGTCCTTTTTAAAATGCATAAGAACCGATATAAATTTAACCGGAAAGTTACGGTTTTTGTCTCATACCTAATAATTCCGTTTGATTATGTAAGTTTTGATACTGAACCCAGTATTTAACCTGTGTCAATAAACACATGATTCATAACACATTTTGACTTTTATCAAAACTCGGTTGTTTCTTACTTTAGAGTAAAAACTTACATGTTCCAAAAATAATTTTTCTTTAAGCGTATTGATTTATACAATACTCAATAGATTGCAAGGGGGGGAGGATTTGATTCTATATAAAATGACGGAGCTCTGCTGTTCGTGGGGGGTGTTTTTACAAGATTCGCGTGTAATTTTGTGTTATAACTAATACACTAATAATAATATACTAATACCCCCGGTAATTCTTCTGTACAGCCAAAAAACTAAAGAACACCGTGCAACTGGAAATAGACAACATATTCATGGAACCTGTGAAAATTAAAACTGGACCGAGCACTTCGATAGATGTACAGGTGTTCATCGGTGGATATCCGAACAGTGACCAATCCAACAAATACTTGGGATGTATACGAAATATACAGTTAATAAACAGCGTCAATAGTATGAAAACGTTCGACAAGTTCCCGAATCAGTTGGTACAAGGCAATGTGACGTTGAGTGTCTGTCCGACAATTTAGAGTTACTAAGTTATAATATTAACATTATATTCATTATAAAACTCAATTATGATATATAGGTATATATATATATAATAATAATTATACATGTGTATATATATATATATATATATATATATATATTTTGTAAATAATATTATATTTAAAAAAAAAAAAAAAAAAACGAGCAAACAAAATAAATGTACAAAATAGGAGTGCCCGCACGTTTAAAACCAAGTAAGTGTAAGACAATAATATTACGATTTATTAATAATTAGTTCGATAAAACTAATTGATTAACGCAAACACAATGCGACTTTCTAAACGGATTTCGAACGTACAATACTATAATATTATAATTATTTATGAGTATTGTACAAAAGCGTATTGCGCGCTGTGTTTTCAAACAAATCGCATGTATTCCGAATATAACATTATAATAATTTAAATGTAGGTACTATACATACCTGCGATATAATATACACATTTAGATAAATAAGAAAATGTTCTGTTTTCGGTATTCTGGTAATGTGTTTTCCCGCACTCATATTTCTTTTTCTTCTTCTACAGGCGCCTATCTGATTTTGAATCAGCAATGACCACGTTTCAGAGTTTTTGATTGCGAAACAACTCTGACCAGCTGTTTCCGAACCATACCATCAGATTTTGAAGCCACGATATTCTTCTTCTGCCGAGTACTCTCTTTCCAAATGTTTTCTTCAACAAAACGGATTGAAATTTAGAATTCCTAATCTCATTTCTCATTATGCGCCTTAGGTGTTGGAGCTTTAAAGAACAAGATAGTTATTAAAACCAAAACATGGCGTGCTTGTATGCTCTACATACGGTTTTCCCCTATTTTATGTGATCCATTTTTTAACCACATAACTTGATCCAATCAGAAACTTTGTAGGAGATTTTTCAACGCTAATAGGCAAGCTATTTTTGAAATTTCTCATACTTTTATTAATCATCAGTCTCTAAATAATCTGAGCTACTCCGGTTCGGGCTTAGATTATTGTTCTTAAACCTTTTTCATACTACTTATTCACCAGTTTTTGACTAAATTGATTTTTATTATCATTATAATATTTATATTTTTTTTTTTTTTTTGTAAGAAATAATCGTAAAAATCTAATATTTTTAAACATGTTATACTTTCCAAATAATATTTTCGTTAGTTTTAAGCTTTATATATCTGGGTTTTGTTCGCATTATTTGTATGAAAACGATTTCGCTCCAAACGAAATTAAAAAATTTGACATCTAAAACAAATCGTACATATTCTTACTGGTACGACCAAAAATGTCAACATTTTTAATACAAATTCGATATAAACACAAACAATTGTGAATTCTATTTTGTCATTCAACATTTTTAATTTAAATTCAAAAATAATTACTTTAACATGCTTCACTCAGAATCGTTGTTTTGTGTGCAATTTGTTTCGTTCAGTATTTAACTAAATTACCCTATACCGTTGAAACAATATGGCTCCCTATTAATTTTATTAATGTATTTGATTCATTTAAAACACAATTTTAATTACAGTAATTTTAATATAGGTACATTAAAGCCAACATACTTTGCACCATGGTTGTGCAACTGTTGTAATTATGAAGTTAGGAAGGTAATATACACGAGTTATTTAATTAATACCCGTACACTAACAAATATTGATAAACTCAAATTGAAAATTGTATTATCCTATACAGTTATTATAGTTTAGTATTCGGAATTCACAAAACCTTTTAAATTGGTAAAAAATAAATAAAAATAGTACAACAAACTCGAACGAACTTTTAAAATTTAAAACTTGAAAAAAAAAAACGTGGCAATATATTTTCGATATTTTTACGATGCCATGCGAAAAATGTACGATAAATCTTATATCAAATGTTTAGTAGTACACGTCGCTCGCCGCACCACCACAGAAATGATACTCCACTACTTTCCTCCAACCTAAACTTAAAAGTGGAATATCTCGTCAACGGATTGACGGAAATCAAAAATGTTAACGCTCGGTGGTTTTTCCCCCAAAAATAAGAGTGACGAAAAATAACATAAGTATAAAATTGTAGAGCTGCTTGTTTCCATAATATTCTAGAAAAAAAAATTCCGAAAAAATTGATACTGTATTACCGTCATATCACGCGTGTTGTTAGTTTTTCTTTTACGGGTAAGAAAAATTGCCGCTATAAAAAAAAAAACCCGGTGGGAAGAAGGAGGTATTAAAAAAAAAAAACGTGTACCCAGAACGGCAAAATCCTAAATACGCCACCGAGTCACAGCTGTTTACTATCATCAATATTATACGAATTTAGCCCACCCGCAAATAAAGTTCTCGTTGCGCCCGAACATAATATGGCAATGATAGTGTTCGCGAGAATACACAGGTAGGTGAATGCGCGTAGTGTACACACGCGGCGGCCAGAAGAAAAATGCGTTCGGCGGCCGTGGACGTACGCGGCCGCGAGCGAAATCCGAGCTCGGCCCGCGGGGCGTGATCCGTTTGTTTTGCACCGCGCGCGCGCTCCATCCGTGCGGCCGGACAATATTTTTGGCAACTGGTCAACGGACGAAGGACGCGCAACAAGGGTACCTACGCGCGCACAACAATTCAGTGCCATTACGTCCATCGAATCCGTCGCGGAAAAACCGTTTGGTACACCATTAACCGCGTAAAACCGCATTCCGATATCGTTATTTTATCGGGTACCGTTTACGGTCAGATTCGCGTTCACAGCCGTCGCCGTTTTCGTCGAAAGGTGAGTGGATAGGCCCGAACGTTTGTGTTACTATTATTGTGGTTTTCGCTCTTTGACCGGTCGTCAATTTTCAATATTTTTCCCGCGCCCGTAGCCGGGCCGTATCGCCGCCGCGGTGCGAAACGATATTACCGGGTCGCTCACGTACCCTCCCTTCACAAAAGAGAAAAACAACAAGAGCCCGCCAGAGTCCCGAGCCGTAGGCGCCGTTGATTGTTATATGTTACGCATCGCGGCGTGCGGGGGTTTTTTTTTTAAGAGATTATTCACGGTTTTTTATGTTCTAAAGTCCGTTGATAAAAAAAAAAAACGGTAAACACGCCGCGTCCGGAAGAACGCCCCACAACTTCCTCTTAGCTCTTGTCCCCGGACGCCGCCGCGGCGTCGTCGGCTCTCGTTGTTTTTCTCTCTTTTTTTTTTCTGCTTGCCACCTGCGTTCCGCAATCACAATTTTCTCGTCTGCTCCGGGAACAAACGCCTCGTCGCCACGCACATATGGGATGAAATTTACAGAAAACGGGTTTTTCGGCCTACGCAATAATAAAGGTGGACAAAAATCGCGACGAGCGTCTCTACGTCATAACGCGCGGCGGACGTGCGATTTTTTCCCCCCGCCGACGACGGGCCGAGCGAAGTATTTTATTTTCATTTTTTTTTTTCCTTTTCTTTCACCGCGGGTATAAAAATAGCTTTTCGGACGAGCCGCCGGAATATAAATATTCGAACTCGTACGCGCGCTTTTGGCAAACTTTCCGGGTCAACCGACGCGCCGCCGGCAACCTCGTTTTCCGAAACGTTTCGCTGCCGCCGTATTGTGTTTTATTAATAGGGTAGCCGGGTCCCGATTAATCGACACTTGGTGTTATTGTATCCACGACCAGTGTTGTATTTTATCCAGATAGGTAAACACTTTTTTTTATCTTTAATCTTATCTAGATAAATGAGAAATTTTAGTTATCTAAGCCGTTATCCGAGATAAACAATAAATAAATTTTCTAGATAAAGCTTTTTTAAATAGTAATTTATACAATTATTATTGGAAATAACAGACGAAACGTGTAATTTATACTAACTAATTGTTACACTAAATCAACCACATAACTTTTATTGTGATATCCAAATGTGTACCGGTTCTGGTCCACTTTTACTACTTTTAACATTTAGTCGTCTAATAAGTAACGAACAAAATTCTCTTATTTTTTTTTTTAATCTAGATAAAAGATTTCTGATTTCTAATTTGTATCTTTATCTAAATAATTAAATTGGTATGTATCTTTTATCTTCATATAGATAATTAAACTGCCATTTATCTCGTATCTTTATCTAGACATTTTAAAATTTATCTTTATACATCAACTGTTCTCATCGAAAAATATACAAGAATAATTTTTCCGTATGATATATTGGGTACTGGACAACCGTAATTTTGGCAACTTTCGGGTATATCCATACCTGATATACGCATTTTTTGCTTAGTAAAGAAATCACTAATGTTTCTTTTGGACATATTTTTTTTGTCAACAATTAAACAATAAAAACTATCGCAATACAAATTACAGATAGGTAATCATAAGTTCCTAGTAAGAATGAATAAGTTAAAATTAAGTTTATATTCATAGAAGAAAAATAATTATTTATATTAATAATAAATAAAATAGTTTTATCTATCATAAACAAACGTCACTTTTGTCAGCCGAATATCTAATAATAGATTGGATGGCGTCACTATTCTGTTGGTATTTTTTTTTATTTATTTTAATGGTGTTTAAAACGTATTACAAACTAGGTACTATATTCATTTTTACTCAAATAATCAAGCTCTTAAATACTAATTTCTCATTTTCTGAACAATTGTTACTATTTATTTTTTAAGTAGGGCCAGTGATAGGGCCAGGCGATTTCAGGTAAGGCCATGGCTTTACCTGGCCCACCTATTGTACCACCACTGTTTGATATTATATAAATTTAACAAAATATTAGATTCTGAGCAAAGGGAGGTTTGTATTGATTTACTATGTTTACTGTTTTGTGCCTGTCAACAACTTTTCTTCCGAAAATCTTGCTCCGAATTTTATAGGAACTTTCTTGTAGCATTCTTTATTTTGATAGAGCATTGAGAACAACATTTTTATTTTATTTTTCTTAATAAATCGGACAAACTAGCAATCTTTGTATAGTTTTTGTTGATTTCTGAGTAATCTTGGCAACAAAGAAAAAATACGACTAATAATATTCAACTCAGAAACGTTTTTCGTTTCAATGTTTTATCGTTGCGTACAGATATAAATTAAATTACTCTATGTATTCTCCCTTTCACCTTCTCTCCTAAAACAGTGGCAAACCCATCAACAATACCATTCTTTTTATTTTGTATACCTACATAATATCAATATATTAAGTTATTTAAGATTTATCACAGTTATTTTATCATGTAAAATATTCAAAATGTATATTACCAGAGTTTTGCAATTTATAAAAATCTAAAATAGTTTTTACATTTTTTTTTTTTTATATAAAAAACAAATACACCCCTAAAAAAACAGTAAAAAAAATTAAAATTCTTAAGTATAAAATGTAAAAAAAATTTTCGATTTTTAAAAACTTTTAAGTTACCTATACATTTTTCTCAATTTGAAAATGTACACGTTAAAATGGCTCTTATATACATTTTAAATTATCTTATATATAGGTATAAATTCAACTCAGATTTTGTTCGAAACAACATTCATTATTTACTCAACGAGTCTCATATCAGAACTATTAAATAAATTCCAAGCACTAACTCTTATAATTTATCCGGTTTTATTTGAATATATAATGTTGTGGGGAAAGGGACACAGTGTGAAGTAATCTATAGGAAATAATTTTGACAACTAAAAATCGTTTTGAAAAACTTATACAGACTTGACAGTCTCGTAAAATTTAAATTCCTCCCCCCCTCCCTATCTTGTTGAAGTTATCTTATTTGCAGATTCGTGGTTGTCCGGTCTCAAAACAATAATTCTCGAGGTCTTAGGGAGGTCTGGGACCAAAAGAAAAAAGGCCTCCCGGCAAGACTTCATAAATTAACACCATCTAGAAGTTATAAAAAAAATTTGATTATACTTATACAGCCATAAAATAACCAAGTATCAAGTATAATTTTTAAGTATATGAACAAAAACTGGTTGTTTTTGTAAAAATTAAAGCCCACGACCGTGGGCCACACATTTCGTACGCCTTTCAGAAGCTTAAGATTTTTATTTCTAACGATATTAATCGGCATCACAGAGGACATAATAATATCGTCATTTTAGAATTGTTTACGAGCCTATTAATAGATTTAAGAAAATATATTTTTAGCTATTCACACCTATTATAACTCTACTTGTGATACATGAGTATGTTAAATACATTTAAACAAATTTTTATTCAAAATTTTTTTTTTCACAGTCCCTTCAGTTAAATTTTTTTTTTTACCGTTTTACCTTTTAGCTTGATATTTTTCTTTATTTTTATTACAATTGATTATACCCATAAAATAACGACCTACTCACTTTTTAACAAATTGTCGAGATTATTGAACTATTAGCCGGTCTCTATTACACGAATACCATAACATGTTTGCTGTTAACAACCTTATTCTTAGATTCGTCTTCATATAGATTTTAATTATTTTATTAATTCGCAAAATCTACTATTGTGTATATATTTTAACGTATCCGTATAATCAGGAATGAATTGGGCCATCGGTCAATCGGGAAATTCCGAATGGGCTGCTTGCTAAAAAATCAGAATGGGCTGATAGATTATAGATATTGTAATAGTTTCTGTTTTAATTTTAAAAAAATCGGCTGCAGCAATAATTTATTATTGGTTTTAAAATGATGTTTATTACTTTTTTTTATACTGGTAAGAATAAATGTAAATTGATATAATATAAACAACCTCTGTAATAATATTATGTGTATATATAACTGAGGAGGTAGTTTAAGTAAGTTATTTTTCGATTTTTTATGAAGTTTTCTCATCAAATGTGAAAAATCGAAAACGGAGGTAAAGCTAGAAAAACATAGGAAAAACGGGGAAATCGGTGCAGTATTAAATAAAATTTATTAAAGAAAATATATAACACCTATTTAATTATTTTATTATCAAGGTGGTGGAGTAAAGAAGTAGAACTTATTAAAATATTTGGATCTACTGAAGGCCTGTGTAAGAGCAACTCCAAACAGTTTGGAACTAATGAAAGAAGGTGACATTGAATCTAAAATTAGTCTTGAACCCAAAAATGTAAATTGCGAGAGTTGCAGAAACTGTGTTGTTTGTTTTTAATATATTTTACAAAAATTTAATTTATATTGTGATGCATATTCTAATTTTTTTTTTTGGCAAGGTTTTTTCGTTTTTGAAATTTTAAGGACAAGACTTCGCAGTCAACTTTCAGATACCTACTAAGTTAGAAACATTTATGTTGATGGTTATTGAAAAACAAAAATTAACATTATTAGATTCTTATAAAACTATTGAAAAAATTCAAAAAGAGAGAAAAAAAAAAACTCTCAGTATAAATTACTAAAATCATTAATTAAATATGTTAAAAAGGTTTATGTATAATATACTATATATATTATACATTTCTAATTCAATTAATAAACCATAATGTAAAATTTGTATTAACAACGGATGGACATATTTCGCACGTGGGTGCAGCCACTGTTGTAGGGGGAAAGTTGAGCAGGTAAAATACAGACAGGAATTCAATGTATTGCATCTATAAGCAAGTAGCAACGATAAACTATTGCTAATGCAAAAACGATTCTGAGTGAAGTTCAGTTGTTAGTGTTACTTTGTTAACAATATACATGTCATATTATGATAAAATAAAATTATTACAACAATGTGCGTTTCCATGGAAACAACGATTGTTTAAAAAAAGATTTAAATAATAAAAACTAGTAATAACAAAAAATAATTTTCAATGACAACCGTTTTTTAATCATTCAATCTTCTTTAACCTAATCTCGTTATCTCGAATATTAATGAGAATTTAAAAAATTTACCTGTTTAAAGTACGACCCAGAGAACATTTCCTTTCAGAAAAGGTACTATACTTGATAATCGGAGTAAGCTTTCTGATAGAAAAAGTGTTTACATAAATGAAAAAATAAACATCATTGTAAAACCAATACATTTCTTACTCCACTCAGAGTTTAAAATGAAATGTAAAATAATGTAAAATTGTAATTGACTAAAAAATTGATTTGAACAACAAGGTACACTTGCAGGTTGCCCCTACACTCCCCTCCCAAACATTGGCTGTTACATATTAATTTTCCCGGGTTGGTCTATAGTTCGAATCCACCTCTGCGTCTAATGTTAAAAAAGTATTTTTTGCCGTTCGTTTCCGCGTCCTTATATATTTATTCTGAACGTTTTGGGTTTCTCTAATACCAACAAAATTTAATTTTTTCAAGATACGATAAAAAAGATTTGTTCATTAAAAAATTATATTAAAAATATCTTGTTTAAAATTTTAAGAAATATTAAAATATTATCTAGGTCAGGGATTGGGAACCTACGGCTCTTAAAAATGAAATCTATGGCTCTTTGGAAAATGCATTTAGATATTCTAGATCTAAAACTAGACCCATAAAATATAAATTAAAATTCGATTATATGCCTACCTACAATTCCCAATGAAATCGCTTAGTAAAATATATTAGTCGTTTTTGTACTATGATATTTTTATTTATATTTTTCCCTAACCATTGCAAATCATTGAAAATCATGGTTTTGCAATCTTTGCAATCTTCCGTTAAAAAACGGCTCATTTACACGAAAAAGTTCCTGACTCCTGACCTAGATAATCATTATTTGTGTAATTTTGTTTTTATCAAAAAGTTAATTTAGGTTATAGACGTTATAGTTTTGGTTGACTTATCTCCCATATGTAACAAACGAAAATTACGTACTTAGTTCTATAAAATACTATTATCTATATTATGACTTATTACCGTGTGCGTCTTATTTTCTTACATGGATATGGTGGCTTATTACTTTTTTCACAATCAATAATCACTATTTAATTAATCCACAGTATTTCGGTTATGACGGACGTAGGAAGTTCAAAGGAATTGTATAACATGTCAGACAAATATAAACAAATTACGAACTAAAGGATGACTTCATTTATCAAAAATCATGAATTTCGTAATTTTTTTAAAAAAATCCGGAGGTTGGAGAAATGTTTCCACGGTCTCCGTAGTATTTCGGTTGTAACGGTCGTAGGAATTTCAAACAAATTACGAATTAAATTATGGTGGAATTGGGGCAGTGTGACGTATCATACGAATCAACTGCCTGTAAAACAAAGTAAGCGTCACTGTATCAATTTAACAAACATTTAGTGTTTTACCGTCAAATTAAGGGTAGGAGGTATGGCATCATTTTTTCATTTAATTTATACTTTTATTAAGGTGATATCATCAAAAAAGTCTAGAAAAAATAATAAATATGAAGTCATACATAACACCCTTAATTTGACGGTGAAACACTTAAACTGTTTTAAGCCGAACAACTATTTTTACACCATATTTATTGCTAAGACGCAGAGTTACAAATATTTCACTATAAAAACAACAAAAACATTATAAAGGAATAATTTGAATTAGGTTGGTACTTTAGGGAAGATATTTTTTGAAATATATAATATTTGCCATGAAGGAGACAAATCGAAAAATTGTCTACCTAGTTTCTATAAATACTGACAAATTTAATATTAAACATTCTTCCTCATTAGTTCATACGGTATTATAAAAATATCGAAAACCTGGAGTCAAATATTTCCCTTTAAAATAAGTGTTTGAAATTCAAAATTTTACGAAGACTATAAAAATTGGTAACATTTTACATATTATTTCCATTTAACTGAAGAAAATAACATGTTTGTCTCCAGAAAAATATTAAATAAATTGACACAATTATTACTAAACTATGATGAGCAAGTTTAGTATTTAGTGCTAAAAAAAAGACTATTGACTGTCTTCATTTATTTTTATTATTATTTTAAGTTTATATATATAATACAAAATCCGTTGAAAATTTTAAATTTAACAAAAAAAATATTTGATTGAACCCATTTTGAACCGCTTTACCAAACCTAACCTAACCTTCTTAACTCTCCCTGTTTTCCCCTTATACAACAGTACCTCGGCAGTGTTTACGATATTTTTTTTTTATGTTTATAATAACTATTTAATAAATTATTTATTTACAGGATACTTATATTCTCTGGTGTAACTATACACGTTTTACTGATCAAATTTAGTGTTCCGTTAATTTAACGAGAACAGAACGTCTTCTAGAGTTCTATATAAATGTCTAGAATCGTGTACATTTATTATTAATTTAATCGGAACCAGGATTTCGACACAACGTAAACAATCCGATAACAGCACGGTGAATTGTTAAAAATATAATTTTCATAAAAAACGAACACACAATGTTAATAATTTACTAAGACATACATTATTCCTATATATGTATAGTTGTACCCTTAATTGTACTGCGCATTATAACTATTATTTATACGTTTATACTCGTGCACAGACAAAATACATTCTAAACAATATACATATAATCCTGTGATAAACTGTTTAAACTATTAAAAAACACTCGTAACAAACACCAATAGAATTATTATACAGTGTAAAACTGTGTATACTTGCGGATATAGACACAGAACGATTCGTCGAATAGATGAATATTATAAATATCAAAATAGTTCTAAATTTTTTTTTCGGAATAATTTATATAACTTTAAATATCGCTAAATGCGTTCAATCTCTCGTCGTCCCGTAATCGTAAAAGCGTAAGTGGGTTGCCTTTATTAGCACAGCAGAACGTGTACACTCGAAATACTCTGCGCAATTCAAATTATTCACCACATAAAAATCAGCTTTTGTTGAACATTGAATAGAAAATATCGCGTGTTTATACAATTAAACGGAATATTTGTAGTTTTTTTTGTAACTGCCGGCCAAAAGAAACCATCAATATTTTCAAGCTTGACGCGTTTTAGAATAGGTACATAAAGACGTACGCATCTTTTTAATTTTGTAACAATGTAGTAGAGAGTAGTTAATTATTAAAGACGTTCACACCGAACCTATTTATAACGAAATATTAAATGATAAAAAATAAATACGAAACTCCGTGTCATATATTCCGCGTATAATAATATTGTAGTTATTCTAATTATAAAAAAAAAACCCGCAAACTCATGCGATATATTTTTTTTTACTTTTAGTTTTTACCGAATTTTAATCGCACGTTCGGTGACGAATTTATTTTTAACTATATTTAACTAATTGAACGAATTAAAACATAATGGCGTCCGACTGTTAAAAAAAACCAAAAGCGTCCAAGTCTTTGTAAAGTGAGTGTACGTTTAACACTAGGTTTAAATGGCCGTAATTATTGGCTCTGTACCAATTATACCTATTAATTTAACAATAACGTAGTGTATAGCTTTTATTCGAGAGTAAATAAAATAGTGTAACACGTAAAATACAAAAGTAAAATTTCAATAAAATTACGTAAGGTATTATAACAGAATTATTATTATAATAGGTATATAACACAAATTGTTCGGAAAACGATTACCGACGACGGTAAACGTCTTATTCTCATACGTAAAACGAAATATCGTGAAAATTATTAACCAGATATTATATTTGCCAAACATAAATAATCGTGTAAAATACGTAGTATGTAAATCTCTCGGTTTGCTTTGTATTTTATGATATTTTGCCGGTATAAAAACGATAACAAATGACGGTGAAAAAAGGTCGAGTAGCATGTTGAAAATATCGTTCCGATCGAATTGTTCCAAAAGCCGAATTGTCATTTTGTTATCCGATGTCCCGTAAGCCGTTATTTCATCGCGTCGAAAAATAATATTTTGGGATCGTACACAATCAGAACGGTGTACATAATATTATAATTGCAATCGAGAAAGGTAGGGGAGGTGTTGTTTTAAAATTACCATGAATATAGCAAAACATTAATGGCGAATCGAATAATTATCACAAAATACGGCAATACACTCGAAATGATTTTTAAAATTAATACGATTTTTTAGCTGTTTTTATACTGTCCACTGAAGAACCCTGGGACGAAAACCTCCCAAAGTCTTTGCTTCTTCGTCTGAAATTAGTTCATAATCTCCAAAGAGTATTAATAATTGAATGAGAGGTTCTCAATGTTCCTTTAATTTTTTTTTTTATTATCATAATAAATTATTCTAAGTCACAATGATAGGTTATAGGTTAGAATTTTCAACCAAACAATACTATTTTGTATTTTCTTCCTCGTCCATTTTATCTCACCTAGCCGCCTACTTATATATATATATATCTCATGTCCATCGTCATTTCTTCATATCTACTCATTTCGCCCGATCATATCTCCTCTAAAAAAAAATCTGTACCAGTGTTACGCTATTCCTAGGCTACACCTCGTATAAAGTCCCGACATTGAATGTTTTTGGTTTTTTTTTTCGCAGTATGTCAGAGAAACGGACACTATTGAGCCGTCCCCGGACTCGCGTATACGATTGCAACTACAACATCGGCGAGGGCTACTACAAGCCCATGATGGACCACCTGGACCGCAAGTACTACGGATCTTCGGCGGCCCCGACCAAACCCAGCAGTGGGTTTTTCGACAGCAACAAGTCGAGCCTGTTTGGTTCATCCGGTGCGACTAGCGCGTTCGACGAGTATAGGGCGTCGTCGCCGGTGCGGTCAAGGCGCAGTGGATCCGACTCGAGGCTATCGTTACCCGACGACGATTTCGAACAAGAGGTAATATGAACATATCCATCGCGGCTTTGCCTATACGGTGCGAGTCCAAGACAGATGGACTGGGAAATAGGATAACGGGGACTATGCGGCGGTGCTTCTGGGCAATCGAATGTCGTAGCAATAATACTATTCTCCCGTTTGGCGGGTTACCTCGAAAACAAAAACTCCGCCAGTCTCCCCGAACCCTAAATCGTACTTAGAGTAGTGGTTCCCAAAAATGTGCCACGTAGTCGTCTACAAATTACACACCTAGGTACAGATTTAGGCGAGGATTGAAACCGGTATTGAATACCGAGTATGATAATATATTGGTTATAAATCCGAAATCAAAACAGTAACATTTGTTATATCAAAATAGGTTGATGCGAAACGAAAAAGGCTAGCAATAATTAGTCCTGGCACGATTATATTTTATAAATAATTAGAAAAACCATAATAATTAATTTTGATAAAACTAAAAAATATGAATTTAACAATATTTATAATACCGGCGTGTCAGTGATTTTTTAGATTATTGACCCCGTGATACCTCGGTAAAATGGTGATTTCTTAATTTGCCGACTTCCAGTTTGCCGACTACCAATTGGTCGACTCCCAGTTGCTGTGTGGACACACAGTAAAATCCATTGGACACACAGTAGAGTATGGTTTTTCTTACTATGTGTCTACTAGAATATAAATAGTAAATGATTGAATTAGTAGGTACTGAGAGAAAATGTTGAATTTCATTATAATAGGCATTACTTATATTAGTAGAGGATGAGGGATGGGTAACCAGGAGAAGTCTGAAAGCCAAAGGTAATGTTTGGTTTATCTGCCCGTGGAGCTTATTTTAATGAAGGGGGGTAGTGAGCACGTAGTTCACTAAACAAAAAAAGCCCTAAGAAAAAGTTAATCAGAATTTTAAAAAACCATCGTTATAATTAATATTGTAATATTAAATTTGTGTTTCCAGTGATTCTGCGCTCTCTTCTTTTTTTTTTTTTTTGTTACGGAATTACTTTAAAATATTTGTACATTCGATTTCTCACTTTTAATATATGTACGCGTGCAAAAATCGAAAAATATGAATCAATCATTTTAATAATAATAGCTATACCGTGTGCACAAGTTAAAGAAAACTTGCGGTGGCACCTAAAAATAATATTTACACTAACTTAATTAAATGCAAATAAAGTAGAAAAAAAAAATAATAATAAACTAATTAAAATAAATTATATTTTAACAAAAGTTAAAATTAAAAACTATATACTTACGGTTTCGCAAATCGTTTTAATCATATATTTAATTTATTAATAAGTACGTTTTTATTTTTAATTACTGTACTAATATAAACGTATATCTAAATATTTTAAAATAATAAAGTAAAAACAAAATTATTGTATAAATGGTTAATACTCGTAAATAAATATGTAAATAAAAAATGTGTGTATAGAAATAATTAATTAATTAATTAATTAATGCGTCGCCTGGAGTAATATGATAAGTGTATTATACGACCGGTTTCGAATTAAAAATTCATCATCAGGTATATGACAGTCAAAATGTAAAACGCGACTCATAATAATACTTATCATAATACTCCAGGCGACGTTAATTTATTTATTTTTTATTTCTATATATATAGAAATTGTATATTTATATATTTATTTATTGTATCTAATATTATAGTGATGTAATATTATCGTTTTTAATTTCAGAATTTTTAATTTCTATAACATTATATATATTTTAATAATATTATCATATTATACATTTACGTTAGCTCGTTCGATTCGAGAAAAATATTTATTTTTAATTCTTTTAATGTTTTATTATTTATTTTACCTATATGTATTTATTCGGCTTCATCAAAAAAAAGTAGCAAGCCTATATAATAATAATAATATATCAAACAGACAATAGTATATTATTATACATACACCGTACTTATCTGATAAAAAAAAAAATACAGTAATAATTTAAAAAAATGACATTTCTCGTAAATACGTAAAAATAAATAAAACATACAATAATAATATATTACATATATATTTTAGAATTAATTTGAATATATTATAATAATATTCAGTAATATTATACTGCATTATCATATTATGCATTATAAAAATGGCATAATAAACATTTTATGGCTTTATATTATATTGTAAACCCTTTGTGCTGCATAGATACTCAAAAGTAAAGAGAAAGAAAATAGGCGTGGGATTTTATTTCTAGAGTGTGCGTTTTTTTCATATTAAATTGACTAGTAAAATTACTAAATTGCGTTAATAATTGAATACATTATTCAATTCGGCATTTTCCCTACTGCATTTACCTACATACACGAGTATATAAAATTTCAGACTATGTACCATATTTTAGATTTGGAGCGTAGCGAGGGATTTATTGGTTTTACTACGATGCTTTTTTTTTTTTTTTCTGAAAACAACTTTTCGAAAAAAAATATTGCTCCGATGTATAGAGTAACTTTTCTGAAAAGACATGTTGTCTAGTCAGTGCGTTTAGTGGTCATTATTTTGATTTCCAGGTAAAAAGGATAAATAATTACGGCACGTCGCGGCGTTACCGTTTTCATTGTTTTTAATTTGTATACAATATGATCAATTTTCCGCCAGAAATATTGCACCAATCAAAAAATGACAAAAGATCGATTTTGTTCCTTTTAATATACAACCACTATCGAGGAAAACCTTGCTTGTTTCCGATTCTCTCCTTTAGCGTGGCGTGTCTCAGTTGCTGAAGTCGTGGTCCTATCACTTGAATTGTTATGACCTTATCCCGTTGGATGAGGTTATACTGTTGTAAATTATAATACCTACGCTATTTCCTTTATTTCCACTGTTTTTCTTCTTTTATGCACTCATATCCAGATACTAAATCGGCTAAACTAATTAAAAATTATTTCATTGAATACTTAATACTTAATAGTGATAATAATATATTTTATTTCTCAAATTGCATAAATAATAAATATATTCTGGGGATTAAAGGTATAATATATATATATATTAATATTATGCTTTATAATTTTGTAATGATACTGCAAAGTGCAGTCAGTGGGCCCTATATATATGTATATGTTTAATATAGAAATATGAAGTATGTATTTTGAAATAACCCGTCACGCTATGTAGACAAGGGAAAGAGAGAGTAAAAGTAAAAAAGGATACTCAAGAGGTGTCACTGTTATGCTATATGACAAACAATAATGTACACAAATTGCACCTAACATATTATTTTGTTCAGTCATTTATTTTTTGACGTTCTGTGATTTTCGATACTTTTATTTATATTTTAGTCGTTGTCATTTACCGCAAACAGTTTTAATTTTGTCAAAATGCGTGTTATATTATGTTATGACGACGTCAATATAATATTAGGTTATACACATTCGTCACGCACTATATAATAAGGTGTATAGCAAATATGAAATTTATAATCCTGTTCCGGTATATAGTACGGTTAAAAATCCAGATAATAACAAATACTAACATGTACTCTAAAATTGGTTACGCTATAAAACTTTGTTATTTTTACCGACTGTAAAAATCCGAATTTATAACAGGACTGAATAAATATGAAAATAGCTCGATTAAAATTGTATTATACAAAAAAAAAAAAAAATGAGCACAATTTTGCATACATAAAATAATTCAACACGTACAATACCGGATTAAGGGTCTTGCGGACCCCGGGGTAAAACTTCAAAATGGGCTCTCATACAAATGTTTTTACTACAACAATTTTTGACGACCATTTAAAAAATAAATAAATTATTGTTACAATGGGTCCTTCACATTGTTGGGCTCAGGGAACGTATAGTCATCATTTAATCAAGGCTTGTCGGTTTGATAAAACTAAAATATAGGATGCTTTACATTAATAAAAAAAAAGTGCAGTAAGTTACACGCAAATATGGTTCAATAAAAATACCTTATTTAGGTGCAATATAATTAGATTAGATTAGATAAACTTCACGTACACGTTGGATCAAATTTCATTCATCTGATAAAATGAGCACATTAAATGCTTTAATTATTATAGATGGATTATGGTGGATCAATAGATTATTATACATTTAACGATTATACAGTGTTCTTCTTGTTTTATTCACATCCACTATTAGGTATCAGGTACCAAGAATAAAACTAGGAAAGGGTAAACTCCGGGCTGTACTTACATATTGTAAGCCGATAATAAAGAAGGTTATAGATAACTAGATCATCATAGAAAACCGTGTAATTTACACCTTGGAGCCTGACCAAAATAAAAGGATGTCAAAGTGTTTACAAAAGTCTATATGAGTATTTTTAACATCTATTTTTGGCATTGTATTTTTTTTTTAACGTTTATACAGGAGTAAAAATAATCAAAGAATGGTTTGCATTGTAATGTGTGCGTAAGTGTATGTAAATTTACAAACACGTCACTATAAGATTTGTGTACGTATACGAGTATAGTGAGTTGGAGTAGTATAAGTACCTCTGACTCTTGACTTAAAGTCTGAGCACTATTTCTAGAGAAATGAATACGCGTAAAGGTTTTATAAACACGTGTATTTCAAACTCGTCATTAACAATTTTTATTGTCTTTTCCCGAAATATCGTGTATTATATTGTCATGGATTATTTCTTTATTTTTTTTTAATATATAAAAAAGTATCACAGTCGAACAATAAACCTAATGATTTTCGTATTATTCGATCCAAATGTTATTGAACATTTATGAATTTTATTTTGATTTATTTGTCCTTTATTGCCTTTCGCTCAATATCTCATCAAGAACCTTTTCGGTTATATTACAAAACCACTCCACAGTCCACATCCATCTCTCATCTTCAGTACAGTATCTTCCTAATTCGTTATAGGTAGGTACCTATAATAGCTGATTCATCGTCTTCTTTCATTTTGTCTCTCTATAAATTTCTTCTGCGATCTCTCTTCTGTACATCTATAATTATTATACCAATTAAAATTTAAAAAATTTACTACTAGCCATATTATATAGTTTATTATTATCATTAAGTAGGTACATAAATAAATTCAGTTTTTTACACCATACAACCAAATTTTATTTATTTTTTCCAGTATCGAAATCGCGCAAGCATAATACATCTACTGGAATAAGTATAAATACATAGATAGTACAATTGAATGTAAATATATTAAACAAAATCATAAGTTGTTTGTTTTGTTTCTTCTTCTTTTTATCATCACAGTATATCAATGTAAATACACGAAGAAAGATAACAATATTTTCATCTGTCTTGATGGAAAAACGATAATCGTTATCAATTATAACAATAACCGTTATCAGTAATCAAATAAAATATGAATATTGTTATAAAATGTACATAGTTACGTACGACTATATTATATTCATATATATTCATCTATTATTATTTATTAAACACCTAGTATTAGTACCAGTAATAAATAAACACGGTCAGGAGTATATTACTAACACTAATAACACCCCCCCCCCCCACACACACACACACTACGCTACTGCGTCCAATATTTACAGGATTCACCATGTAGACACTGTTTTGTAATTCGTTGTTTTATTTTAATGTCAATATAATTTTATACAGTTCTACACTTTTATTAATATTTTATATATCATGTCAGAGGTAAATAAATTATTTCCGCATGTGAGAAATATGTTTAAGGTTTTATCAATAAATTATGTATATTAATTAGGAAACGGAATCGTATACACTAAAAATCTATGAAAACGTCAAAATAATCACTAAGTAATTCTTTTCAAATTAATGTATACATGTTACACAAAAAAACAAAAGACGAACATTATATTTCGTCCGATTGAAAGGCCACTGTTATTGGTGAGAAGTTGGAAAGGAAAGATATATATAGGAATTTAATGTATTTTTTTTATACAACAATAAATCATTGCTAATGAAAAACGATTCTGAGTGTTATTCGGCTTCAAAATGACCTTCCAAAAGTATCAGCTAAATACAATATCCTTTCAGAAAAGGTGCTATATTTGAAAAAAAAAACATCATTGTAAACCAACGCATTACTCAGTTTCGCTCAAAATCTAAAAATATTTTTGTTTAAATACTTGTCATTTTTTTAGTGTTAAAAAATTATTTTTAATAAGTTAGAACTATTAAAAGCAGGGGACCTTCAAACCCCTCTACCCCGTTTTCTTTTTTAAACATTTTCAAGTGCTTTTTGACAATTTAAGAGTTTTTTGTGGATTTTAAATTCATATGAATCCGTTTCCTAATAATAATCATAGAAAAATACGATAAAAATGAAAAATAAAATAAAAGAATATTTAATTGTTTATAAAGATAATAAAAATTAAATGGATTTTTTTTTTATTATTTTTTTTTATTAATCGAAATGTATTATTCATAAAACAATGCTGCAACTATAACTGCAGCACAGTCGTAGGTTTATCAAAAACTTTAATTATTAAAAACAAAAAACTATTTAGAGTTTAAAACTAATAATAATAAAATGTAACGATTTTATTTAGATTCTGAACGTAGGCACATAAAAAATGATGTGAACATTTGATTAACTGCAATATACGCATACTAATATAATTATACAACACTATAACTGTATTACTCGGATTTTTCCGTACACAGAATTTAACAAATAGCAAAAATAAATATGCGTTTCTGTACATTAAAACAAATAATTATAATATTAATTTTTCCCTAAGTAACCAGTGGATACCAGAAATAAACAAAATAAATGCAATTTTTGTATTTTTAAACACAATTCTTGTGAGTCGCACTTTAAGGTTAAATTTCCCATTCTGTTTCAAACCACTCTCTAAACAATCCTAGAACTATTTCGAACAAACAGTGAAATTTTCAACGAAATCGAATAATCTTTGAGTAAACTCAACCAAACATTTAATTCAATTATTGCCTTTTATATTTTTTTTTTTTTTTTAGGCTTTTACGAGCCATTTAGGCTCTTTGCCGCCAAAACNTTCCCCTTGGTCTCTTTCCCCTTGTCATATATGTCAATGCTTCTTTCAACATACTTCCATCAGCCCGCCATACATGGCCTGCCCATTCTATCCTTGTCCCTCTGGTGAATTGGACCACATCTTCTCTTTTGTACAGCTGGTATAGTTGGGCGTTTGTTCTTATTTCCCATTTCAGTTCTGTATTGTTGAATACGGGTCCATACATTTTTCTAAGAACTTTTCTTTCAAATAACCGTAGTTTTTCATCATCGCCTCTCCTCGTTGCCCATGTGGCACATGCATATGTCAATATAGGGCGGATGTAACTAATGTATAGATGTTCTTTTGTTTTTCTTGACAGCAGCTTAGATTTAAAGAGGGTTTTCAGTGCATAAAGGCATCGGTTAGCAGCGCCCAATCTAATATTGATCTCACCATGCATGTTGTTTTGGTTATTTAGGGTAGACCCAAGGTACTTGAACTCTTGTACTTCTTCAAAGGTGTTATTTCCCACGTGGAGGTTATTATGGTCACCCCCTCCTCGCTTTACCATCATGTATTTAGTTTTTCCACTGTTTATGGTTAAGCCAATATCTTTTCCTATCTTTATCAGTTCTTCAACAGTATTCTGAATACCTTCTCGTGAATTCCCAATAACCACTATGTCGTCTGCATATGCTAGTAAGATGCCTTTTATATAATTATAGATTTTAGATTTTATTTTTAGGGGATGTCCTGACAATATTCTTTCACAAATATTACCATAGACTGATAATAAAAATGTATCAGCCCCTACACACTCATCGAAATTGAAGACTTATGCTCCGAGATACTCCCTAAATACACCACAGTTTACAAACCACGCTATTTTAATAAATACAGGATTTATGCACTATACTTCACAAAGACATTGTATGTATACGTTTTTGTATTTTCCTCAAAATAATTGGGGAAAACCCGAAAGAAAATTATAGGTAAAAAGGCGAATATTTAAGGCATAACCGTTTTCATTAATTTAATTTTTGCAACCTATGTTTCCTACCAGAAGTAATGTTCCTATCGAAAAATGACAAAAGATCGATTTTGTTTCTTTTACCATGTATAGCCGTTGACAATGTAAGTCATTTTTGGATCCCAAAAGCAGTTCTCATAATAATTGTAAAAAATAAAAAAATACAATACATTTTCAAATTATTTTAAATTGTACTTTTAGAAGATTTGAATTTCCAACCCCCGACCCCACCGTTATGTTTGCACAAATCCTACTTTACCTACCTATTTTGTTAAAGCTTTATTTGGTTCAATTACTTATCAATATATACATGAAAAAAAGAAACAAGAAATATTATAACAGAAAGAAATAAGGTTGGGGAAATATTCAACTCTATAGTGAGGAGCTCTGCTTCTCCTGTGTGTGTTTTTTTTTTTTTTTTTTTTTTTTATAACGATCTTGTGGTAATTGCTCGTCTAGGGATAGTAATTCACAAGCGCACGTGTCTAATTATTTGTGTTCGAAAATAATAATGACACTCATTGCTATAATAATATAACACTAACTATCATCCTACACATAAAGATAAAAGTAGAAGAACCTCATAAAACTATACTCATTGCCCAGTATAAATTATTATGCTATGTACTGCCAAGATTACGACGATTACGGTTATACGCAGTGGCGTAGCCAGGGAGGGGTTTTGGGTATTGTTACCCCTTCCCTCACATTGCTTATTTTTATCTGTAGGTAAGGTTGAGAAGGTTGCAGACCTATAAAACCCCTTAGACTTCCCTTCCATTGATATATGCTAGTTGCGGCACTGCAAACAAATACATACTTGGACTAAATCTTATTCTTCATCCCCCCATGCTTACCCATGAATATCTTAAATTCGTTGAGCTTTTGTCTTTACGTAAAAATTAAAGAAATACATACTTCTGAAATTTATCGAATAATATAAATGTGGGAACATGCACCTAATAATCTTGTGAAATTGAAATCCATTAGATTTTATAACATCCGAAACTAACCAAACCACATAAAATAACCTAACCTAACCCATAACGTTATACACATTATACAATAGTGGTGTACCCGGGATAATTATGTTGAGGGAGGTGAGCATAGTAAATGAAAACTACATATTATGATAATACCGATAAAATGTATCTAAACCAGTGTTTTCCAACCATTTTACCACCACGGACCATTTCGATAATTTTTAATAGGTCGCAGACCACCTTAATTGAAGTGCTCCCTGTAACAAACAGATAAGTCCATTCTTTAAAATTGTTCAAGAGAAAAAAAATTGTAAATAATTATTATTTTGATAATAATTGAAACAATTTCTTTTTCACTAATAACATTTTATACGCGTACAACTGCAATTTATTTGTTAAACATAATTTTAATTAAGTATACCAACCTAAATATATATATAAAATTACCAACATGTGGACTTAAATAAGTGTAAATAGTCAAACAACATTTAGGAACTTATTATCCATCCCTAAGATTAATTTAGTCTACAATTCACATATTTATATTAATATTAGGTATGCTTTATTACAAAATAATATCTAAAATACTACATAATAGGCTAACATATTGAATAAAATAAAAATAATGTAAAAATAAAATAACAAAGTATATAAAATATTGTATTTAAATATTTGTATATCAGTTCACAAGAAAATTAATTGTTGAGAAAGCTCATTTCATCCAATGGGAGTTGTATACTCTAAGTAAAAGTACGTAAAAACGTAAAAATTCGATTAATCTCATAACTAAATATTTGAGAAACCATGCTATCGGTAAACAATTATCGGTCGCAATATTAATGTTTAATAAATCGTTATTTAAAGGTATTTAATAAATACTTTTATCAAAGTAATAAACCTTTGGTACCTACACATTTATAAAAGTTGAAACACACTAATCGATGGTCGGCAGTAATAACGTTAATAATATTGTTCATTACTTTGTAAAAACACTTTTAAAAGTGGAAAAATACAATGGATATTATATTTTTTCGTAATTTTTTTTTTTTATTATTTTAAATGAACGAGCAAAAAAAATAAGATAAAATCTATGGACCACAGGTTGGGAAACACCGATACAAACCTATTAAATAAAACTTTTTCTCGAGTTTATTTTGCAAACTACATATAATATATTTATTGGGTGGTGCAGTTATTGTTCGAACTTTTGGTTAAGTTATAGTATACAGTGCAAACGTGCAATGATAATAATTTTGTTAGTTTATAATAATTGTTTTCGTTTTAAAACACGGCCAATTGTGGCTGAGTTCAACATACATTCGATGCTATGCATGTCGATTAAACCGATTAACACTGACACAGCAAAAACCTGAGAGATACTGGCCGACCGACAAAAGGGTGGCAATATTATACGCGCTCCTCTCGACGCCGTATCGTTGCGGAAGCATGTTATAATATGTACGCGTTACAGACCGGATGTCAGTTTAACGCTCTTTATACATTTTTATAACACGGTAATATTTTATATTTTTCGTTATTATTATTATTATTATTTTATTTTTTTTTTTTTTTTTGACGTTTTCGATCACGAACGTACACTTGTATACGAACGTCTTTATATTTTATATATGAACCTATATACACTATATATATATACTTATCCATATGGATACGTGAAAGTTCATAACGTTATATTATTTCGGAGTAACGTGGCGAAGGTAGGCCTCTTGTGGGGCTGCATATATTAGGATAGTATCATAAATATTATAGCACGAGGTTACGGCGTTGGCGAGAATTACATAGCCGCTGTAACAAACGACAACGATAAAATAATAATGTACACTATATTCTAATATTATACTCGTTGGCCGAAACTATACTTGTACTTTCGTTTCTACGAATCCCCGTGACCGTAACAAGTTAGTTCGTTCAAAACGCACACGATATTTTATTACAAAAATGTACAAAATAAATATGTGTGTATATTATTCATTGGAACATATTCCACGAACAAAACAAAGAATCGATGCCTTGGATGAAAATATGACCCAAAAATCTAAAAAAAAATATCTGATCATTCCATTTGAAAGTTAAAAAACATAATAACAATTATATAAATGAGGTAATTTTTGCACGCAACCATATAAAGTATTATAGTAACAAACTAAGCATAAAGGAGATACATATTTCGAACTTATAAAAAAAAAAATTTATTTTCCACTGTAGTAAAAAAAATATCTCAAAATAGAACCTCAGAAAAAAAAAAGTTTTTTTTATTTAAGGTACACGCTGTACTGAAATGTAACATTTCTCTTGAGTCTTTATACACTTTACATTGGGTCGCTAGTTACTCAAACGACGACCCGTATATGAAAAATGCCATGATAAATCGACGGAGTTTAAGTTGAAATACTCGTACATTATGTCGGTATTTCAATCTGTGTCTAAGGGGTTACGTGTATTCATACCGACCTAACGTGCGATCGTGTGTTACAGGTGGCGGCCCTGCGCAAGGCCCGCGCCGCAAAGGCCGCGGCCGTCCGGACGGCGTCGCTGGAGAAGGAGTTCGAGTCAGCGTTCAACGGATTTGCGTCGGATGGCAAGCCGAGGGCGCGTCTGAATTACACGGAGAAGCTGTTGGATTCCGTGGGCCTTAACAGCAAGTCGCAGGAGGCGCTCGAGGAGGAGATATACAAAAAGCGGACCAAGTCGTACTATCAGGACGCGGATGACGTGACTGCCGCCGCGGAACAGCACGCCAACAACCGGTGGTCGGCCGCGTTCAAGGCGCAGATGCAAGACGCCGTCGACGAGCGTTCCGCCGACGAACTGTCCGCCGCGGCCCGTGCCCGCAAGTCCAAGGCCCGCCTGCTGGACATCCAGAACGAGCTGGATGGCATTGCCGAACGGGACGCGGCCCGCCAGAGGCGGACGGCCAACCTCAAGGCTATGTTTGCCGACAACGAAGCGCTCACCGAGTCGGTCAGCACGTACAAGAAGAAATCGTCGAAAAAGGTGTCGTTCTAAGCGGACTGCTGCACGCCGCACAGGACCGTCTGCTCCGTATCTATCGTCCTCGAATCATCATCTGCACACACGTTCTTCATTAATTATTTTTTCTCTTTTTTCACATCACTAACTGCAGTTAGAAATTCGGCGTCTGAGGTCATTTATATAATAATATTATTATTACCTATCATTATTGTTATTGTTATTATTATTATTTTATTATTATTATATATATTGTTATATCGCGTAAATAACGTAAATTGGCCTCAGCTTGTGATGCAGCTACGGAAGAATGTTTACTTTTTCACCGAAAAAAAATTGCATTTTCTTACAGAATATTTAAAAAAAAAAAAAAAAAATCAAAAATCGTTAAATTATATACTTGGAAATTGGTGGTACTAGTAGCCAATTTACGCAACTGTTTGTTTTTCCGTTAACCACCTGCTATTCACATTATACAAACACAGTGATGGTGTGAATTCGAAATTCGGACTAGAAATTCCCAATTGACTTCTCTGCCAGCAGTGGCGTCATAAAATCGGAATCCAAAACAAAATTTTCCGTTCCGACGATAAATTTCGTTGAATATGAGATGCTTGAACCCCCAAAACTTTCCCAAACTTCATCAATTGCTATACTGTTCTGTATATTTTTTATTTCAAACCCTTTCGATCCCTATCGGTTACGCCACTGATCAAATTCTCTCTCTCTCTCTCTCTATTTATATTTTTACCTTTTTCATATATACATAATATTTTAACGACCGAAAATCGAGCTGCTCGTTGTTTTGATTTTATTTTTCGTTTGCATTTGTGTCTGTTATTCCAGAAATGACTTCATAAATGGACTAGCCCATACTATAGTATAATAACGGATCGTCGTGTGATGTTCGACGACACAATAACGTTCAGATTATAATTTATTATTATGTTTGAACCGTGTTTTGTTTTGCAGTGACAATATATTATATTATACAATATATATATATTCGTATGCCACTGATTTAAAAAAAAATATATATATATATATATAAGTATATTATTGTATGTATTATTACGAGTTGTATTGATAATAGTCGAAATATATAATTGAATAGTCGAGAACTTTTTATTGGAGTGCGTCAATAATTTATTATTTATGTAAATATCGACGCTACGCTATACATATACACCCAATAGAGGCCAATACAACTAAAATTAAATTTTTTAAATACATACACGTGTACATAAACTATAATACACTAATACACTCCAATACAATTTAGACCAAAGAATTTATATTAAAAAAATTATAAGAAAATGCGAATAATTGATTTAACAATTAACTATTAATCATCCCTTCTTCCCTATCTTATTAAATATTTTAATATCCTCTCCCCGTGAAATTGAACTCTGCAGACTTCTCTACACTTTACGACGCGAAGATAAGAATATGCTGTTTAGGTATAGTATGAAATAAGTTAAATAAACTATAATAACTCATTGCTAAATATTTATAACTTAACAACGACGTACGAAGCTGCTGATTTTTGAGATTATTGGTCCAGGGTTGATTCATTCTGGAAATCATAATTTTAAATGATAAAAAAAAAAAAAAAAACATGAAATAAAATTATATGTGCCTACCAGAGTATGTAATTTCATCGATTCAATAATGTTTTATAAAATTGGCATCAGCTACCACAGATATAAAGTATAAACAATTGGTAACTGGTATACTAGAATAACCCTGCCTTCAAAAATTCGATTAAACGATAATTCTATAGTTGGAATAAGGTTGTTGGCATAGGCATGGCTACGAAATGTATAGGCCTTAGAGTTTACAGTTGCACATCCTACTAGTCATGTTCAGATTTTAAAAATGGAAATATCGTGTACGAGTATAATTACAATAGCCGTGTATAGCTGGTTGTACAAATTATGAAAATATGGTAATTTTCTAAATATAATTAAAATTTTTTAAATTGTTGTGACCATATACCAGTTAGTACTTAGTAGTCACAAGCTTCTTCTGTGAACGGTCATTTTCCAAATCGAAAAATTGTGAAAACAAAGTGTGCTTAACCATTTGTGATATAAGTACGTAACAGATCCATAATATACACACGTATGACAAGCGAAAATACAAATTTAAGAACCTCTGCACTACACTATTATACTGTGCGCCTCGACATACATATCGTTTGGTTTAAATGTTTGGTTGGAAAAATTATTTTTTATTTTTGTCTACATCTTTGTTTTATGTAAGCACAATATGGATACGTGAATAAAATTTAAAAAAATATACATATTAATGTAGAATTCTGTTTTATTGATGTCAAGTTCTATAAACGGTATACAGCAGAATTCACGGGAAATCTAAGTTGTTGTCTGCCTTCATCAGAACGATGAATTTAGTTATTTTGAGCGTGCAATCGGTCTTTAATAGATGGCCGTGGTACGTCCAATACGTTGGGATGGCGTCCTAGTGTTGTCACCGTGACCCTGAAAAATCAAAAAGTTATGAAACTCGTCTAATTAATAACAAAAACGTCTATAAATACCCATTATAATATGAATGTACGCTTAAGAAATGAATAATAATTTCGATTTCAGTGCGATTAAAACTATAATAGACGTCGGCAAAACGCCAAAATATTGTTGAGATGTTTAGTTACCGATTTCCGGTCGAAATTTAAAAAGTACCGTACAGCCAGATCTATACTTAGATAATAATATTACATTACCAATATTATATTTTATACGAGACGTTAGACATGTTGAAACTATTACACTGCATGTGCACTACATGATTGAACCGCATTTTTGGCGCGTTTTATAGTATTCTCGTTTTATAAAGATTAAGTGTTAAGTAAAATTTGTTTGTTCCGTGTATTGCTGGTTGATTTAACAAGCAATACAAATAATTATTAATTATTATTAATTAGGTACTTAACGAACGATTTTAATCGTGAATAATATGTTTTGAATGTATAAAAAAAAATAATAATAATATGATATTTTGTAAACTTAAGCCGTTGGTTATTAAACGCGTTGAATTAATTAAGTATATTAAAGTTCTCTCGACTATTGAAAAAGATCAATTAGATAATATCATTAGGTATTATTATTATTTTTTTTTTTAATTCATAGAAATACAAATTTATTTATATATTAAAAATATCGCCTAGCGGGGAGGAGAGTCGGCGAACTATATGTTCTGAAAACGACCAGGTCGCTAGAAAACGTCAATTTGAACGAACGAATCGACTTCCAAAACTTTATCTTCGGATGTAGCTATTGCGATGAAATCCATAAATTGCCTAGCTAAATAAAAACAGTCGTATTCGTATAATGATTGGTCGATTTTGCATAACACATAGGTATACCTTATAATAAGGGTTTGGGTCTTTTAGCATATTTTGTTTGTTTTTCTGTTTTCTTTTTTATACGAACAGGATTTAATCCGAAAAATACATTTTCAGAACCGTATTTGATCCATAAAGTATTTTTGACGAAAGTATTCTGTCCGAAAAATACTCCATCCAAAAATGGTTTGTGGCGTCACATCAAAGGCGAAATAACATTTAAATCAGTGTTGATTCTGTTAAATCAGTTTAATTTTTAATTTTATGATGTTTATATATCTTTCATTTATTTATTTATTTTTATTATATATTTTACTGTTAACACTTTCATAAAAATGTATCTATCTTTGATTATCTATTTTTAAAATAATTTATTTAATATAAATAAGTATTGCACTAATAATTTATTACTTGCAGCTGTTTAAATGATTGATTAGATAATTATCAGCCACGGTGAGTGGAGCTTCATTTGAATATGTCTACATGTATATTGAATAAGTCTATGGGGTTTGCCACGAAATATTTTCGGATCAAATACGGTTTTGAAAAATATTTTCTAGATTAAATATAATTTTCGTAAATTTTTATTTCGAAAATTGTATATTTACATTTATAATTCAGCCCTTGTTGTTATATCTTAAATGCTTTTCACGTTTGTGATCGTTGGACACGACCGGGCAATACAAATCCGGTAGTATAGATTTTTTAAACAAAATTCTATTGATTGCTCTTTTTCGAGCGCTTTTTCGTCGATTTCAAGTGCTAGAGTCCCGGGCATTCCTTATCGTAATAACCAATATGGTTCGGTTTACGTACAGACAGTTATGGAAAATACGTGACACGATAATATTACGAAAAAATCGACTGCACTTACCACGGTGTGCCGATGAGGTAATCGTAGTACTGTCTGAAATAGTAGTGCTTGTTGTGGTCGGCCCGGCAGACGGACGGTATTACAACGTAATCGTTGAGCTTGGACTTGACCAATGGGAAGTCTTTCGAAGACAGACGCCGGCCGTCGTTGGTGCACGACCTGAGCACGCGTTCCTCCCACGTCTGCGGCACCGGCACCGGGTCGTACAATCCCCGCTGACGCCTGTCCATGTAGTGTATGTAATCGTCGTAGTAGTTGCGCTGGTATTCGTACAACCGGTCGTACTGGAGCCTGGTCGGTCGGGCCCAGTGTCTGAATATCCTGTGTCTGTCCTTTTCCTCGATCTACATGGCAACAATGCGCGAAGTACAGAATAATTACTCCTTATGTATTATATAAGGAGTAATTATATAATATATAATATACTGGCAGGGTTACAGTCCGTAAAAGCGTGTACTGCGGGGAAAATGAGAAATAAGGAGAAAGCTAATAATAACTACGAAGACCGAAGACGAGATAATTTAAGGCGAAACCGGAAAAATAGCAGGTGACTGTTATTAGGGGTTATTACGCGGTGAGATTCGAGGGTATGACGCGTGGTGAATACGGGCGGAGGAATGGTGGCGACGGATATTCGGGAGATTCGGAGGTCGGGAACAAGAGAAGTTGAGCCCGCTTGCGTGGGATCGAGTCGAAAACGTATAGGCATAATATAAAACCCCCGCGACCGCACGTCGTTGTCGGGTCGATTTCTGTCTGTGTACACAACACTATTATAGCTGATTATACCGTCTTCGATTGGCCCGTAGCCCATTATTTTTAGCCCGTTATTTGTAAGGGGAAAAAACAACATTAATAATATGCAAACTCGTTTTAAAATGTTAAGTTGTATGACGTATACTCGTATGTAATAGTGACGATAATATAGTTTTGTTTTTTATTTGCGCAGTCGAAAACGTATGTCCGGTCGGATTTCGGACAAACGATAACATATTATTTCGTTTACCCGAAATCATAATCAAAAACTAAACCTTATGTATAACTATGATATTATTATGTGCTTACGGCGAGTTTGTAAGTTTTCCGCCATTCGGCCGGCGGTTTGGGAGCTTCGACCGGTGTCTCCGCGGTATCCTGCGGTTCATTGCCGCCGGCATCCTCGTCACCTGCACCGGAGTCACCAACTCCAGAGAAATCCATTGGAGCGTCGTCGTCAAGCATCCACGATGAGTCCGGATCGGCCATTATTAATTATTATTGATGCGAAACTCACGTGTAACTATAAAAGACAAAATGGAACAAATTTCAGTAATGATTTGATTGATTTTTTTTTTCTTCGTAATATCAAAGACCGGACAATAATTATTATGTATGTATTATATAAAATCAAAAATAATAATAATATAAATACTATAATGATGTATTATACCGTTTGAATAGAAATAAAATACGCGAACTATTAGGTATACCTTCACTGAATTCCAATCCAATAAAGTGCCGACTGAAAGCTTAAATGAATCGATCACCCCTTTGGCCCACACAACTTATAATTCACTTGTGGCCGTGAGTATGGCTCGTGCCCAATATTTCAGGGATCGCAAAATTTCCCCGTTGAATTCCTGCGCAAAGAGCCCCCATATGCATACGCGCTCGAGAGTGCGGTTACCTACACGTTAACTTGCGTTCGTTCGCAAAAGATGCCTATTTGGGAACCACTGAGAATTTAGATCGGATTCGCATGTCTTTTGGCGCCGATACACTTTATAGACGTCTCATTGTGTCCTAATTGTCATTGTCAATGGTGAACAATGCCAATATATATCGCGACGATGAAGAAACCTGTAACGGTTTTCGTTTCATTGAGATTGTTTTTTTTTTTCGTCATTATTATTATAAATCTCGAAATATCGATTTAGAAATGTCCCGATGCATAATATAATAATAATAATATGTTTGTTGTGTTTGCTTGTATATACGCGTTGTGTATTCACCCCTGCAGGTTCGGATGCTATAAGAGCCCCCGGGTGTCGGATTTGTATATTATATATTATACCTAAATATATATACGTATCAAATGCAATCATTTTGATTAACAAAAAAAAAAGAAGAAAAATAAACGAAAGAAAAAAATATAATGAAAAATGAATATTTATACCTCGGGGGTAACCTATGGCCCATGGGATATTACAATATACAATGAGTCAACTCAACAAGGGGAATATCTGAAATATTTAGAGTAATTTATTATTTAAGTACTCGTGGATAAATTATAGGTATTATATTTTATTAATACATAATTGCCTTTATACATTTGGCCAAACAAAGTGTTCTTGACCCCTTTATTCATTCATTGCCGTCCTAATAACAAAAAATAAATAAAAAATAAAAAAATTGGCCTCGTACGCAATTATTTTAATAATATTAGGTGTCGTCAATATATTCATATAAGTAAGAAATGGGAAAAATAAAACTATATATTACAATTTTTTAATCATTCAACTTTTACTATAGTCAAAACACAATATATACCTACATAGTTATTTCGTTTTTTTCACGAGGGTTTATCACGATTTCACTGTTCAACTGTTGTATATTATAAGGTTAAATTTATTATCTTAATACAATTAAATTTTAAGTAAATTTATGGAATATTCAAACGACGTGACATAAAAACGTGCTGATTCTGAGGGCAAGTGTTATAGGTGGGAAACTGAGAGGACAGGATGTTAATTACGCACTTATGTAAAGGACACTTAATGTATTAAGTTATTTAATTTGTATCAGTAAGCAACGACCGTTTCTAACGATAAACGATTTGGGGCGAAGTTCGGTTATACCTACATGTTTTGAAAGGCCGTAACATTTACAATCTACGCCAAAATTCGATATTAAAATTTTAATAAAAAAAAAATACTACATTAAATCCAACTTTTTCTTGTTGACCATTAAGTGAAACTTATAATATTTATCCATAAAATACCTATCGAATAAATATTACGTAAAAAATTAGCAAAAATAAATTTGAAATAGTTAAAAAAAGGCCAAATGTTTTTAAAATTGTACCGCATCTATATTGTATGTTCCCCAAGTATAAGTTTTCTATCCAAATTTCAAGTCTCTACTAATATTTTTAACTGGATTACAACAAAAATTAAAAATCGAAAATAATTTTTTAAATTATTTTCGTAAATTTTCCCGTTTTTCTAAGTTTTTTTTTCGGTTTTGCTGAATTATTAAAAAAACTACATTGAACCAAAAATCAACTTTCTGACTCACCAACTAAATTAAAAATTCAACAACAATGATCTCTTGTTCTTGTGCTGCAGCAATATTTCTAATAGAAAACATAAGAAGCCTAAAAATTTAAAACAATGAAATCGTAACGCCGTAAATTTATCATTTTCATTTTACGTTTATTTCCGATTTTTTCTAATAATTATGAAAACTACTTGGAAAATCAAAAAAAAGGGGCAACTAGATTCAAAATTTAACCAAAAAGGTCTTTTTTCATTTAATTGAAGCAACATTTCTAGTAGAAAACATATGTAACGAAAAGACAGACATACTTCGCTCGATGGGTGGGCCACTGTTGTAGATGAGAAATTTGGGAGGTAGAATATAGAGGGGAATTTCATTTATATCCGTATGCAACGATACAAACCAATGCTAACGAAAAAGGATTTGGAGCGGAGTTCGGTTATACATGTTTTGAAAGGTCATAATATTTACGATTTTTTTCAGAATTCGATATTAAAATTCTTAAAAAAAAAATTCTATTTGACATTCAATTTTTTTTTTTTTACCACAAATTGCGACTTATAATCAACCTAGGAGCTCCTGTTAATTTTTCATGTATTTCTGTTTGATCTAACAATTTCATCCACATAGTACCTACCGAATAAAAATTACGTAAAAACTAGCAAAATTAAAATGTCTATAAATAGCTCAAAAATGGCTAAAATGTTTTGAAAGTTTTACCACGACGCGAATATAAGTTTTCTGTCCAATAATTTCAAGTCTTTACGAATATTTTTAACTGAATCAGTTTAAAACTATTGGTTACGTAAAATTTCCCGTTTTTACTGCGTTTTCTCAATTATCATGAAAACCAAAAGAATCAAAAAATAACAGACTTAAAATACCATCTACATACTTGATAATATATCGGAGGAAGAAATCTGGTATAACGTAAAACAAAAAAAACATCATTGTAAAACCAATACATTCCTCGCTACGTTTCGAATCTATAAAATACCTATATATATAGTATATAATTATTTGGACATAATAATTGGTAGGTACCAGTGGCGGATTGTGCTATGACCGGATTGTGCTGTCATCATAAAACTGATTTTATACTAAAAATTGTTCTTTTTTATTTTTGAAAATATTATTTTTCGATAAAAATATATTTTATTACCTATATGATGTATTGTGCACACCGCATACGTCTTTGATAATGAGGAGAAAATTGAAAAACGATCACGATTTAAGATAATACGATCGCCTGACGAATTATAATGAGGCGGTTAAATGTGTCGTGTTCACAGATAGCTAAAACAAATTGGGTTTTTGTTTCATATCAATGGGTATCTGTGGTCATGTCGTGAAATATGTGTAGTTGGCGTGGACTACTCTTTAACCGAAAATTATATACTTACGGTGTAGTAGAGACTAAAGACATGGATAATAAAGAAATTATTTTATTTAATTTATTTATTTTCTGTGAGTAAAAACAACTCTCTTGGTAACTGGATGATACCAAAATACAAACGTCCAATCAATATTCCGATATCAAGCGCAATTCTCCCTAACCGGTTAAAGTTCAAAATCCTCTACTGGCAGGTATAGATATTAATTTTTAAAATTACTCAATTTGTAAAACGTCTATTTGATCTGATTTTCTACCTTGCAAACACCGGCTATCCCCATTTCATTCTCAATCGCATCCAACCATCACTTTTTCAGTCTTCCCTCTTCACCCACGTTTATTTTTATGACAGTTCTTACTGTTGGACATTCCTCTACCTCCATGACATGTTCAAACCATTTCAGTCTATTTTCTCTCTTTTTGTCTACTATCGAAGTCACGCCTCTTATGTACTCTAGACAGTTTACGTGTTATAAATGCTGATAATTTTGAATTTTTTTAAAATCAATATTAATTTTCAAGAATTTGTTTCTGCACTCGAAAAATAATAATGTAACACAATCGCTCGCCTGACTCAAACGATATTCCAGAAATTGTTCTAAATCAGTGTAGGTTATACTTTAACAATTTCGTTACATTAATTTATACTATCCATTATCTTCAGCTTATTTAATTTTTTTTTTTCATAGTAATTACAGATAATATATTATGTATTATCTATGATAATGATACACATTTCTGAAACCGGCTCGTTAAAACTTTAATTTGTTACACACCATCGTTAGGAGCTCGTGCGATTATCAATGCACTATAAGTACAAAAATCTAAATTTTTTTAAGTTAGTGAAAGGTAGCAGAAAACAATAAAAATTTTCCGTACGCACTAGCGTTCGAAATAAAAATGTACACCAGTGCATCCGGTGCAATCATGTGGAAAACAGGAAAACGCTGCAAGATATTATCTTAGTTTGTATGTCAAGCTATGAACCGGTAGATGGCGTTATTAACGCCGCTTTATTTCATGGACCGCTCTAATCGTAAGTCGTAACGGTTTTTTCGACCGGTTACAGCTGCTGCAGCAACCACCAACGAAATAATAATTATCCGCCTTTCCATATTGGCTTTAGTTAAATAATTTTTGCAGTTTATTTTCATTTGCTTAATCTACTCCTTCCGCGTGTGTTTGTTTCTTAATCCATATTTGTTACTTAACTATGGTTAATCGTTAGTATCGCGTATAACGGAAAAACTTTAAAGGTTTTGGTACCCAACAACTACAATGGAACCGTCGAGTGATCCGATATCGGTGCGTTCAATGCGCATTGGCGAGGTACTCGTTGGCCCGACCATTATGGCCACTACCACATTGAATAAAGAATTACTATTAGACGCCATTATATTGTTGTTCGACGAATGCAATAATGAATACATGAAAACCGACCCACTGATTGCAAATTTTATTAACAAATGTGAGTGTCCAATGCTTTTTAGGCACCTAGTTCCCATGGATCCAGGTACAAAATTATAACTATTTATTTATATTTGATTGATTTCAGTTAAAATGACTATACCAGAATTGAAATCACTACGTGTCAACCGATTCGATTTCGAGTCCAGACAAGTGATTGGTAAAGGGCATTTCGGAGACGTTGAACTAGTAGTCGAAAAAAATACCAGGGATATTTTTGCCATGAAAGTATTGAAAAAAGATAATCTACTAAATCAAAGAGATGTACCTATATTAAAAAAGTAATTATTTTCAAAATAAAAACTATTAATATTTATTAATTATTCCAGATTGCATTTTTCGAATACGAAAGAGACATTATGGCATCGTCAAGTTCTCCCTTCATAACACAATTGCATTATGCTTTTCAAGACTATCAACATCTCTATCTTATTATGGACTATCATCCTGGTGGTGATTTTGCAAACTTGATTGACAAATTGGGTGGCACGTTGACAGAAGATATGGCAAAGTAAGTTCTTAATTATAGGTAATTACAGGCATTTTAACCATTCGAGTTTTATTGAGTAATCAATTTTATTTTTTCTGATAGATTCTATATTGCAGAACTCTTACTAGCTGTTAAACATTTGCATAATATGGGATTTGCTCATCGTGACATAAAACCTGAAAATATGATGTTAGATCGTGTCGGCCATTTGAAATTAGTTGATTTTGGTTCTGCAGCAAAACTTAACCGAGACGGCAAAATTAATGCACGTATGCCTGTTGGTACATCTGAATATATAGCACCAGAAATCCTTCAAGTAAATATAACATTACTATTATTAGTATGTATACAATAAATTATAATATGAGTTGTATTATTAAGTAGTTAAAATATGCATTTGTTACAAATCTACTTGTTTTATAATTTTTTTTATCCAGTTTATGCAGTCAAATTCAAAAACAATGGACGGTTATGGACCCCAATGTGATTTGTGGTCTGTTGGCATTGTTGCATATGAAATGGCAACTGGGGATACTCCTTTCAATTCTGAACAACAAGCTGTTATTTATTCAAATATATTACATTTTGACAATATATTAAAGTATCCTACTTTTTTAAAAGTATCATCATGTAAGTAATTTCTTCAGCATCTTCTTTACGTTATTAATCATTTGATTGGTTTGCTGAAGTTCTCTATGCTTCCCTATTGTTACTCAATTCTTTTAATTCCTTTTAACTATTCTTCCCCATATCTATCATGATTTGCTTCATGTACTTCATTCTTGGTCTTCCTCTTCAGATATTATCCTTCAATGTTGTCACTTTTTATCATGCTTTTCTACTGTACTAATTGTCCCAAGTTTCACAATTGTAAAAGGCAATACTCCACACATTATTAAAAACTTCTTGTAAGGTTACACTATTAGTGGTTAATGGGTGTTTTTTATTCTTTGGTATATTCTAATAAAATCATAGATTATTGTTTTAATTATAATTAAATTTTGTGGTATTTTCTTACCTCTGTAAAATAATAGAATATAAATTTGCCATCAAATATAAATAATTTAACTTAGGCCTTTGAATAAAAAAAATTTTGAAAAATTTTCATTTTTCTATTTTAGAAATCATTACAGTAAACCAATTTTTTTTTTTTTTTTTTTTTTGAAGACTAATGCTAAAGATAGTTCAATATTTTTTAGAAGCTATAACAACTTTAATATTGTATGTTGTCACTAATGTACATACATGGAGAGCATTATTACCCTTGTAAAAACAACATTATTTTTTTTTTTTACTCTTGATACCAGTTTTATGTGATTTTGCATAATTAATCGAAGGTTTATTTTCAAGGTAAATATAAGCTTGCGAAGCAATCAAATAGAGGTGGCAAAAGTCCTAATCTCATAAACCATGATTTAATTTTACACTTGGAACACTATTCTTCTTGCAGTATCAAATTAATTAGAAATGTAGTTTAAGTTGATGGTATTCTCTTCTCCCTCAATAAGAATTTATTGGGTTAAAGACGTATATGCTTACATCGATAAGCAAAGCTAGTAAGCATGACAAGCCATTCCCTGCACCCACAATTCTTTTTACGCTTATTATGTATTGGTAATTATTATACTGTCTTCAGATTGATATAAGAATTATAATTTCTAGAAAATTCTGATTGCACAATCATGTCCAGCATTTTAAACTTGTCTTTTCTAAAAAAAAACCAATTTTGTTTATTTGTTATAACTTAACAAATATAAAATAATAATAATAATAATGAACAATAATGCTAAACTGTATTTATTACTAACTAAAATATTATTTTCAGCTTACAAACAAATGATTGAATGTTTGGTATGTCATGTGGACAAACGATTTACTGTTGATATGATGTTAGATTTGGAAATTTTTTCAAAAATAAACTTCAGTACTTTACACGATAAGTCACCTCCATACATTCCATTACTTTCATCTGATAATGATGTTTCTAATTTTCCAATAATAGAAAGAGATCGCCCAACCCTTAACATAAATGATTTTAAAGTAATTCGTAGATAAATTTTAGATTATAATGTATTTGTTATAATTTAATGGATGTTTTGTAGAGACGAAAGCAATTTTCTGGAAGAGATCTTCCATTTATTGGTTTCACGTATAGCATGCAAATCTCAAAACGAAATCAATCGTATTTCATGACCAACACCCCCGAATTGGAAACATCTATTAGAGTAAAACGTAAAGAATTAGAAGATGCTCAAGTTGTAATACAAGCATATGAAGAAAAAATAGCAGAATATGATGCATTATTTATTGCGAATGAAAAGAAAATTAAAAAAATGGAAGAAGAAAATGTGTTATTGCATGTAGATGTTACTTCTTTGAGTAGTGAATTGGGTAGGTTGACCAAAATAAGTGAAAATAGTGACTCAAGTCTGGAAAACTTTGAAGTTATGGAAAAAAAACAAGCTGAAATGGTTAAGGTATGCTTTTTAAAATATTAATAATCTAAACATTTTTGTTTTTATTTCAATTCTTCGTAGTTTACATATGACAGTTTAAAAATATAACCTTATAATTATCTATTATCTTTAAACTAAGCTTATGTTAGAGATGGAGAGTAATATAAAAAAATAATAATAATAATAAAACAAAAAAGAAATGTTTACAAATTGACTTAAAAATTTACTGGACCTATCCATTTAAAACTGTACAAATGTGTTTAATTTTTTATACGTGCATTTTCGTTAAATTGTTATAATTTTAGATAAGATAAATAATACTCGTATATTAAACTCTGGTGTACCCGAATAATTAAAAACTTGATTCGATATTAAAAAATTATATTCACCTGACCCTAATGAAAAATAAATAAATTTATTTTTTAGAATGAAATTGATAAATGGGAAATTAAAACAATGAATGAGTTATATAATATAGAAGAATTAAAAACTCAAAATGATGATTTACAAGTACAAAACAAAGAATTACAATCGCAGTAAAGTTTTTATTTGAAATGAATTAATAGATGCAACTTGATCTATAAATATTTTATGTATTGTAGATTATCCAAACACCAAGAGGATATTAAAGTTTATCAAGCTAATAATGAACAACTTAATAAAAAGATAACAAAACTTAAATCTAAATTAAAGCATCTTTTACGTCGTTCGAAACAGTTAACTGAAGATAACAATATTGATAATCATGTAGCTGCATTACTAGATGAAATGAAAACAAAAGAGGATACATTTGAAATAGAAAAGAATCTCTTAAATACTGATAATCAATCCCTCAAAAGAAAAATTTCTATTTTGGAAAAAGATTTAGAAAGTTTAAATTCAAAGGTGAGTAGGCTAAACAAAATTAATTTTTAATAAATTTTATAATATATTTGTGTAACCACTTATAGATATCTCAATTTGCTGAAAAAGAAGCTACTGTGTTATCTGAACATACAAAAATCTGTAAGAAAATGGTTTTTGATTTTGAATCTAAATTAAACACTGTAAGACAAGAAAAAGATAATGAAATAGATAAATTGCATGCTAATATAGCTCAACTACAGCAACAATTTAGTGAATCATTAATGTCTTTTGAAAAAAATGAAAATGCAATTTCTGCCAAAGAAAATGAAAAAGAGGTAAATGATGAAAAATAATAAATATTGAAGTTTTTATTAATATAATAGATGTGACATTAATTTGTTAAAATATTAAAATTAATATATTAAAATGTATATTATATATAGGGTAATTCACTCAACTGGAAACACTCATTATCTCGTATTAATTTTTTCATACCCCTTTTTTGGGAGGATGAAACGGCTACCTACTTTTAATTTTCAAATGACAATCTATTTTTGAAATCTCTTAAATAGATGGAGTATTATTTAAGGCATTTTAAAAATAGATTGCTATTTGAAAATCACAAGTAGTCAGCCATTTCACGCTTAAAAATAAGAGGTACAAAAATAATGATAACGTAATATTATAGAACTATTTGATTCTTAAATTTTCAAAAAAAGGTTAATATATTCTGAGATAATGAGTGATTCCAGTTGAGTGATTCACTTTGTATATATATATTCAATTGAAGAATATTTTTGTTACAAATATTTTATTTTCAGTTTGAATCTGAGATGAAGAACCGAGAACAAGAAATCCGTGATTTAAAATTAGACCTAAGAATACTTGAACGAAAACATAAAACATGTGAAGAAACTATTAATGGTCTTAGAGTAAGTATAGTTTTATATTTACTCATAATGTTATTACATATTCATAGTAAATATTAATCATCAATATAACATTTTTGACAGGAATATCACAAAGATGCACGGAATAATTTCAAACAAGAAATTTCTAAAATCAAAGAAGAAACTGCCGTTGAAATACAAAATAAAAATGATGAACTAAAAACATTACAAGATAAAATATTAAAACTCGATCAAACAATTGAAACTTTAAATTTAAATTTCAACAAAGAAGAAGCAGAACGTCAAAGGCTAAATGTAGAGTTATCTAAAGTAAACAGTACTTCTAAGATTTGGAGTAGTGAAAGATCTGCTCTTGAAAGACAAGTAAGTTAAAGAAAATTTTATTTTATTTTTTTGTAAATACCTATATCAAAAATAATACATTATAGATACTTGAGTACAAAACTAAATTGAGCAAAAGTGAAGCTGATGTAAAATCATTACAAAACGTTGTTGCTATTCAAGATGAACAATCTGTTGCTTTTGAAGAAGCTATCAATGCTTTAAATAATAAAGAAAAACAATTGTTGGCAAATATTAAAACTAAACAGGTATGGTGTTTATCAATTTTATAAATGTAGCCAAAATATCTTTCTTTTTTTTCAATATGTTATTACTTGAATTATGTTTTTGATAATTGTAATATGTAAATATGAATATTATTAGAATGAAGTTGAAAAGATCCAAAATGAATTGCGTCAAGCTAAAAAAATGTTTAATGAAGAAAAATCTTTGCGTATATTGGCTGAAAGTCGCGGAAAAACCATGGAAAATGTGAAAGATAATGTTACAACTGAATTAAAATTATTGACAGACCAGATTTATGACAAAAATGTAGAGATTGATTCAATTAAAAAACAGGTAAATAAAGCAATTGTTTTAAGGTAGATTTGTGTAATACATTCATTAAATGATGGAATATAATTCATTATTTATTTTATAGTTAGAAGAAGTAAATTCTGAACTAAGAAATAAAAATACTATGTTTCATACTTTACAAATTGAATCTAATAATGTTATCAGTGAGTTAAAGAAAATGAAGACAGAAATGTCTGAAAATATTAGTCAAAAACAACTTTTAAAAGAAACCAATGTTCGTTTAACAGCTCAACTAACTGCAATGGTTGAAGATTCAAATGTGAGTTAAAGGATTGATTCTAATGGGTTTTATTTATATATTTATAATTTATATAATATTAGGTTATGCAAAATGTTATTTCAAAGTATAAAAATAGTTTGATTGAACAAAAAGATTATTATGAAGAAAGGTTAATTAAGGCTGATGCTACCACTTGCCAACAAACCAAACTTATTAATTTCTTACAAACAAAATTAGATGAAGTGACAAAAAAGAAAAAAACGCTGGGTGAAATTTTATTCAGTGGTAAAAATAAAGAAAATATTGATCAAAAGGTATAACTACATGTTTTATTTTTCGTTTTGATTATAATGTTACTTATTGAATTATAAATTATTCTAGGAAATTGAATTTTTGTTAAATTCTGAAAGAAGTAAATCTAAAGACCTAGCTAATAAACTATATCAAACTCAAGCAGAATTAAACATTATGAAGACGCATGGTCCGTTCACAACTCCCTTAGCCCCTACTCGTCTTAATTTTGAAACAAACTCTCCTAGTTACAGAATAAATACTCCTAACTTTACTCAGTCTGCATTATTCCACAAGTAAGTTTATTAAATGCCTTATATAACATTATGCTAATATAAAAATATATTTAGATTTGATGTAAAGATATGCCAGCGTGGTGGATTACATTGTTCTCACTGTAATACTGAAATTAATAGCGGACAACAAATCAGTCAATGTCAAGAGTGTAGGGTATCAACACACGTAACATGTTCACATGAATTACAACCTGATTGTTCGGCATTAAAAAAAGAAAACAAAGCATTAACTCCTGTACTTAGTGATACTGAGAACAAATCTGATATAGAATCATGGATCACATTTTGGGAGTAAGAAAAATATATTTTTAAAATTATATGAGAGTCTGTTATAGTAATAATTTATATTATTTGAAATTCTATTAAATTAAATGAGTATTATTTTTAGTTTATTTTTTTATGTTCATTTTGTTTAGTAATTCAAAACAAATTTGGGATCGAAAATATGCAAAATTTGAGAAAGGAGTTTTACAAATTCTCAATGACAAACATGATACTAAACCATACTACACTCTGCCATTGATGATGTCATCAAATATTGTAAAAGTCGTAGATGTAGCAGAATCAAATGACACAACCTTTGACAAAAGTACCAATGAAGATTACGAACAGATGTTGAAAATAGAAATGTACAATTTAAATACAGGGTGGATGACATTATTTTTGTACATAATTGTATCTAGTGTATCAGAAAAACTAAGATGGGTGAACAGAATTAAAGAATACCTAGAAAATAGTGAATGCACTGTTCAATTACAAGAAAATCATGATTACAAAGATATTATATACACCTTTCAAAAAGACAAACTCATAAATGTTAATTGTATTCATCAAATATCGCAAAAAGTATGTGTGTTAATTTATCATAAATTAAAAATACCAGTTTCAATAATCCTGTGAAATTTGTATTGTTGTTCAGGTGTTTTTATTGGGTGCTATTGAAGGATTATTCTCAGTTCATATGAAATATCAAAATGAGCAAATGAGTCAAGATCTCGTTCCTATAATTGGGCCAAAATTAGTCAAAGACTTTATTTTCTTGCCCGAACTTCAATTAGTTTTAATGATAGCTGGTACGTTTATTTGAAAAATTTACTAATTGTTTGATTTGAGTTTTACTTGATATGTATGTAATGTATTTCTTTTAGGAACTACTAGAGAACTTTTAAAATGTAATATGAGGACTGTTGTTCTGAATTCGGAATTAAGTCAAATGTCAAAACCAGTTATCGAAGTGGTTCGAATCATAGATGAATTGCGTAACAATCAACCATCTAAATGTGACTCAGCGATGACTGAACTTAAAGAAATTAACTGTATTGCTGCTTCTCGTTGTAATGAGTTAGTAGTAGTGGGATCTGAACATAACATTACGTAAGTACAAAAGAAATTGCAAATAATAACAAAATAATTATAATTTAACTTCAATATTATTTCTTTGGTTTCTAAAAGTGTTTTGAAATGGCATGACACACAATTTGTGGTAACTAAAATTCTAAAAACCAATGTACCAACAGAATGTTTATGCTTTATGCCTACTGGAATTATATTTACTACTAACAGCTTTTATAAAATTGATACAAAACATTTCACTTGTAAAAGTAAGCTATTTTCATTTTGATTTATTAACTCTAATGGTTTAATTCAAAATAATATTTTCAGGATTTTTCACGGATTCAATTGCTAAGTCACATGATTATCGACCAATGTTTGTTTGTGAATTAATAAAAGATAAGGAATACCTTTTATGTTACAATGCTTATGGTGTATTTGTTAATTCTGATGGAAAAAGAACTCGTAATGGCGAAATGAAGTGGCCATATAGTCCTAAAAATTTTGGTATGTTGTCTACAAGATGCAATGTTATGTTGATTGCATGGTTATGTATTAATGATTCATTATAATTTCAGCGTTCAAAAAACCATTTTTAATTATTGTATCTGAATCCGAAATTTCTATTATAAAAATCACTCAAACCTGTTGTGTGGATGAAGACACGTGGAGTATTACATCAACTAAACAGCCCAAAGACCAAGTAGTCCTAAACATCAATCGGCCCACTCTTTTAAGTATGAAGTGTTATACATAACATGTCTGGCTATGGAACAAAATTTAATTTAAATTTTATTTGTGTCCTAGGAGGTAACGATTTATGTTTGAAAAATACAAATGATTATCAAGGCACATGCAGTATTTTCCAGTTGGATCCATCTAAAATCATAAAAAGGAGCTCAATGGCATCAAATGATACATTAGATACCTTAGACACACAAGAAACATGGTATGAGTTATCAAAATTAAAAGTTCTAACATTTTTTTTTTTTTTTTAATGTATACCAATGCTTATAAATTTCTTTTAGTGATGAATCAGAATTCAGTTTTACATCCTCCATGTTAGAAAACTTAGATGAACAGCCAGATGAAAATCAAAAAAAAATACGCTTTAATCCTAATGTTCAATTTAACAGCAATTAAATACTAGGTTTCTACTATTATTTTATTATTTTTAAACTAGAATGTAATTGTTAACATTAAATCTTAGGATTTATTTATGAATATTATTTTTACTATTTTTTTTTATTTGTATTATTTTACTAATGAAATTGTATACAATTATAATATTTAAGTTTTATCGCATCTTTAATAAAATATTTCTTTGAGAAGACTTTACTCACATAATTTTTTGTTTTTATTATTTGTATGTAGTCATTATCATTATTGCGATATTTTAATGCGGCGATAAGGCGCTAAAGTTGTATTACGTATATTGCATTATCTACGTCATAGAAGGTGTCGCGGCAGGACAGATTAGATTGTGATACAGTTGTACAAAATAACAATTCTGCGCAAGTAGCTAGTGATTTATTTTTAAATAAATTATATTAAATAATGATAATAAATTTACAATATGGAAGAAACAGATGTTTATCGAATAAGTCAGAAAATATGTGTTTTTATTTGACCATCTCATTTGTATTACAAAAATTTAATAAAAAATTGTTTTTTCTTTTAGAAGGGCAAGTAGAAGAAAAAGTTGCTCTTCGTTAGAACTTGACATATTGAATAAATAGTGTAGTATAATTACAAAACAATGAAAAATATTATGTATTTGTACCTATATGACAACAACCAAAGTTGGATATATCATTGTGACAACTGAAAAATATAGTGTTTATACTATACCGCTCACGAAACAAATGCATGGTGTGTGACATCACCAGATCGCATTTTATATGCCTAAGCCTTTAATGATTTCAAGTTAAACAACATTCTTTTTCTGTAGTATCTTAAGAGGCCATGAATCATAGGATTTATTTATGAGTATTCTTTTTTGCTTACTGTATTATATTAGGTATTTTTTTTTTACTATCAATCAGAGACTGTTTGTATTATATTCTTAATACAATTTAAAAAAAAAGGTCAAGGTAATTTTTACAGTAATTACAGGTAATTTTTAATAATAATTAGGGCCTGGAACTTGATTCGTTCGCATATTTTTTTCTAATGCTTAAATTAGAAGCTCATCTTTATAAAAATTTGTTTCGTCACAGAATTCAATGATACAAATTTAATTTTACATTTTACTGGTAATTCTTGGTAGTAAAGTTATTTTTTTATAAATTTTTCTACTTTTTGTATTCTTTTGTTTAAATTCTGAGTTATAATTGTACATACTACTATTTATTTTTTTTTTAAATACTGTTAAAATATTGGATGTAAAACCAATAGAAATTGTTTCAAAAATATTAGGACAAGCAGTGTCAAAAGATGATATTTTAAGTAAGAGACTATCACATTGAAAGTGGAAGTCAATGAAAGTTTTTATGCTTTTAAAACACTTATCAGATAATAGCCAATTTTTTTTGTTTGAAAATTGTATGTATACTTCAAATGTTCAACACATTTAATCATAAGAAAACATTTTCAGAAATAATATGTATTTGCATACATAATTTAACTTCCTAATTTTAAGTTTAATTAATAAAAACAAGAAAATGGTAAACTCAAAATATTTCTTTTAAATTAGATATAGGGTTAAAAATAAAATATACATTTCTTTGTTATTGAGTAATTTAAAAATTTTTTTTTTATTGTATCGAAGATTATTAGGTCAAGTCCCCACTAATCATATATTATGTATAATTTTTTTTTTGTTAATAATTACTATATTTATGATAATCTTTTTTTAATGAAATTTGTTTAACATCAATCATTACAATACTTGCTTTTAATTAAATATATGTATATAGTTATTTTACATAAATGAGTACACTAATTTCACTAGCACAAACAAATTATTAAATCAGTACATAAAGAGGGCATAAAATAAATAAGACATACAAGTAATGATAATAATAATAATAAATAATTTATATTATAAAAGATATGAATTATTTACAATACAAAATATTTAAGAAGAAATCGTAAAACTATTTTGTAAATATTTATACAAAAATAAAAATAATTTACTATTGAGTTACCACAGGAATTCATCATATTTCAAAAACAATTTTTTTCAATTTTCAGTTGTGAATTGGTGGATTAATGAATAATTACAAAAAACACCAGATTTTATTTTTTTGTCTTCAGTAGTGAGAAAATATTTTATAATAAATATAATTATAAATAAATTAGTTAATTAACACTAATTTAAATTCAATGTTCTTTAGTATTATAATTTAAAATAACTGAAACTAAATTAAATTTATTTAATTCAAGTCTTATTGAAATTAGTTCAAGATCAATCTACTTAAAAGTATTATTGCCTATAAATTAGCTTATCAGTTGTCCCATCTATTTTTTTTTGCTTTTCTTTCTTTCAGTGGACCCGTGTGTACTTTTACTGTTGAACTAGACCCAACTGTTTGTTCCCATGTGTGATCTTCACTGGCTTTAAACTGTAAGTATCACAATTAAAATGTACATTAATATATAGTAAATAAATATATAAATAAAAAATGTTGACATTTTAATTATGATATACCTGATGATGAATTTTTAATTCGAAAACTACACTTATCGTAATACCCCAGTCAATGCATTTATTAATAAATTAATTTTTTATTTAGATATTTATTTATGAGTATCAACCATTTTAATAATTTTGTGTTTACTCTATTATTTTATTGTATATTAATGGTAATGAATACAACAGTCTGTGAATTTACTACATACTTGATTTTGGTATTGCATTTTAAACGCCTCTTTTAATGCCAACAGTCTACCTGATCCTGGACCTGCTTTCGGTGCAGCTGCTGCAGCAGGTTTTGGACATTGGTATGAACTAGATGCCTATAATATAATACATATTTTTTTTATTAGTAAACAGTTAATATTAAAATAACCTAATAACCAAATTTAAATATTACTAACGTTATAATTTTTAGAACCAGACGGTTCACGATATCCTAATCCAGCACCTCCAGCATTTACCGATTTACCTTTGCCACCCTTAAAACGACTTTTTCTAAACCAAGTGCTCTAAAACAGATTTGACAAATATTATTAACACAATGGGTTCAACACAATAAATAAATGTATATTCAGTATACCTGCATGGCAAGATCTAAAAGTGGTTTGGGTACTTCTTGTCCAACACCTTCAAGACTTCTTACCAAGTGTCCGGCAAATTCATAGTCTTTTGGAGTAACAAGAGTAAATGCTGTACCTTTTTCTCCGGCTCGACCTGAAGATATATAATTTTATATAAAATATAAAGTAAATTAAAAATAATTCATGTCAAATATTTTATACCTGTTCTTCCAATACGATGTGTATGCGTGTCTATATCTCTAGCTATATCGTAATTTATGACAGTTCTGATATGAGCTATATCTAGACCTCTAGCTGTAAAGAAAAATAATCTAAATATTAAGTCATTTCTTCATTTTAACTTACAATATTTTATGTATGCACAATATTAATATTAAAATAATAATAATAAACTTACCAGCTACATCAGTAGCCACCATGACATTGACTTCTTGTTTCTTAAATTTTGTTATCACTTTGTTCCTTTCAGCTTGGTCCATGTCACCATGCAACAATAGCACTTCATACTCCTTTACAGACAGTGTACTGGCCAATTGTTCTGCGTCTAACTATAAATTATTTTAATGTTTTTCTTTGTTTTTTTTTTCTACATCGAATGATACAACTAACTTTTTTTGTAACAAATATTAGAATAGAGCCAGTCGATGTAAATTGAACTATATTATCTAATAACCATTGGCATTTGTCACTTTGTGGCATAACCAACATGATTTGTGTCACATCTGTGTTAGCTTCACCAATATCGCCCTGGACAATCCTTATAGGATCTGTAAGTATATCACGTGCTAGCTTTTCAATTTTCTTTTTAAATGTAGCCGAAAACAGTAAAGTTTGCCGATCTGGTCTCACATGATCGCAAATGGATCGAACTTGAGGCTCTAAAAATAAACACTCATTTGAATTAAAATTTGTTAATAACAAAAATAATGTTATTGTCCCACTTACCAAAGCCCATATTAAACATTCTATCTGCTTCATCTAGTACAAGGAACGTTACTCTGGTTAAGTTGGTTGCAGACATTTTTACCAAATCGATTACTCTGCCTGGGGTGCCCACTATAATTTCAGCACCTCCTTCGAGTGCCTTAGATTGCTCCCACTTTGAACCCCCACCATAACAACACACTACTCGAAGATCATAGATTTTTCCAAATTTTTTGGCTTCCACATAAATCTACAAAAAAGAAAATTAAATATAATTATATAAATATATATATATGATTTTTCTTATTTTTCTTTAATGTTTACTTGTTGTGACAATTCTCTAGTAGGCGCCAATATCAAACCAACCGGACCATCATTATCTTTCAATTCAGGCTGATCCATTATGTGTATCAACATAGGCCATATGAATGCCAATGTTTTACCACTACCAGTTTTAGCAATACCTAAACAGTCAGTTGATAAGCAAAAAAAATTTTTTTTTAAAAATATATTAATTACCAATTATATCGCGTCCAGAGAGTGCAGCAGGAACTGCTTGACTTTGAATCGGTGTGGGTTGTGTATAATCAGATTTTCGAATAGCTTTCATTAGAGCATCATCAAAATTGAAATGAGCAAATGAGGTGACTGGATAAGGTAAATCAGCTCCATTAACTCGAAGACCAAGAGTCTTACGTAATTGAATAATTTTATCAACAGATAAAGATGAAATTTCACTATGTGGAATGTAAAAATTCTTTTCAAAACTGTTATATTTTATTAACGAATGATCAATAGACGGTAATGGATCTATTTCCTAAAATAAATATGATACATAAGTATAGTAAAAGATTTTTGTTTTAATCAATCAATATAAGGAAAACTGAATTGCAATTATATTGATACTAACTTTTTTCTTTGGTGGGGCTATAGGATTACCATCTTCATCATAATCAATTTCAATGTCTGAAGTTTCATCAACGAGACCTGCAGTAGGATTTTCTTCCATGTATCTAATAGTATATTTTTATAAAGCAAATTAAATTTGTTAATATTATACAACTAATATTAGTATTTAACTTTAAATGACCAATGTACTATCGTTGCACGCACCTATAGTATGATTCTTCAACGTCTTCTTCTTCGATATCTTGTCTAATCCCCTTTTCTTCTTCTTTTTTTTGTTTTTTGCCATATGTTTTTTCTTTTTTAACCTAAATTAATAATTCAAAAATTGTTATTATATTTTTATTTGTTTAAAATCAACAACAGTATTATAATTAAATTTAAAAAAACTTTGATAGGTATAATTATAAGGATGAACATTACTTCATTGAACTGATAATCTACATTTGTAATCTAAATGTTAAAAACAATTAGTTTAATTAATAATTATTACATTTAAGTGTACTAACAAGGGTATTAATTAGGTAGTACATATTGAGTTAAACAAAATGAATTAATTAATAAATTATGAAAAATAATTTGATCTACAGTATGCAGTTATGTAGTTACTTCTTTTTCTAGGCCTTCCATAAAAGCATCTAATGGATCTGCTGACGAATCCGAATCAACATCAGATTTTTGGTTTGTTGGACTATTGGGCGCAGGTATGTACTCAAGTTGGGGTTGCTGGTGTTCATCTTCTTCTTCAAAGTACCTATAACACAATTATTTATTGAGAGCGACTACATAGGTATTAGTGACAAAATCAATGCCAATGTTAGGAATGGCGAGCTCACTTACTCTTCTTCGGTTTTTGAACGTTTTTTTGGTACGCCCCAAGTGGTGGTAATGGCCGAATGATTTATGGCATTCAATGTGGAATATCCCTGTTTGCTGAGTCCACTGTTGGCCGGAGGAGGTATAGCCACCGATCGCGACGAAGACGACCGACCCCCTAAGTTTAAAGAAAAAGATATTTTGTTGTTGTGCATGGTGAATTCAGTGAACGTCTCAGTTAATCATCAGATAACTATTTGGTGATAATTCGTTTTTAAACAAATGTATAATATAGTATATTATTTACTATTTAGTAATATATTAAACATGAACTATGAAGCGACAATTCTAATAGATACCATATTATAAATTTATATAATGTAATTAAGATAAAATAATGGTTAGAAGTGTAATCTGTATTTTTGTTGTCGATTTTTATCACGGGAGAATAAACTGTTTTATGGTCAACCGTGGTTTTCTAATATCACACAGGGACACTATAAATGTAAAAACGTAGAATTATATAAAATATTATTTATTAATATTAGAGACTCCAACAGTCCAACTGGATAGTGGATATTGCAACTTTATTGGACTAAACACTAAAATCAAAGGCCCTGAGTACTATCATTATTGTATCGTGTACATTATCCTAACGGCCTATCGTCCCTCCATACGTATAGGAGCCCCCCAATCCCCATACACGGTCAGTCTTGAGGCTTGACTATCAATCATGTTGATTGCCATGCGAGACCTTAGACCTTAGATCTAAGTTCGAGACTGACTTTATATATATATGTATAATATTATGTACGACTATTGATTGATAATGACTAAAGAAATTTTAATCGTCATTCAAGACTGACCATGTAGGTATGCTTATGAATGTACGATACCTATTTCAGTTATTCGTGTCGTGTCTTTTTTGTCTTATACATTTTATATCTTCGTCAAAAATTGACAAATAATATAAATAATGAAGAATTTTGGCTCAAATTTACACATTTATATCGTAATTTTCTTGCTCCATGGAAAATAAAGTGATATGTATAAAGATAGAATTTCAAAACATGACTGCTATGCTTATGATAAATTAAATGAAATTGATGTAAAGATATATTTTAAATTTAAAATGCAAATATTTCTTCAACAATAAATATTAAACGAACGATTGAAGATTGTCATTCTTGATTGACTATATACTTATAGTTATCAACCATCAGTCAATGATCAGTCTTGACTGTCATTCAAGAATGGCCGTCTATGGGGGACTCAACCCCCTTAATCGGTAACTCAGCTATTTTCGTCTCCACAAATACATTCACCATTTAGGCAGAACCAAACGATTAGGGAAAGCTTTCGCAGAGGAAAACATTCCTCTACTTTGTTTCAACATCCAAATTTCCACATCTTCAAAATCTAAAACCAAATATAAATAAAAAATCTGAACAGTGAAAATCACGCATAGAAAAACTATAGTAAGAGATAATAGACGAAATGCCTGAGAAACTATATGTAGCCCACGGCCATCTAATGGCAAGTCCAAGTCTATGCATACAAATCTTAGATCATTTTGAGGGTGAATTTGCCTGATGTGATTATTAATTAAATATTTTAAGCAAAAATGTATAGGGAGTATTCTGTGTAAATTATTACAAAACTAAAAATTCTTCCTGTAACCATAATTTAAAATGAAAATATAAATAATTATTATGTCTATCCCTATATCATAGTAGGTACCTACCATAAGTAATTCTATAATGCAGATTGGGTAGGTACTAGATATCTACACGCTTACAACTGAAGCGCAACTTATGCAAGTGAAATAAGGTACCTACCCTTAAATACCTGGATTACAGTAGCGTTATAATGTTTTTTAGGGTCCAAGGTATTTTTGAATAGTGGTGATTAATAAATTAATGGGTCCCAACTCCCAAAAATTAGTTGTGATATTTAGTTATTTGTTACAAAAAATTAATGTTACTTGTAGAATGTACAATACTTACATATTCTGTATTTAATTGCAATAATAAATTGTATAAATACCATTAAATATGCAGTTTGGTAATAAAATTGTATAATATTAAGATAATATTCAGATAAAACTATCTGCCTATTTAATTAGTAAACTAAATAATTTAAATTTATTTATAAACACTAAATACAATAAATACGTAGGCAGTGCTCTTAAACTGCATGATCAGAAAACAAAATTAATATTTTCAGGTTAATATAAAATAAGAGCTTAATCAATTAGAATGGTTAACTACGCCATTGACCAGGAATCTAAAAATTTGGATAGTATAAAACTGCATCACACATAATATATAAATGTCCATTTTGAGGAGTATGAGTAGACCATAAATATTATTTAAATACAATTTTAAGGGATACATTCTGAATCCTTCAATTTTCAACACTTTTTAAATCACCATAAAGTAAACCCCTTACAACCACAAACTATTTTTATCTATGCTTGTTTATAAATACTATATTTTTTATATGAACTATAAAAAAATAGGTGATTTGACAATTATCAACAACACAACATAAATATAAAACACATATACTTCATTAATTAAATTCAACATATTTTAATTGTTCAATTTAAATTATACCAATCTTAAAACAGATATACTATATGTGGTCCAGTTATTTACTATCCAAATTTTGATTTTTAAATAATACTTGCTGGAAATAAAATAATAGAAAAAAATAAATACATTTTTTATAAGAATTAAAATCAATTAATACCTGTTTAAATAAAGTTCAATACTATAAATAATATTTAAAACTCAATTATTTGATAATCCTAATTATTCTCTAATAATTGAATGGATCCCAGTCGTTTTTTTTTTTTACAATTTGTTTATTAAGTTGATCCTTCTTGTAAGTTTAATATAACATTTAAATGTTCACGAATTGGTGGAATTTATATATTTATACTGTACATCAAAAATTAATATATTTTTTAAATTACTTATTATCTAATCTAATCTACTATCTAGGTATATAAATACCTAGTTAAAAATTAAAAACACCAGTACACCACAGATGAACTAAACTTTTAAATTTTAATGGTAAATGGTATTACTTACTAAAAATCAATTATTTATTTAACAGTTATAATTATTTAAGGTAAATATAGGTACATATTTGTATACATTGTACAATTTAAAAATCGTAATTAAGTATTAATGTTAGCATCATATCTTCATCAATTATTTAATTATTCAAGTTACAGCATTTAATTAACTAAACTTGATGATGGCAACATTGATGTAAATGGTCTTTGTGATTGATCAACCGCATTGTCTAGTAACATGCCTTCAATATTCAAACTATTTAATTCATTTGCACTAAAAGAAAATAATAAAAAATAATTAGTAGCTTCAAACTACTAAAATTTTAAACTCAATATATTATACTTACGTTGATAATTCTAATATAGAATCATTTTGTTCCTTGGAAATGTCAAATATTACAGTAGAATATTGATTTAATTTTACAGTTGCATTAAAACACTCTAACATTCCATTATATATTAGTAGATCATCTACCAAAATCTTAATAAAAAAAATGTACAATATTAGATCTTTAGGAATAGTTAAAAATTAATTGGGTTATTATCTTACAGCAAATTCTTTTACTCCTCTTAAAGGAGTTTTTGCGTAGTTCCAAATTTTGAACATGGACACATAAGTAGGTTCATCAAAAACAATATAAATTTTAGTTACCTAAATAAAAATAAAAATAAAAAATACTAAAAACATTCTATAAAAAACTATAGAAAATTAAAAAATCTAAATAAAATAAAACCTCTGAAGGCAAAATTGGAGCCAGCCACATATGAGAACCATCCATAGTATCATTAATCCCATCTATAAGTTTTTCAGGAGTACGTATATCATTCTTGTTACTTTGTAGTATATTTACACAGCTTGGCCAACAACTTATGTCTAAATATTATATAACAAGTTATTTTATAATTTAAAAAAATACCTTAAACAAATGTAATTCATTAAAATATTTACTTCTACGCTCTAAATGTATTATTTGTCCAGACTTATCAAATAACTGGATACCATTCAAGCCTATATAATATTGATCACCCCAAGTTGATAATAAAATAATTTGATAAACGAATCCAACTGGAATTGTTATATGTTCGTAATCAGAATTATCAATTCCTATAAAACAGTGAATCAATTATTTAAAATTATATATAATAATTTGACAAATGATATCAAATATATATTGAATAAAAAACTTTGACTATGTCAACTAGATCCTAGCTGAATCCTTTGAATAATTTTAAAGTAATTTGTTTAAAAAAATATATATAATATATTACATAAATTATTGTTTAATTTAAATTTAAATTCCTCTCCTTAGATTAAGGATAAAATTGATTTGATTGATTTACAACCACTATTATTTATTTTAAATGCTTTTAAATTAAAAATATGCATCAAATAATTATACATACTTCTTCTATGTTGTTCAGAATTTATAGGCAAAAGTTCTTTAGGTCTAGCAGAACAATGTTTCGGAAGTAAAGGTATTTTTTGACCAAAATTATATCGACAATGTCCAGGACCACGCCTTACTTGAACGGTACCTCTCTCAATCAATTCTCGATCATCAATTTTCAGTTTAATGAATTTTACCTGTAAAATATAATATTATTTCTTATGTAAAATAAAATAATAAATAAAACATACTCCGCAGTCCAAATTTTCTATGGATCCATTGTAGTTCCATATAACTAATGCTGATAGATGTACTGGGGCTAAAAAGTTGAGTGTCAAAGTTAATGGTTCATCTGGTAACTCACAAGTCCACATTTCCAAATCTTTATCAGTAATATTACACTTTAATAATCTATAAAATTATATTAATTACAACTGTGTTAGTTAATTATTAATACAAATTGACTTGCTTATCTGTATCAGAAGCATCAACATTGCATTTAATACTGTCTATTTGAACTACATCACCAGTTTCTCCTAATACTTCTAATCCTAGTAATCCAACCACATTAAAAGTATTCACAGACACTGAGTTATCTAATGAATTCCAGGTAGAAATAACAGTAATAGTTAATGATTGTTGGCATAGCACTGAACCTGTTGTTTGATACTGAGTTTTTGTGTTGGATTCAGAAGAATCAGAAGATATACTTGTAATAACTGGTTGTGCACATGTTAATGGTCTAATAATCTAAAATAAAAAAGTTTAATATACTATGTAGAAAGAATAAAACTTTTAAAACTAATATTTTACCCCAGTATCAGCAGTAAGAGGACGTTGTTGTGGTTCAACTGATATTGAATTAATTGTATTATTAGCTTCTAAAAGTATTGAAAATGAAGTATCATTTTGTGCAATATTTTCTAGTATATCATCGTCTAATGTGTATAATATTGTCTGAAATTGGTATATAGTTGATAATTTATATTAACAAACTTAGCAATATATATTCAAGTTATAATTAAAATAACGGCATAACTTACATCACCAAAAGCATCTGTACACCCAACAATTCCACCAGATGCTCTAGCAATCTCTCCTTGAAATATTAGTTCAGAGTTTAAATACATTTTTAGATCTTTGGCACCTCTATATGAATGGATTCTTGATTTGTTATAATTCTGTTGTATATTTCCATAACAAATTAATAAAACGTGCAATAATAATATATTTTATTAACTAATCTAAACTTTACCCATATTCTGATCATGGCTACTATTTGTACATCATCAAATTCTAAATAAACAAAATGATGAGCTCCTGGAGTGAATGGTGTTAACCATAAATGCATATCATCTCTTGTTCGATTAATTCCATCAATTAAGTTATTTACAACTCGAGGATCTGACTTGTATTCTGGTAGAACATTTATATCTGATGGATCGGCCCAAATCTTAATAAATAATACATATTTGAATTCATAATTTTTTAATTTAAATTTAAATTATATATTATAATATATAATCTCACAGCAGGCCTAAAAGGAGATGGCTGGATAAGATAGAAGACCTCGATAAATTAGAAGTTTAAGAATGGAAGGCAGTAATTCAACTTAAAATGAAATGGAAGGAGATCGTGATGGCGGCGAAAACTCTTAGACAATTTTAAAAACCAAATGAAGAAGAAGAATTATAATGTAAATTTTTGAATATACATACTTTTGAAATATTAACTAATCTCCCTTCTTTGTTGAAAATCTCTATACCATTAAGTCCAATATAATGTTGATCACCCCAAGTGCTAGTTATATCCATTTTTAATATAGAACCAGATGGTAGTTCAGGGATCACAAATGGAGTGCATGATTGAGTTTCATTTTTCAATTTTTGTGTATTCAATTCAGATTCCACTGTTAAATTCATTGGTGTTTTACGGTCTAAATGTTTTTAATAATATCAATAAGTAGTGTCGATTAAACATTTAATCTTGTACAAATATTACCATACAATTTAAATTATTATAATAATATGATTTACCTTGTCGTTTACTAGTAAGTCTTCCTTTTTGTTTGCGGTTGAAAAAATTTAATGATGTCCAAGACTGTTCAAGAAAATCTTCAGTAACTTGGTTAGTAGTTTTTACTGAAGATATTATTTCATCAGGAACATAATGTAAAGTTTGATTTGGTATAATATGTTTAACACTGGATATAGCCCGACGACCATAACGGGCAGAACTTTCTCTACGTTGTGTTTGTACATCTACGTCTTCATTGAGCAAATCAAATAAATCATTTCTGTTATTAGATATTGTTGGTGGTGTTAAGGATAATGTAGGTGATATATCCATAGGCACTGCAGGTTCAATTGGTCTAATACGTGCACTTTTTGCATTTGTTATCCGCCGGCTTCTCCGTGAACGTGTTGATGTATTTCGAGAACTACCGATCCTTCTGAAAATTAATGTTTTTTTTTTTTTTTTTAAATATTTCTTTAACCAAGTAATACAGTTACGTAGCTTATTTAAATTATATAAATTGTTATTTATGAATATTTAAAATTTTTATAATTAAACTTGTTTATTTAATGGTTATAACTCACTCCGATAAATCTTCCAACCATAATGGAAACACTTCTTTCGACATGAAGTTATGATTTTCATATACAAGCCAAGGTATAAATAATTTAGAATTAGTTTGTATTATTTGGTTGTATATTTTTTTTTTTGTAAATTAAATGATGAACTTTATTTAATTATTTAGAAGTTATTAAACATTTTAAATGTGTTTAATAATAACTTATTATAGTAATTTTATTTATTCATTCATAACGAGTTCTTATCTTTTATTTATACATAATATATTACCATTTTTGGTTGTTTTGAAAATTGTTGTCATAGCAACTAAAATTAATAAGACATTTTGAACATCATAAATAAGAATAGGTAGGTATTAGGTAATCTTATTGTATTAGTTTGTAGGCCCTATATATATTGATAAATGTATTTTATCTTATCAGGAAAATAGTATAATAATTTAGTAAAGTCTAAAGGTAAAATAATAAGTAAACATCATAGTTAATCATATCTGCCTAATTAAAAATAGTAAAATTACAAATGTTCTGTAACTAGTATAACTTGTAACCTAATTTTTAACATACCCACATATTTTAAAAATGTTTATTAAATATAGATGTTTACTATCAAAATTTAATGTAAGAAGTCATAGATTTAAAAATTTGTCTACAAAACCAACTCAAGAACATACTCAAGAATTAGTGAATGTTGAACGGCTAACAGTGGATGACAAAGGTATTGTTGTAATAGGTCTTAATAGACCTTGGTCGAAGAATGCACTTAATAAACATTTGGCTGATCAATTATTTAACATTTTTAAACAATTGTACAATGACAGTGATGTTAGGGTAGTTATTTTTCGAAGCCTTGTGAAGGGTATATTTTGTGCTGGAGCAGACTTAAAAGAACGTATAACACTACCAGCTTCTCAAGTTGGTCAGCGTGTGACTGATTTACGGAATTTAGCAAATACTATTGAAAACATACCAGTTCCTGTGATTGCAGCTGTTGATGGTGCTGCATTAGGTGGAGGTTTCGAATTGGCTTTAAGTTGTGATTTTATTGTATGTTCATCTGATTCCATCTTTGGATTAGTAGAAACTAGACTTGGCATAATACCAGGAGCTGGTGGCACTCAACGTTTAGTACGGGCAGTTGGCGGTCCACTGGCCAAAGAACTAATATACAGTGCCAGATTATTGACAGCACAACAGGCTTTGCAATATGGAGCTGTAAATAAAGTAAATGAACAAAATGATGAAGGTACAAGTGCTTATCAGGGTGCTCTAAAAATAGCAAGAAAAATTTTACCTAATGGACCATTTGCAGTGAAAATGGCCAAAAAAGCTATTAATCATGGGCAACAGTTGGAAATAAACAATGGTTGTGCCATAGAAGAATTGTGTTACAATCAGATTATACCAACAAATGATAGAATCGAAGGGCTCTTGGCTTTTATAGAAAAACGAAAACCAAATTACACAGGGTCATAAACAAGTAAAATTATTGATCTATTGATTTGTGTACATTTCTAAATATAACAATTGTTAATATGTCTAATTATGTTAAAAAGACTGAACACCATACAGTTACACATATTTCATTAATATACATTTAATCATTATTTGATAAAATATTTATATTTTAACATTTCTTAAAAAATGAAATTATTACTTATTCACTTCACATTTTCCCATTTAGTCTTATCAATTGAATTTACTTAATAGCTCATCAACAAAAAAATAATTGAATACCTTTTAAGCAATGTTATTATTATAAAAAGTTAAATTTATTTTTATTGGGAAGGGGTTTGTATTTACAACTTAGGTTGGTCATCTCCAGTGACCCCGAAGTCATTTTTAAACCATATCACAGATATATACATATTGACAAAAAATGTGTAATCATAACTGTTATTATACTATTATAAAGTTTTATAGAATATAGAATAAATTCATATTAATTAAATAAAAAACAATTGTGGCCCTGAGCTGACCACCACCACTCAACAAGTAGGTATTACATTCGCAATAGATACCTGAATACATATAGATTGGTGTTCACTAATCATGTCTTTCAGAATTAGACATTTAATTTAAAACAATTCCTTTGAATAAGATTGACTCATTGTATTGTATTACTTATTATTAATACTGTTCATATTTTTTGATTAACTGGAATAAAGGTATTTTAAAAAAACAAAGGTATTATTTTGGTACTGCTAACAAAAATCTGTTTTGGATTAAGTTTTGCCAGTTAGTTAATCAAGATTTTAAGGATTTCATAAATATTGAAGTAGGTATACTTTAAATGGAACCATATCAAAATATATTTTAACAAATTTGGGCAGAACAAAGGTAAGAATAAGGTAAAATCTGTCGAAAGATTCCTGAAGCTTAATGATTATATATAAGTTTAGCAGTATTAATTATAGGTTAGTTTAATTTGTTAAAAATAATAAGTTTATACTTTATACCGAAAATAAAGTAGGTAATCCACATAGGTTGTTCCCAAATTAGGCTATGAAATAAAACGATGCAACTGACAATATTTATTGTACCAATATATTTTTCCAGAGTTTATAAAATAATCCAACGCTGGCATAGCAGTAATATTACTCTGTGGTTATGTCCCTTACAGAATTGTAAACAATATTATTAATGCAAATAAATATAGCACAATGAAGACTAATATTACTTTGCCTATTTCAATTTAGTATTTAAATAAATATTAATATTATTATAATATTTATATGATAGTACCCCAAAACGCTGAGAAAATATAGATAAGAGGCACTAAGTCAAAAAATTATTCATAGATTTAGAACTAGAAATCAAATATGGAATAGTATACGTACATCTGGATTTTTAACGTTTTAACTTAAACTATACCCGTGCCCCATCTTAATGATCATACGACCTTACAAATTTAAAATTTCCAAGATATCAAAATATAATAAACATGATAATTGCATAATGTATAAAAATCACATACATTAAGTAATACAAATTATACAATACATATTTTTAAAAAACTTATCTCTAGTCTCAGCGCTATCTAGGCCAGTGATTTCATTTATATGGATTATCTATGATCACCGGTTTACGGGCGCGGGTGATTTGAGGTTACAATAATATGCCGGTGTTGTTTGTCCTAACTACAGTATTACTAACGTTGAATAATTCGTATGATTAAAATTTGACGCTACGGTTATTGTTATAACTATTTCAATAATAATAATAATTGTAAACAACCAAAAATAAATAAAAGTAAACGGTATAATGTTAAAAATTAATATAATTGTAATTTATAATATTTATTATATTTGAAATATCAATAAAAACTTAAATAATTAAACAAACGGCGTCGATAGTTGCCGGCACTGTAACCATATGTGTAACCATTTTGTATGTTTTTATTTTTCGTTGTTGTTTTTCTTATTCTCATTTCTCAGATTCTCTATTGTTCGTATTTGCTACTTGCTCGTGTTATTTCCGAATGTCTCTCGTTCAATTAAAATAATTTTTCGAAGTCGTTCTTTATTGAATACGCATTTAAAGTTTTTCTTGAACGCGTGTGCGTTTCATTCAGTTTATTTCAACCGATTCATGCATCTTTGGTGAGTAAAAAAGTAAACGAAATATTGAAATTGTTTGTTTAGTGTTTATACTCGGCGGACAAATATATCAATATTCTTCCAAGGTCATGCGCAGTAATCTAATATGTGATATTTTTTGTCATCTTTGTTATTTTGTTGTTTACCCGTCCAAATTATTTCATCCTCATTGTCTAACACATTACAAATCGTTCGGTATGTTTCAGGCTAAATGAACCTCTCCAATTCTGATTTGAACGAACACGTATACGTTATCAACTTCAATCAAGACAGCACGTAAGTTACAATTTTTCTTCAGTGTTTAAAACACGTTAATACCGCTTTACGTAATATGCCCTGTAATTATGTGATTGTTTTTGTTCATAAATTTACCCAATCTATGAATTTATAAGCCAAGCATTTCTTATATATTATATTCCTTTGTGTGGTTTCATGTAGGTAACAAATATAGGTACCTACCCATATTTTATTGATAAATAACTAGTTTTATTATTTTATGCAGAGTCCGAATGTTAGTAATTATCAAAAACATAGATGGTACAGTAATTAATTTGTGATCATGTGATCATACAGCGATAACTAATTTTAAAAAAAATATTTAATTGTTTTGTATTGTGGTTATTTAACAAATAAATTTAAAGCTGTTTAAATTCTACAAAAATTCATAGACACTGTTTTTTGTCAATGTTAGAAAAACAGTTATGGTACTTGTGTAATATTTTGATAATTTGAACTGTGTGTTATATATTGATAGAATAATACCATTTTTGATAATATTCAATATAAAATTGTGCTTTTATTTAAAATTGAAATTGTCTTAAATGTTGTTACTTAATTTTACTATTATATTAAAATTAAACATTTAAATAATATGCTGTTCAACACTAATTAGTGAGCCCTCTGTTTGCCAGACGAAAAATTATCTGATAAAAATGTGCCACTGTCCTCAAACTAATATTCAGTCTTTGATAGCGTATTTGTCTAAAAACCATCTCATGATGGCAGTGTTTGGCCTTCAAGACCTATTAAGCTACACAGTAATAATAATACCTATCTATAAATGTATACAACAGAAAACAAATTGACTTTTTTAACTAATACCTTTGTATCAATAATAATAATAATAAAAAAAAATAATGATAATAATATTTTAATATTCTTAGAATTGAGTTTATTTTATAATTTCTATTAAAAAATAAATAGGTGTTTTGATTTGATTGTAGTATGAAAACTAAATGTTACCATGGATACCTAAATTTAAAAAATGAAAATGATAGTATTGATAAAACATTTATACTATTAATAACTTATAATTAGTATTAAGTTTTTTATGCCAAGTATTATAAATTAAATAAATACCTACATTTCTAACCAAACTTTTTTCTGAGCCTAGTTTATAATTCTTGTTTGTCATGTGTGTCAGTTTATCTGAACTATTGAATGGTTATACAATTTTTTTTTTTTAAACAAACAATTAAAACTCAGTTGCACATGTACGAGTGTTTCAACATGCATTAACGTTTGAATCAAACGTTTTGATAAGCTTAGATAAATACATCACGTCTCGATTATCTACTAATCATTCACACACATACATACATATATGTATGTACTAATAATAAATTGCAACAATTTTATTATAAAATTAGTTTCCGGCTGCAGGTGTATGAGTACTTACGAGATTTAACTTTCGGATATGCTTATTGTAGTTTGGATAATTGATGTTCTGCTCTACTTATATAAGTATTTATATAAACATTTTTTTAATTTTAAAATTGGGTACCTATAGGTATAATATACCTATAATATTCATATGTATAAATGGTATACAAACTTATTAAATTGTTAAAGTGCATAGAACTAAAATATACCAGTAAATTAAATTGATAATTATTGTAAGAGCAACAAAAAATATTTTAGTTTTAAATGTTAAAATGTTCACTTTAAAAGTATAGTTATTGTTCTTTACTAATGCAAACATAATTAAGGAGATCATCGGAATCGTTTGTATTTGTGTAGTTTTCATCATATTTTACAAACATTACGTTTTATTCATGTTATAAATAATCTAACCTGCATAAATAATCTAAATTTGTGTCTAGATGTTTTTACACATGTTTAAACTTAATGTTTTTATAATTTATTCAATATTATAAATGCAGAATTTGTATTTACCAAATCACATTCAATTTTGCTGAATAACTTAAGTATTTTGTATTCGATCAAATTTATAATTTAGATGTACCTTTTATGTCAATTTTTTTTAATTGCAAGAATAATATAAATATTCTGACTAAAAAGAATTTGTTAAATTGTTTGAAACAATAATTAAACAATTTTTATAATTAGGATATCCCAAAATTAAATTCACCATCAAGTTTTGAAATTTGAGTTTCTAAACTACTTAATATACTTAATCTATTCAAAATAAGAGCACACTTGGTAGGACAGACAAAGACATGTCCGATTTTGTGTATATATATCCCCACTACTAACCCTACTGCATCAACTACTAGTATGGTGATGTACAGTTGGTCATACAGGTTTTGCGGTATGGGATCTAACAACGTCCGAATGCTTAGTGTTTATGTGTAAACATGTGTGCTCTTGTTCTTATTTGGGTACCTATATTTTTTTATATAATAGCTAAAACGTAAAATTACTAAAAAAAGGTATTGGTTCGTGTTTAACTTTAAGTGAAAGTATGTAGGTTCTTAGAGAGAAAATTTTTAGCAAAATACTTAGTATCTATTCATATATTGTTTGTTAGTATGATACTAGTGTGTATTGTAACTTAAATTTACGTAGGTTTGCTTGTAAATAATTAGACTTAAGAATATGCCACGTAACCATGGTAACAAATATATATAACTATTGTATTTATTAACTTGTGGTCCAATGTCATTAAGCAAAGTTATACATGAATTATTTTATTTCATTATTTCATTTTGAAAACAAATGAGTATTATTCTATAATGCCATAATATACAGTAACATGGTATTAAGTTAAATTGTTCTAGGATTTACAATTTCTGTGTTATTATTTATTGATATTATGAGAAATTTCAGCTAATGCATAGTTTCAATTTATTGTCAACTTGGAATGAAAATTAGTGAAATTAGTTAAAAGTTTTTCACTTGAGTTTAATCTAGAGATGTTAATTATGATAAGTTGTTTTTAGAATTCTAATGAACATATTTATGTGGTTTCATGTTTTACAAAATTATGATTTTGGATATCTAACTATTTCATTAGTGCAAAGTTTTTGGTTGTAATCAAATCTACGTAAAAAAATTATTATTCACTTCATCGTTATTACCGAGAATATTGCAGGTAAACAAAAGTTTAATTAACTATTTTTTTAAATACAATTTTATCATATATCTAACCAATAATAAGTATTATTTGAAAAAAAAAAACAGATTATTTTGCTAAATTATAAGTGTTAATATATGTCAGGCAAAGCTGATCAACAATAATAACAAAACTATTTTCAAGCTCTTGGTTAAAACTGAAGTGAAAAATGTTGTGATATCTTAAGTAAATAATAACATTAAATATGTTATTTTATAAAGTGTTGAAATTAATTATATTTACATTAATTATA